AGAAAGAAATGAGGAAAAATGACAAATTATGCATTCTCATAAATATCCAACACAGCTGTGAAAAATCAAGCAAAAGCATTTAGTCTGTATTCATTTCAAAGCTGCGCATTCCCTCACTGACCTGCAAAAAGCCCAAAACGGCTTGATTCACTCATACTCATCACTGCAGACTGCGCTCAGACCAATAAACACACGACTCAGCCTTCTGGAGAGAATACCTCTGTCTGTTCAGTCTCCAGCTAAACGTCAGTCTTCAAAACAGTCCCAGGTGGCTTCAACTCCTCTTTCACCCTCTGTTAATCCCTGCAGTTTCCAAAAATATTTCTGATAGAAGCTGAGAATCATGACTTCATAGGCACAATATAGCTAAGAAAAATGTGAGCTTTTAGGGAAAGAAAATCTCACTTAATATCAAGTAGTTTTAGATAGAGCATCAGTTTGCAGAGAACTTCCCTTTCTGTCCTCTTTCATGGTCTTCACACCAACTCTGGGAGATAATCAAGGTGTGGATTCCTATCCTACACTCACAAAAGACTAAACTAACTGCAGAGAAGGAAATTGTTTTTCTCAAGATAATTTACCCTGTAAGTGGTCAAGCAATGCAAGATCACTTGTGCCAACCTTACACGTCTTTTTCTGCCTTCTCCTTCATGCAACCAACCAGGTAAGCCTACCAGCCCTACATAGGAGCATGAACTGACTTGCTCATGCTTTATACAGTCTTGGAACTCAGTGTTACCAATGAGAATAATAGACTGTAATCATCTAATACATCATTTCAAGAATGTTTTCATTGTTTACCTCTAAAATCTCCTGTAGGTCATATGTTTTTCTAAAGGCTGTAATGTGCACTAATGATACCCAAAATAATTAACAAACAACATGGCATAGACATCAGCCATAAATTGGGGCTAGCTATAAACAGATCTGCCAATAAGCAGATGACAAGGCACAGTGCCTACAGTCCACAGTCTAGCAGGGCAAACAACAAGGAAATACTGTGTGTAATGTATTAAGAATGAAAAATGCTGATGTGAATGAGCATGAAAAAGTGGTCTTTCTCTCTGGATGTGACAGTCATGAAGGCTTTCTTGGCAGCAATACCATGAAGTAAGTCTTGGAAAAATGATGACTTGTCATGTTGATCATGTATTGCTTGTTCTAGGAAATTGAATATGCACAGACTTCTAACTTATTTCTTTGAGTTTTTAATGTAAAGTTTTTGAGCTTCTAAGATCCTGAAACACTGGCCATTTAGGCTAGGCATGATGGTGCATCACTATAATTCCAGCACTCAGACGATAGAGGCAGGAAGATTTTGAATTTGAAGCCTGTCTAGACTATATAGCAAGCTGAAGATCAGCCTGAGCTGACTCAAAATCAAGACCCTGACTCAAAAAACTAGAACAAAATTGCTTATTCACTAAGTTATAGAGAGCCAGAGAAGTGAGGAATTTGCCTGAAGTCAGACAATAAGTTGATGCAACATCAGGATTTGAACCTGTTCCAAGCCTAATTCCTTTCTATTCTGCTGTGCTGGCCAAATAATTGACTATCCAGGGTGTTGGGTCAGCTGACCTTCTCTATTCTATCTGGGAAGGAAGCTCCTTTCTGTCCTATTTCTCCTTCAGTAGTCTTTTTGCCCTTGGTTGCCTACAGAAAAATGAAAAGATATGGAAAAGAAGAGCGCTCAGTAAAGACCTGCAGACAACTTGAGAAACTCTGACTCCAAGGAATGTGCTTAGTTGAATGACTCATACATGTTGAATCCAAGATCCTTCACAGCTTTGGGACAGTTTTCTGGAAACTGAATAGTCACAGAGACATTGGACGGGTGTTCTCACACTAGATAGATCGCAAGAAGAAGAAGAAGTCAGAACAGCCAAAGAGTGCAAATCAGAGTGGAAAGTGCTCCATGGGTAATGCCATGTGGAAGTGGGCATTAGACTTCCTCAGTAAAAACAGGCCCAGCTATCAGTACTCATTGGCTGGCCTGTCTGGGAAAAAGTATATTACAGTTAATAGGCCTGTAAGGAAATGAGAATGATTTCACCTGACACAAACTTCCACTTTCTTTCTGGCTTCCAAACCACAAGCTCCACCAGCAACTCATGAATGAGGACCATGAAGAGCAGCAACAGAATCAGTCCTTGGCTGGGAGCTCTGTGCAGAGGTGCGGTGTTTACAAGCACTCATTCTGCCCTCTCAGGTGGAAAACAAGTGCTTACTGTACTGAAACGGATTCAAGTGTGCTAGACCCAAATGCCAAAAGGTGTGGCACCCTCTGGTAAGCAAGAGGATGAATGGTTACTAGTTTCCACAAACATCTTCCGTGTTACTGTCTGCTGGGTGTTGCTTGCTCAGTTCTGATCTTGATGATGACCTGCCTCACAGCAGCCATAATTGTCTCAGGTAAGTCCCTTGTCTTCCCCGGGGCCCATTTCTTCATCTGTGCAGTGAATGCATTAGACATGATAATCTGGGTTCCTCCTCAAACTATATGGTGAAATAGGAAAAACCAAACATTCATTTTTTATTATTTCATCCATTCAACATCTCTGAAATTGTAGTGTTCAAGGCTCTATTCTAGGCATAGAAAAAGCAGCTGTGATCCCTGACTGCAGAAAACCTAGCGTCTTAGTGAAAAATTTAGACATACACGAGCATGATTATACCCATAGAAGTAGTAAATGCCATAACAGTTAGGAAATGTGCATGAAAACTTTGCTTCTGGAAGAAACCTAAGACACTTCTTGGTGAAGCTGGATCAAAACAGGATGATAAATTGAAGTGAGAAGACTTGGGTACTAGAGAACACACATTGTATGCAGATCCATTTGTACATAACAGAGGGACAGGAGGTCCAGGGATAGAAAACAAGTCCTCGTCTAAGCTTTCCTCACTCAGATGCCAAGGTGTGACCTAAAATGTCACATAGCTTTTGGAGAAAATTTTTGCAAGTAGCACCTTCTAAAGATACACAAATAAAGCTAGTTATTCCTTCCTGATGTTATCATAATATTCTTCTATGACAGCTGTTGAGTTAATGTGTAGTAATAGTCTTGTTTGTGAACAACACTGGGCCATTTCCCAAGCTGCAGACCAGCCTGGTTGTAGTTGTTTTCTACAGCTGGCTGAGCCACCTCTGTGAGCAGGTATCAGTGACTGCAGAACACTAAGAGGCCTGGGACAAGGTTCAGGCTGAGGACATTTCCAGAAGAAGCTATATTTATCTTCCAGCTTTCAAGCATGTTCTCTTGTCTTATTGAAACACATACACATAATTGTACGTCTATATGGAGAGATTGTGCATTTGGTGTAACTGTAGTTTGTATGCCATAAAACATATACACTACTCTTAATATTTTATTTGCTTATTCAGGAGACAAGTTTGGTAGATTTACTAATCCCAAGAGGCATGGGAGCATTCCCTATGAGTTGAAAGACACAATCTTCTGCAGGTTAAAACACAGAATTAAACTTCTAACACAATCAGCATTTAAAAATGTTTTAAATGGTGAAAAGAGTTGTTTTATGACATAACTATTTATGAGCTTTCTTGTTATCTGCAAAGGTCAATTAAGCACAGATGTCTAGAATTCCAGAGCCAGAGCTATCATTAGGTTGTCATCAATTTGTCTTGATTTTTTTCAGATGGAGAGATTGTGACCCTTGACAACAATGAATACTGTGCAAACTGTATTTAGCATTAAAAATAGGTCAATTTTTAAACCTCTATTATTAGTAGGCACTAAAAAAATCAAAGATTACTTGTAATTATTCTATAGAACGAAAACCACTTTCCATGTTCCAATATGACAATGATTCCTGTACAAATGGCATAGTAATTTAATAGAACTTAAAATATCATTTAAATAACATCATATACTCTTCCTGGACAATAACATGTCATGGGAAAAACCATGGAGACCGGTGGGATTCAGTGCTTCCCGCGTGGATTCCCTTGGTGAGACGACATTAGTTCTCTAAACACCAGTTTCTTCTGCTGCTAGAAGGGACAGTTGCACCTACTTCCCTTGGCATTGCAAGGGCACAATGAGTGTTCCAAAGCACCCTGCACAGCACTGAACAAAGACTTAGTAAAGGAAGCTTGGCTGGTGCTGCTGCAGGTTACCTGTGCTGCCCTTCCCTGCTGTCTTACACCACGTGCTGCAACAAGCCCAGGAGTCTGTCCAGCATGGGTGGCTGCTACTTCCCCTCCTTCAATGCCCCCACATGCCCTGGGGACACTCAGTGCATACTAACCGCCAAACCAGCGGATGACTCAGAGATTGGATACAATCCACCGCGGTCTGGAGACCAAAGGCACAGCTCCTGGCTCACGGATTAAGTTATTACTTTCTTATTATCACTTTTCGTTGACATGCAGGACCCTTCCCAGGAAATCCAGCTAAGAAGAAAGCACTTGATACAGGGCGTAAACAAGCCCAAAGTCGCTCCCTGGAGGACGCTGGAGCAGGGATAATGATCCCTCTGTGAGGCAGAGAGGCAGGGCTGGCTCCTACTTAAGAAAAGGGAACTGATCTGTGCTGCAGCACGGTACCCACCTGCCGAGACAATCCAGGGTTATCTCTCTGCTGGTCAGAGAAACATGAACCGCCAAGGCCTCTAAGAGCCTTTATCTCCTCTTTCCAGGAACTGCTTTCTCTGAGGTGCCACTGAGCAGCTGCTGCCCAGAGCCCCGGCGAGCTCGGGTCGCATTTCCAGCCCGCTGGAGTAGAGAAGCGAAGCTAGGATCCTGCTTCCTCTCCTCTCTCCCCCAACCCCAGCCCACCCGCTTCTGTTTCCCAATTAGAAAACCCCCTTGGGGGGCAATGCAAAAGTCACACTTCACTAACAGCTACTCTGCTGGAGGGCGGAGGAAGCGGGAATTCCTACTTTCCATAAATTGTATGCAAATGTGTTCTTTCCCTGGCCGAGAGCCGGGAGTGACTGCGTCTCGCATGAGCTAACCCTGTTCCGCTGGGAGGGCTGTTCCTTTAATTCACCAACTGCAAAAGTGGGGAAGGATGTCTGGAGGCGAGGCGTCCCATTACAGAGCAAGGAGCTGGCTATATAAGCCAGCCAAAGCTGGCTGCTCTGGCTACAGTCTGCCTACTGTCACACGCTCTCCCGCGCGCAGACACGCGCCTGCCTAGGGCTACACAAAGCCAGCGCGACTGGGGACCCGAGAGGCTCACGTGGGAACCGCTGCAGCTCTCCAGGTACGCGCTCCAGGGAGCCCTGCGCACGGTCTGAGGTCCCATCCCGGACAGGTAAGTCTGTTTCGTCCCCATCAGCAACATCATTATGATGTGTTTCATGCTGTGGGTATTGCTGGTACCAAGTGGGCTGTGTTTTATCAATTGAAAACTTTGGCTGTGTTTTTGTCGCTGGCAAAAACAGAGTGATCAGTTGATTACAGTCCCGTGGGTGCACCTTGACAGTTGCTTGTCTGCTTGACCTCCTCTGACTCTGTTTCTTTCTGTTTGTTCTGGCTCTATGAACAGTCAGACTGGAAGGAACTTTTAGCAAAGTTTTCACTTCTGCTGTTCTTTAGAAATTTCTTTAAACCCCTGCCTGGTTGATTCACCTGTGGATACATTTGTGTCTTTGAACGCTGGGGAAGTTTTGTTTGAAAGTGTAGTTTTCTCACTTAGGGATGGTTTAGGGGCTGTGTGTGGAGCACAAAATTGTACATCAAAATGACCCTGACAGTTTACAGAGTTTTGGATACCCCCCACTTCATTATAATCTCCACCCTGTGGAAAGAGATACCTTTGGGGCAGCAGAAGATAAGAGGTGAATCTAGGGCCAGAGGACTAACAAGTGAAAGTGGGGGTGCTTCCTTCCATTGTTCCAGGCAAGGAGTGTCCAGGAGAAGTATCCTGCTGGATAGTCCTGATTCAGTGACCCTCAGGTGGGACCCATGCCTGCTCCGAGTGTTTAGAGCCAGCGATATATATCCAGAATCACCTCTTGGGTATCTCTCTAGAATCTCCTCTCCTGACTCAGACACTGGAGAGTTATTTCCTCCACTTCTGGGAAATCTATCTCCTCTTTTGGAAACAATGTGGGGTTCCTCTAGCCTATCGGTAGTAAGAGATTAAGACATCAGATTTCAAAGCCAGAAGTGACTTTAATATTCCCACCACCATCACACATACATCCAAGAGGAATTTGTAACTTCTGTGGCCTCAGTTTCTATTTCACTTCCATTGCAATGAAGAGAAAATGAGGCTTAAGGGGACTGGCAGTGAGTGTTCAATAACTGGAAGTATGGATAATCGTTGTTACTGCCAAAAACTGCCATCACCCTGGAAGTTAGAAAGGGCACTTAGCCAATCTTAGATTCTTTCTTGTGCGTTCCTCACCCCCCAGCCCAGCTGCTGGCCTTTTTATCTCACCCAGGCTAAGTGTCTGGTTAGGCTGGCAAGTCAGAGACTTGGCTGCATTTTACAAGCAGGAGGTTGTGTTGGCACAGGTTGGGAAAGAAGGTAGCAGCCTGAGGCTGGATGTAAATGTCGAATTCTGATTACAGAATGTCATGAGGTTTTGAGTTTAAGCATTTGAGGATTCTAAAGCTGCTGGCTGTAAAGTATAGAGTGCTGCTGGAAATTCTCTGGAAATGCTTTTCAACCGAGGGAGAGTGGGACAGGGAGCCGGTTAGAAGAATGAATGCCTCTTTTTCATGTTCTTGTGGATCTTTATTTTTTTCTCCTCTTTTTTATAGAGCTTTCCCATATGTGCTTTAGAAATGAAAACCGTTGCCCACCACAGCCAGCTTCCCACCTTGTCCTGAGACATAATAAGTCTAGTTCAGGGCTAGGGAAAAGTTGGTTCGGTTCTGAATAAACTCATGGAAGTTTTGCTGGCATGGTGTTTGACTGTGGATGCTCTTCACAGGTCGCAAGTTAGTATGTCTTGGCCCCGTGCACTCCAAGAAAGTAACCACATTTAAGGAATGAAATGGAACACAATATGAATATTCTCTGGTTTGTTCAAACCATGTGAATTGGATGAGGATGGAAAAGGATGTTGTCAAGCTCTGTAATTATGTTTTTTCTCTATGCTTTTTTCTAAAAACATAGCTTTCCTATCCTGTATTTCAAGAATCCCTCCTTCAAGGGGTTATTAATCTTCCAGTCCTTGGTGCCTCACTCATATAAAGAAGGTGACAATCAGCATTGCATAGGGCTCCGGAGACATTCAGCGGAGAGTATAAAAAGTCTTAATACAATATCTTGCACACTGTAAGAGTTCAGTAACAGAAGCTTATCTTAGCTTTTTCGCTTCTCAGTTTGCAAAGATTTAGTTCAGCATTAGTGTACTAAATCAATGATTTTTAAGCTGATTTTTAACAATGGGAATAATCAATGAATTTGGGGCAAAACCTCAGTATTTGATGGGAAAATGTGAGGCTATTTTTGGTTGAAATGCAGTAAGATGCCCTAAACCTCACCCCAGGATGAGGGATATCTCTCTCTGAGGTATCTTCCCTGGATCCTGACCAACTGACCAACGGAAAGTGCAATCACAAATCTTGCAGCCAGCAATGTACATTCAGGCTGCAACTGTGCACTTATTGGCACATTTGTCCTTTAAGTAGTCTGTAAGAGGAGGGAGAGCAAATCCCCATGTATTATTGTAGACACAAATGGGGAAGCAGAGTAAAAGATTTAACAAGGGTTGATTATTTTAACTAATTTTAATGCTAGCCAGAGCCAGCATCTCTGATGAACCTATTCTTTAAGCTATGACCACCTGTAATCATCATCTCATTGAACATCCACACATTTCTGAGGCATGGGTTGTACCGACAGGGAAATAGGACAGCTTGTATAGCAAGGAGATTGAGTCCCTTGCCCAGGCTCTAAACACACAGAGTGTCGGGACTGGGTTTCAGACCCAGGTCTCTATGATCGCCAAATCAGAGGCACATTCTTCCACATTCACCCTGAAGGCTTCTGCTTCTCTCATTGCTTTCAAAAGGAAAACACTTCCTTTCTGAGTAAATATCCCCTCCAGGCAGGCTGTGGCCACCCATAAATACAGCGGTAGCCTGATCGTATAACCAGAATGGAATTTGGAAAGGGAATTCAAGCTGGTGGAATAAAAAATATATCCCTCCCCCCTTAATCCTACCCTTTTAATGCTTGCAAGGAACTAAGAACACCTCTGTGTTTCTCTCCCTTGCTGTCGATGGCCATACAGCCATGCTCCCTTTGCATGCGCCCTGCCAACATTAGTACCAGCCATGCTTTCCTCCTGGAAAAAATAATGAGTTCGTACAAGGCATAACCCTCTATTCTGAAGCCACTTCAATTTGCAAAGTAGAAAGTAGGTTACAAATATTTAATTGGCTCTAAATGCACAGTTCCTTTGTAGTGATAAAACACAGACACACAAAAATAATAGTGAAGGCTGATGATATGTCACATGTGATGGGGCTTTTGTCTGCTGCCTCATCTAGTTTTCAAACAGGGAGAGTAATGAAATTCTAAGGCTCAAAAACACTAAGTGACACAGCTGGCATCTCAGTGAGTAGAAGAGCTGGCTTTGAATCCAAGCTTTCTAACTATACTGCATTGCCTCCTGAAGCCCGGCTCGGCTAAATAAGTACAGGACTCTAGGCGGCATCCTTCAGTGAATGGCTATGATGGTGCAGAAGGCCCCAGCTGGCACGGGTGTACATTGATTCCACAGAGTAGCTATGCACATATCACTTTTCATGGTGCTCACAAAGGTCTGCCTGGATATGAAAGAGTTCAAATTTCAACTCTGGGAGAGATGAGAACAAAGCTAGAGGTAGCGGTCAGGTCATCCCCACTGATTTCCATCCCAGAAAGTAGGCACATGCTTCTCTGTGCTGTGGAAGTGAGAGCTCTGATTGTGGGAGCCAGGCTGTACCTTCCAAAATCCAGGTGAGCTGAGCCTCAGGTTCTAAAAAGACTAATTGGGAGAAGCAGTGAAACCAGCCTTTGGGCACTGAATCCCGGGACAATTTGGAAATGCTTGTGAGCTCCAAGTGACACACTCAGCCAAAACCTCAGAGAAGAAGATTATGATTCAAACACCTCTAACCCTGAGAAGATTTCTGGGAATCCCCTTGCATGTAACACTGAGCCAGTTCAGACACCTTCATGTGGGAAACATTAGAAAAAAGCCGCCTTCCAAAGAGGAAAACCCCCTCAAAGCATGATGAGATGATCTTCTGGCAAACTCCGGTGATAATTCTACTTATCACAAAAGACAGCAGTGTCTCCCCTAACATAGGAGGCTGTACATGCCTTTTGGCTTCTTTGTAGAGAAAGTTCATATATCTATCTGATTCTGACCCTGGTGACCAGACATTTTTCCACTTTTATAAATAAGCCTTGAAATCTTTGCTCTGTTTCCTTCCCCTTTACCTCATACATCCTCAACTTTAACAACCTCGTGTTCAACATTATCGTCACTGTCTTTGACCTCCATTATGGAACAAAATCAAAATGCTGACATTAAAAACAGATTGTGAATGGAAAATACCTTCCATTATATTTTGGCCTATTTATGGGTGACACTTTTTTTAAAAAAAAACTCTTGCCAAGTTCTCTCAATTTTTGAAATTTCCTGAAGTTTACAGGTCCTTAATTATGCAGACCTTGTAACTCACAATTTAAAAGGCTTTGGTGAACCCTTAGTCCTTTAATTCTCCTCAGACGCCCTACACAAGACCCGGGTATGTTTGATAGGCTCTAAAAGTTGACTTTCTAAAGTTTTGCTTTAGAATTATCTATTAACCACCTCTTTTCCTAAAGGAGGTCAAGAGGCTCCCATTAACTTCTAGATGAGTGTGTCCAAAATATTCCAGGAGGGACCCGAGGGCTAACTGCAAGCATAAATTTTACTGAAAATTCTACAGACACTGTGTCCCTTATGCACCAACCATTGTTTCCCAGTGTTGCCACCTCTCTATTGAAATATAGGAATCTGGGGATGAAAAAGCTGAAGTAGCTCACCCTGACACCAAATAAGTAAGTGACTAGTGGAACCAAACTCAAATCCAGTTTGAAACCCTAAGAAATCAGTAACAACCATTAGGCCTCAGCAAGTCAAGCTCAGCACAACAACTGTTCTTACCGTATCTCCTGTTCTACCCCCAAACACTGGACACTTGCCAGCACAGGTACCAAGTCCTCAGCACTTACTGAGAAACAATTCTGCTGTCCCTGAGGAAATGGAACAATAACACGATCTGATTCACTTCGTTTTTTGCTTTTCTGGTTTTTTGGGACTCTTTGGTACTGAGGCTTAAGCTCACAACCTCACACTTGCTAGTGTTTCCCTTCTGAAAGTACTTTTTCAATCAGTTTTGTTACTTTGATAGCTTAAGAATCATCCTCTCATGCAAAATATATATTTTTAACAAACTAATAGAGTCACAAATTTATAAATGCATAGAATGACTTTTTGTACATCATTCCCTGCTGTTCCAAGCAAGTATATCTTATTTTATGGATAAATCAATTGGGACCTCAAACCATTGTCTCTTGCACAAAGTAGAAAGTGGTGGCATTGGGTTCCTGCCCAGGGCTGTCACCCAAAACTGTGCTTTTCTCATGATACTACATGAGTACTAGTGCATTACTCCCATTTTCCAGATTTACAAAAAGACTAAAGATAACAAGCTGCTTGCTAAAGAAGTGCAATTTAAAAGAGTAGATAGCTAGAGAGGGCAAGGCTTAAAGAAATGAGTGAGTTTCCAGTGGTGGACTTCAGAAAAGGGATACTTCAAAGGAGAAGAGCTCAAAGTTTGTCATCTAGCTGATATATGGAAGAGTAAAATCCTACTTGGGAGGTTAAAAAGAATTACAGAGACTCAATAATAAGTGGAAAATATTGAATATTTTTGGCCCAAACACTAAACCGCTAGAGCCAAAAAATCCCTGGGTAGGATTAGTGTGTTGGGAGCTCTGTTTGGCGTGTAACCTGATCTGACCACAGGTAACCTCACCTGCAACACACTCAAGCCAGAAAGACAGAGCTCAGAACATTACTGGACCCCTTGCCAGCGAGGCATGCTTCTGAACATGAGTCCATATAGCCACCAAGATACAAAATAATCTCAGTGATATTTTTAATGCCTATCCATGTGTCTTAGTAAGTTTTCTCTCATTGCTGAGACAAAATACGTGATGCCCAAAGTTAAAGAGGGAAAGGTTTATTTAGCTCACAGTTTGTAGAGGTTTCAGTATATAATCAGCTGGCTTCAAGGCAGGTTGGTGTAGCATATTGTCATCACAGAGAAAAAACAGTTCTTGGTGGGCAGAAGGTAGCAAAGCAACTAAGAGATGACTGTAGCTATTTCTATTCTATATAATTTATCCAGGCCACTTAGAGAGGGTAGCACTCAGACCCTTTAATCTTAAAGCCCTTGACACTAGCAACATACCATGAATCAGTTCCAGCATCACACACTCTGGATCCAGCCACCTCTGAAAAAGCCTCACTTATGACTGCATGAGGTTTTGAGGGGACATCTAGACACAAACCATAGTACCACATAAGAGAGAGGGGCAATTCCCTAAGAAACTTTGATGCAGTAGAGTAAATCCACCTGGCATCAGGTTCCCAAAGCCAAAAAGCTGTCCAAGCATGGGTCAAGTGCACCATTATCTCAGTTCCCAGAAAAAGAGGCTTAACTTTGACATGGCCAGGTTGTGAAGGGTCACGCAGAAGCATCTTGATGCAAAGATGTTAAAGCAGTGCTCTCACAAGTGTGTTGTCTAAACAGTTTTTCTCTAGAACTTAATGTTGAAACTAAAATGACTCAGGAGCATCCTTGCAGCCAAAACCTTACCAACTGCACTGGAAAAAGCCAAGAAGTGGTTTGGGGAAAGTAATAGACAGATAGGGAGGTGAAGGACCACTCTTACCAACCTTATTTCAACCAGAGTGGTTTTGCTTTTATCTGTTTTTGTACATGAGCTTTCTTGTGATATTTTATTTGGTAAAAGAATTTTTGTGGCAAAAAAATGTTTTTACAAATTGCTGTCCTAGTTTAACATCCTTTATTTTAAAGATGGTGAAACCAAGACATGGAAAAGAGAAGGATCTTCCTAAGATCACACGCCAGTTGGCAGCAGGGTCAGAACAAAAATCCCAGGTCTTCTGACTCTTTCTCTTGGAAGCCAGGGACAATATAAAACACTGCAGGATGAACACATTGCCTAAGAAAAGAAAAATGAACAGTCTTATTCACTAAACAGCCTTAGCGCACATAGACTGAGCCAAGAATCACAATTAGTTATTTATTACTGCATAGCAAATTACCACAAAACTGAGTGGCTTAAAGCAATACACATTTATTATCTCATATATTATCACATATTATCTCATATATCTCTTCTATACATTAAGAACCTTAGTGCAAACTAACTGGATCTTTTGCTTTTGGTTTCCATCACAGTGCTGGCTAGGATCAGGGTCCCACATGAAAGCTCAAGTGGGGAACATGCATCATCCAGGTTCACATATGCAGTTGTTGGCTGACTCAGTTCTGTGAGAGCTGATACACTGAGAGCCTCATTTCTTTTTTTTTGCCATGAAGGCTTATTCAGTACTGCCATTTATTTCATTAAAGCCAACAATAAAGGAGTTTCAAGCAAAAGAAATGTAACCTCGTCATAACAGTAGTCCTCTTGCACCTTATTTCAAGTGCTATTGGCTAAAAGCAAATCATTAGGCCACAGCACACTCAAGGATAAGTAACTATACAAGTATGAAAATGCCAGGAAGCAGGATGAAGAGAGGATCATCCTTGTGTCTACTACAGAATGTAAAACAATGTTACCATTTTCTAGCTATCAGTTGTTAGTGACAAGTTCATGCCACCTATCTGTACTTATGATGATGGCAACCAGTAATTATGGCAGCCACCAAACTAACCACTATGACTGTGTCTCATGGAAGTTCCCTTTCCATTTATAAGGTAGAGAAGAATGTTTTTCAGTAGGTCTCATAGGTCACTGGATAGCCCTGATTTTTTTAATATCACACCAGGGTAGGGTCTTCCCAGGCAATGTCTCCAAAATATTACATTTAGGGGCAAGACAGTCAAGGTGATCAAACTTGGAACATACCTATCCTCTTTCTCCCTTTACTTCTCCCAGCACATATAATGAAAACTTAAACCCAAGGTTAATTACTTTTCTTTACTCCACTATTTTGACAAGTAAATCAGCTTACTGCTTTCCCCTCCCTCCATCATTCCCCTTCATGTTTAACCGTTGGCATCTCATGGCTCAACTATTGTGCCAGCTTCCTCTGTGTTCCCTGTCACACCAGTCTTTCCCTTCAGGATATCTCCCAACCTTGAATTATAGAGGTCAGCATTTCTAGACCTAATGAGCTCCACATGGCTCTTTGCTGCCCATGGAAAAAATGTCTAACTCTCTGCCTGATGTTAAAGGTTTTCTGTGATCTTGTCTCTGGTCTCTAAACAGACCTTGTCCCTCAACTAAAATCATACTTTCCACACCAAATATTTTGTGCCTTCTTATGTCATTATAAATGCCAATTCTTCGTGCCTAGAATGTTCTTCTGTATATTTTTATTGACTTAGTCTCTCTTTAAAATTAACTTTAGATGCTTTCTCTGTTGTCTCTCCATTTTACTGCATGCTTTTCCTTCTTATCATCCTGGGATTGCCTCTCCACTCATGTCAAACCTCTAAGTTTGCAGTTCTTAAAAAGAAAATTCTGTTCTGTTTATCTGAAGATGAGTACAAGTGGGTTAAAATTAATCTTCAACAACCAGCAAGAGCCCTTGCTGGGTTCCAGACTGGAACATCCTCTTTCTTACCAGAATTTGTTCAGAAAGCCCAGAACTTGAAGTTGTTTTCATGCCTTACCCTTTCGGTGTATAACTATGCAGAGTGATGACAGGAGGAAGCCAGCCCAGTCCTAGGACAGAAAACCGTTTCAGGACACAGACTTCAAGGAATGTACTTGCTTTTAAGAGGTGGCCCCAGGATAAAAGCATGCATTGCCTGAGACTTAGGAAAACCAGTACCAAGGACAGAGGGAGGCCTGTCTGGGGATCTGAGGCTGAGTCACAAGAGATGGCTGACAATCTGGAGGTTATAAAGATCACCCAAAAACTAGTGAGAGAAATGAATATGCTCAAGAAAGGAATGAAGACAAAGAGCTCTCTCTTTTAGGATGTGGAGAAATCCACAGCCCAAGGGAAGGGATGAATAATGGCTAAGACTATGGCTTTGGCATCAGAAAGTTTGGGTTCAAAAGATATTTGGTTGCTAAGCAGTCTTGGCCAAATTAGTTAACTTCTCTAAGCTTTGTTTTCCTCGTCAATATTTACCAACTTTAGAATGTCATTGTGATAATTAAATTATCTAGTACAAGAGCACTGCTTAACTCAATGTAAATAGCTATGGTCATCATTACCTGTCATCAGAATGATTCTTTGTGATAAGACTCCACTAGAGAAGCAGTTCCTAAACTGTGACTTGTGAAGTGGACTTCTCTTGAGAAGTACCTAAAAGCATGTTCTATAGAGCAATAGTTTGGGGAACCCTTGTTCTTACAAATTCACAGCTCTTGTGTCTATTCAATATTTAACTCCAAGGGCATACAATACAATAGAAAACAACATAAATAAGGTCCTTATATTTATAGAGCTTACATAATTATAAAGTGTACTAGTTCATGTTGGCTGATAAAATGGCACAAACTGGGTGGCTTACACACAACAGAAATCCATTTCTCACGGTCTGTAGTCTCTGGAGTCTAAAATATTGGTAGACTTGGTGTCTGAAGATGACCCACTTCCTGGTTCACAGATGACACATTTCAGCTGTGTCCTCATATGATGAAAAAAAAATGAGGCACTCTCTGAGGCACCTCTCATACGTATACAAACTCCATAACCCTCCTAACCCAATTACTTCCCAAAGATCTCAGTGGCTAATATGATCATGTTGGTAACTAGGTTTCAACATATGAATACAAACATTCAGACCTAAACATGTAGGAAAGGAGATAAACAAAAAGAACCGAATAAACTTTGTGTACAATCTTAGTAGTGATAGTTGCTAAAAAGAAATACACAAGTGTAATAAATCAATCACAGAAGGTTAGATATCATGTGGTTTCTCTTACATGAGAAACCCAAAATACAAGTAAAGAACAAAATACAAGAAAGATGATAGGAAACAGCGAAGTGGATTTTGTGAAGAAGGGGAGAAGGAACCTGGAAATGGGGAAGGACAGGGAGGGGAAGGGGAAGTAACAATTATGAAAATGTGACATCTACTGTACCAGTTACTAAGATGAATATAATTATTACATTCCCCGAAAGTATACTAATAAAAAAGCTAAATAAATAAATAAATAGATCAAGGTAAGGAAACAGACAATGAATGATGGTAAAAGGTGCTCTTTTAGATATGGAAGTATCTTTGGAAAAAACTAGTTCTTTAGGCACTGGCTGGGAGGTGGGTTTTATTCTACATGTGATAAAAAGCCAGTGGAAGGCTTGGGGTAGTATAGTGCATGATGTGATAAATCCTAGAGCAATTAGTTCGTTCAGCATCAGTGAATACAGTACCCACAAACTAATTTGACCTTCTCCAGAAGACTTTCGTCCAAAAACATTTGGAGCAATCACTGAAGAAACTCCACAAGAAATCCCAGATTTTGTCCATTTTCAAGGAACTGTAAATTTGTTCTTACTTATCTAAATCTACAATAAAAAGCCAAAGAAACATATCTGGGCCAAAGCAGGCATGCCCTGGGCAGGAAAATATAACTTCAGAGGCAGAGACAAGTAGAATGGCATCCTAATTAGCAAAACTTTTTGGCTATGATAATCAATGAACATGGCCAGACATCTCTAGATGCTAGAACCCCATCTAGACCAAAGAAAAACTGCCAACCTCTGCCCAGAAGCTAATAAACATTTGCAGGGGGCTGGGGATTTAGCCCAGTGGCATAAGCGCCTGCCTTGTAAGCAGGCAGTCATGAGTTCGATCCCCGGTACCGATAAAAAGGAAAAAGACAAAAAAAAAAAAAACATTTGCAAACAGTATATCTTGGCTTAAGTGTTCTCCAAAGAGGAATGTATAAAACTGGAGATCCAGCCCAAAGCAGGTAGAAAGACAGGGGTCAAATATTTTGGTGCTTACACATGAACAAACATCGAAGAACTGCTGTAAACCTAGGAAGTAAGTGGTGAAGGTAGATTCTAGGACCCTGGTCTTTCTCTTTGTCAGGCAGTGAAAATTTAAGTGCTCACCTTACATGAGTTGAAAGCAATTTCTGAAGAGTCAACCCTATGTAGTTCAAATGTCAGTTAAATTATGCATCTGAGAGCCTCACAGCAGGTTTTGTCTCTTAAGCTAGAGATCCTCTCTGAGTCTCATTTGAATTTCCAAATTGGCATAGTACTGCTTATCTCACTGGGTTATCATGACGAAAGACAAGATACATGATAACATGTATACAAAAGCATTTAACATAATGCTTGGCACAAAACAGGAATGCAATAGGCACTCAACAACGTGTTAGTTTCATGTTAATTTGCTTCCTGTCCAGTTCCGTCTGTATTTGGTTTTCTATTAGTAGATGTCATTTATTGAATAACTACTATACTCCAGTAGGGGTCAGCAAATGAAGTTTTTGGCTCATTCTTCACTTATTGCCTGTAGCTATTTTGTCTACAGCACCAAAGCTGAATAAGTTGTAACAGTGATACTCTGATTTCAAAGTGTAACATGTTTACGGTGTGATGGGTAGACACTGTTGACCCCTGCCAGTCAGCATGGGAAAATCTTTGCACATGATTTTCAGTTACCATAACTTAGCAAGGTATAAATAGTTAGGTATTCACACATATAAAGAAAAGGAAGCAGAAATAAAGATTTGTCTGGCAAGTCCACACCCTCCTAAAACATAGCGCCAAACCCTATACCTGCAGAACCTAAAGAATAATAAAAGAATTACGCATTTGTATGAGTCAGCCTGCATTTTTCATGACCTCTGATTTTTATATCTTTGACTAAATCGCCTCACTTTCCTGCCATATATGGCAATAAATGATCCTATCTAGACAAAACTGTGCCTGTTTTCCTTGCCTATTTGTCTCTTTGTATAATTCCATCCTTTTGGAAATGAATGGTATAATTTGCAAAACCTTCTAAAATACTCTCATGCCTTGCCTGGTGCCCTGGAAACTATACTGTTTTGGGATGGTACATAGCATAGTCCTAATATTATTAACTGACAGATTTTAAGGCTCCCTTTTTGGACACTTCTCACTTTGTCTTTCTATCACTAATTAACAATCTCTCCAGGTCAAAATAAAGGAACACAAACTGTTATCTGCGGCCAGTAAAGATTTGCCCAAAACTAGGTAGCTTAGTGTACCTGACTTTGTGCCATTCCTTTGAGTTCAAAATAATAAATAAAATTAATGTGTGCACCCTAATTCTCCAATTTCACTGTCCTGTATTGCTCCATTTTAGGAATCCAAGAACTCTACTCATATTAATGATGTTGGTTTTCTCCTCTGAAATTCATCATATAATTTTTTAAATAAAACAATAATTTGCTTCAAACCAATATCCTGGTATAGCAGAATAGACGGGGCTTTTAATTCTGATACAAATAATTATTGACTGGGTAGTTTATCCTACACTTTGAAACCTGAAGTTCTTGTACTAGAAAAATGGGAACCATGGTCTTTAACATTTTAGACTGGCCTCACAATTAAACAGCTTGTTCAAGTATGAAACATGTGATAAATGTTAACTTATTTGCCCCATTCTTAGTTTAAATTGCTCCAAGCCCTCCAATCCTGGGGCTTCATTCCTGTCACAGACAGGTATAGCATATTTCCATCTAATACATTAAGAAATGTGAAAGAAGAGAGGTTCAGGGATTTGTTCTGTTCCAGCACTTTCCACATTGTGTGACTCCAGGCCTAATCCTGTGACACACTTCAAGCAGAAAATAATCAGCTAAGTTTGGGAAATACTCTACAAACTGTCCCTTTCTTGGAGATTTCCAAGAACACAAGTACATAAAGACCCTGAAAAATCTGAAGCAAAGAATTCTATGTAATTTGTTCAGCTGAAAATAACATTTGGCTTAAAAATAGCACTTCCCAAACATGTTTAATTAAGAAATACCTTTGCTACCTCCCTTAATAGTTCTCAACATGTTGTAGATTAGACATGAAAATACCATTTAAAGTTATACTGTTAAAGTAAGTCCAAATCAATGGTTAGATACATTTCTATATCCTCCTACCCAATCTGTAAATCATAAAGCTTTTCCATTTCCAACAGTCATTCAGGAGCCCAAACATTCCATCCTTTTGAAGTTAGTCCTTTGAGCTTTATCAAAGATCACCCTTTGCCATCATTAAAACGTAACAGCAGAGCTGAGATACGAATGCTATCTTGGACCATCTGGTCAGCCCACCTGAGTGACATTTCTGTTTCCTGTTTATAGCCTGTCACCAGGAGCATGGAAGATTCAGTATAAACTGAGAGCACTAATAAGGTATTTCACGTAAGGCACATAAAGCACAGATGTTTTTAGCACTGGCTGTGATTGCTGCATTTCAGGGACCCCAGTTTTAGAAAAAGGAGACGATGAGTCATAGTTTTCCCTGAGAGTTCAGCTTCCTGCTAACCGTCTTACAGACCTGTTTTTATTTCAGAGGTCATATTCTATCACGGTGTAGCAAATATTAAGAAACACAATTCTGACAGACTTCTGTAATTTTCACTGGTCCCACCTGGCTCCTTCTGACTTAGGCCTTGGTCAGAATTCTACTCATTTGAATATCAGCACCCTGGGTTGGAAAAGATGTCCAGATCTTTCTGGTCCTACTATGCCAAATATTTAGCACATGTGTTCCCCACTCGCCGCTCCTGTGCAGAGTTGTCTCTGTAACTTGCCCTTCCTTGATAGGTCTCTTTAATTTTTTAACCTTGCCTCGCAGACCTGAGAACTCACTTTCCAAGACATATGAAAAAGCTAATTAGATTCTTAAAATTCTAGATGAAGGAGAAAATAGAAAAGACCACTGTTCCACTGGGAAATGAATTCAGATCTATTTTGAAACTATTTTCCAGAATTTTACAGGAATCTATATTGTTGCCACTTGGTCAGACCTACTTTTTATTTTCTTTTCTGTCTAGGCAAGAAATTGAAAAAAAAAAAAAAAAGCAATGCTCTGCAATTTTATTTCAAAAATTGAAACCAGACCACACCAGGGCAGTTTGTGGTCTGTATGTATCAATGGATCTAGTCATACTTCATCTGAGCTTTTCTTAGGTTTACTAAACCGCAAATATGAATCTCATTATTGCATCTAGATGGAAATATTTTATGGATTAAGTTGTGGATTTAATTTAGTTGGTAACGAAACTTCTGTTCAAGGGTTAAGAGGTAGGGAAGGAGGGAGGGGCCACAAAATAACACCAATGCTCGAGTCAAACAATTTAAGAGAGAAATGATATTTGAGAATTTTGAGTTTTGTAGTTAATGCTGGCCATTTGGCTTGGGTCTAAAATGAAATCTACAATGAATTGCAGCAGAAATACTATTGTACTAAAAGCTTCTCTGCAGTCATGTAGCACTGGGTTCTCAGGAGCCTGTGGTATTGACAAGAATTCTTTGGGGAAGAGTGACGGCTATCTTAATCACTTTTGTTGTACTTAGTATGGTATTTGGCAAATAGTGACTACTTACTGAAAACTGGAATGAATAAAAGTAAGTCTAATTACAGCATTGAGGCTGTGATGAACTGCCTGGTACAACTTGAGTTACAAGGAATCACAGAAATACTTACATTACTCTCCAGAAAAAAAAGAGTATTTGTTCACTTATTAATTCTTCAAATATGAGAACCTGCTGTATGTTGAGTTCAAATCAAGAAGTATATCCATGTTTATTGTAGTCCACCTAAATAATGTTATGCTAAATAATATTTATAATAATAAATATAATTATGTTTTAGACAGTGTTTGGAGTTGATATACAGGCATGAAAGTCTCAGATGTAGTACTTACTCTCATGGAACTGCCAACAGAAAATGATCTAACTATATGTAGACTCGGTGTATACATCCAGCTGTACATAGATACAAAGTGGAATTAGGTAATTTGCAAAGTAGACCTGTCTAATCTTCTCAGAAGTTATAGAAACATAATAAAGTCATTCAAAAGCTTTATAAAACATAGTGGAAATAATATCAGATCAGCTATTCAGACAATTCAAAAAACAGAAAGATCAGTTTTTAGCTGAAGTTACCTGACCTTCCAGTAAAGGATTTTTGTCCAGACAGAGATGGCAAAGGAGCTTTCTAGAATCCTTTGAAGCATGTTCCCAAAAGTAACAGAAACAACAGTGTCCCAAAGTCATCCATCAGCTTGTCTCACCTTCCCATCAGGCCACAGGATGTCTGGCACATTTTAGTTCCCAGAGATGGGCAATATTCCCCCTTCCTTGGGCTTGGAGGCCATAAATACCTCATTAAAGTCAGAAGGGTCAATGGAGGCCTGTCCTTGAACCATAACTCCTTCCTCTGGCCCTCCCGCCCAAAGGCCATCTGAGATGATAGCTCAAGGCACTGTCTTTGGACTCTGGTGGACTTGGGTTTAAATCCTGACTCTACAACTAAGGAAACATCTGAACTTGCACAAACTGTTTAATTATTAGTCTTCATCTGAACAGGGAAAACAGAGTGTACTTTGTGTTATTTTACGAGAATTTGCAATTGGATATATAAAATGCTTAGCATAGTCTCTGGTAAAATAAAACTCATTACCCAATAGTTACAGATACCTTTATTGCATATGTTAACACCTCTGTGAGAATACATCAATCTCTTTAACCTACTCCCTTTCTACTCCAGGAAACCCTCCATGAACTTTACAGCTTAGCATGACACTGCCTTCCTCAGTGCTCTCACTGGGGCTACCAAACCTTGCTTCTTTGTCCTAGGTCCAAAGACATCTGGGAAGAAGGAATCGCTTTTTACTCAGCCTGTTTTCCTCAGTATCCAGCACATTGTGAGGCCCTTAGTAAACAAGCAGTAATTAGCTCTTGTAGGAATCTTAACATTAATAGCCTCACTATTGGCTTTGCACCACATTCTCAACCAGATAGCACTTACAACATCGGAAAGAGTAAATCAACAACATGTGCCTTTAAAAGCAATTACATTTTCCTCTGGGAGCTTCATTACATACAGACCGTGATTATCTTCATTGTTTTACCAATCTTGCTTATTAATATGTCACATGGTAAGGAGTTAAGAAAAATATACTAAAGAGATGGGTGGATGGAAGGATGGATAGATGGATGGATGGATGAGTAAAAGTAGCCTGACAGGACCAAAAAGTTTAGAAATCACTTAACACCAGGGTTCTCTAAGTTCTAACCCTGATATTTCCCTCTGGAAACTATTACGGTGTCTTCAGACTAAGAATTAATAGAAACCTGCTAGACACCATGGTACACCCCTCTGTAGCAGAGGCTGAAGCAAAGATTCTGAGTTCAATACCAATTTGGGAAACTTAGCATGGCCTTGTCTCAAAAAATAAATAAAGTGAAATAAAAAGCCTGGAAATATAGATGTAGCTCAGTGGAAACCTCTGATGCAGTGCATCGCATGATGACAGGTGGTGGAGAGGGCTGCTTGGACTTGGTTCTGTAGTATTCAGAATGTTGCCTAACATGGACAAGGCACTGAGTTTAATCCCTTGTGCCAGAAATAAGAAAAAGGGATTAATGGAAACCTTTCATATATTTCCTTTTTTTTAAATTTTTGCCTCCAACTTTAGTGAGCTATAATGTATAAATGAAAGTATACAATTTAAATATTTGGTATTGTGAAATGGTTAACAGATTTAAGCTAATTAACATAGCCACCACTTTGCGTAGTTACCTTTATGTGGCCTGTGTGTGGCAGGGAGTATAGGTATGTGTTTTGAGAACACTTAAGATCTGTCTTAGCAAATTTCAAGTCTAAAATATAGTATTATTAACTATAGCTTCAGTGAAATCCGCTCAGTTCCCCTTTTCTTCCCCATAAGCTAGAGGAAAAGATGCACCTGATCAAACTCCTTGACCAAGAGGTAAGATCTCTGGGTTTTTATCTGCTTTTTCAGTAATTTTCTGAGTGACCTTCTCTAGATGTTTCAGTTCAATTATTCTCTTAAATAAGAAGATGCTATGCAGAGTGTTTCAGGTCATATGCTATTTCTACATCATTGCAAATAGCTGCCTAGAGTGACAGATTCTGAACACATTGGAAACAATGCTCCCCTGGAGTATCATTATCAATTATAGGCATCTGCCATGTACACAGAATAATATGCATGGCTGTGACTGTTTCACCATCCCTGGACTCAATGGTCTTTTACAGTTGCTTCTAAGCCCTGCTCAAATGTGATTTTGATGCTAGAATTTGATTTCTGCCTGCATATGGAAAGTACTGAGAAGCTGGGCCAAATATTTCCCATTACGAGCAAGCCTTGAAAGATTAAACCACAGGCAATCTGTTCTGGAGAGAGGCCTGGCTCGGCACCACGGACAGCCATCCCAGTAGCAGCACTGCCTCTGAAAAGCCTTGGCCAAAGAACTGACCTCCCAGAAAAAGGCCCCACCCAGCCTTTCCCTGCTACTGAATTAGATTAGAGAGGTTAGGAGGAAAACCAGGGTGGCAAGCATTAGCCTCTATTTTCTCCTAAGAATTTCAGCGCATTCTTGCTACTTGACAAACCAAAACAATTAAGAATTACATACTGCCATGAAAAAAGTCATGGTGCATCTATGGAGGAAGAGACTTCCCAAAATTCTCTTACAATTTTCTCAGTCATCAAAGATTACCCTTCTCTCAACTGCTTTCTTCAACAAAACACACCAAGCAATTATGCAGACCAGATACTAAGATCTTCTTGGTGCTAACTAATTGCTTTGCATGTGTTTTTTTCATTTAATCTCATTTATTCTCAGTTGAAGATGAAAGAACTTTATCATGGAGTTGATATTAATGTTAGCTTTTTACAAATGAAAAAATTTAGGCCCAGAGAGGGAATGGTAGATGTCAAAGTAATAGCTCCTAGATGAATCATATGGAGTTGCCACCACCTAATCATTTTGATCGTTAAAAAAATGACAGCTCCATATGGTTCAGACTAACACTCAGGGGCAGTGCCAAGTTCTAACAGTATCAGATTAATTCTGGAACTGATAGTCTCAAGCATTACATAGACTTCTTGGATATTTGTTGAATTTTAGCATTTATCATTCTTCCCAATAAGGATCTATTCACATGTCTGCCTCCTTAATGGGACTGTGAGCTCATTGAGAGAGAGGTTTGTCTATCACCATGTCTAAAACACCCCACTGTTTCCAGCCTGACCTACAACTCATCTCTGTTGGATATAAGGATAAATCATCTCTAAATGAATTAATTCTCTGGTCTCTAAGTGATTGCTGCCCCAATAGTATGTTAACTGGGCACCAATTAAGGCACCATGCTTGCTAAAGTGATTATTGCTTCTGAGCCCTGGGACCCAAGCACCCAGGGCTAGGAGGGTTTTGGGGTTTTAGTTCAAAATTTTTCAATTTTCTATGCCTCAGGTTGTGCTGACCTCACTCAGTTGTGGGGATCAGATGTCCTCAGAAAAATATCCATACTTAAAGCTGTTTCCTGGCTCTTGGCTCTTCCTGACACATTCCAAGAAGGAATTTATGGATGTGGGGAAGGACAAGGGGTAAAGAATGTCAAGAACATTTAAGAATGCCCATGTAAGCAACTCCATGCTTGACAGATTGGACACAGTAAAATTCTCTTGCCTATGTGTAAGCCAGAAAAGAAAACTGGTGTAAGATGTCTCATGTGTTGCCAAAATGATGCGGAAACAAATTCATCTGCATTTTTTAAACAGTAGAAATCATCCTTGTCCCTCCAAACCATGGATATTTCACATGCATACTTCAGTATTGCAAGGAATATGTTCTTTGAATTACTAAAAATGAAGCCAAAAGTAATTCTGAAAAGTGACTTTAGCCAGTTGGATGTGTTACCATTACCTAAAAGTGAAACTGTTTGTTGTATATTCTCTCGCTGTACTGAGGGAAAATTTCAAAGCATATTGGTTTCTTCATCTAGCAATGGTCTTTTTCCTGAAGTGAAATGATGAAAACTAACCATTAGTTTAATCCATCCTGCTCCAAAATGCCAAACAGCTCACTAGAAAGATCTCTCTCCTGTGTGCAGAAACCTGTCCTCTTTAGCTGACCCCCAATATATGTACATATTAGCACTTATTCTGTTTTTGCGGGCCCAGAGATGAGACATCTCCTGCTTTTCTGGAATTTATACTCGGCAATCCTGCCCTCCTCTACCTTACTGTTCTCAGCTAAGGATAAACAGTCTGCAGTCCTTTCTCCTTCAAGATGTTTTCCAGACATTTCATTACTGATCGCTTCCTATAAAGATAAGCATCTTTTTGTGATTTTTAAAAGGTTTCTGTAGGATAATTGTTCATTCTTAAGATATGAAAGTCCTTCTATCAGACCTTGATTTCTTTATGTCTAACCTAAACCTCCCAAACTGCAAATTCAAGTCACTTTCCCTAAGCCAAGCCTCAAAGGAGACATAAACCAGCCAGTTGTCTGCATGAGAATAGTTTGCATTCTTGAAGGTCATTATTTGCTCCCTGATTTTTCCCTCTCTGGAATAAATATTTCTGGTTCTAGTAAACTGATCTTCACAAGGTTTAGCTCCTCACCCGTCAGTAATTTCTGCAGCTCCTCTGATCTAGATCCAAGTTGCTGCTCAGTTTAGGGTAGGATTCCACTAGGATGTCATGTTCCAGCTTAAGTAAAAGGAGGCCATTGGCATGAGCTCCTGCGAGGTTTTATTTGTTCCCAGAAGTACAATAAAATAGCAGCTTTGTTTAGTGAGTGCCTACTATGGGCCTGAAGCCATACTGAGTGCTCTGTGTACAACTCTCTAATCTTTAATTCCTCCCTGGAATGGTTTCAATCCCTAGCTTTTAAATGAGGTCATGATTTAGCTAAGTTTAGTAAGTTGCCAAAGTGATGGGGCCAGTAGGTGGCATTTATATACAGGTGTGTCTGATACTAAAGTTCAAGCATTTTTTACAATGTGGAAGATGTGATGGGTTCTCCAAAAGCACAAAACCATCCCTTGGCTCTCAGAGCACCATGAGCTGTGGGAAATGCAGAGCACTTAAGAATGGAGTACTACTCAGCTATAAAGAAGGATCACATTAAGATATTTATACATAAATGGGCACAGCTTGACACCATACTCATAAGTGAAATAAATCAAACTCACATGTATGAATACCGAATAGTTTCCCTATTGTAAGAAATGATTCAAATATATAAAAGTATGTGGTAATCATGATTCCCCATTATGTGGCTTTGAAGCCTTATAAAGTTTTCACTCATTAATTAACTAGAATGGCTTTATTCTGGGCTGTTTGATATTGCCTGTGATGATATAAACAGCTATTTTAAAGAAAACAAAACATCATAATAACTAGTGCTGATTTAATATCATCTTGTTTTGAAGTCCCACCAAACTGTTGTTCTTCTGTCTCCATTGGTTTTATCATGTTGTATCTTACTGGATTTTATTATATGTGATACTATAAACAAACAATTTTATAGGCAAAGAGATAATATAGAAACCATTGCTCGTTTTCCATTAGCTGGTTCTAAATACCCTGTAATACTTTCATCCTCTTGAATGGTTTCCCACTGTCTTGATATGTTTGATGCTATAGTATACGAAGTTATATTCAAATATTTCAAGGAAAGGGACATTATGATAACTACTATTAAGTCAGGTTGTCTTGTGATGAAGCACTAGATTGCTGAAATTGTCAAGCTTTGTCCTGTATAGTTATGTTGTTATGTCCTTTTTTATCTCAATCTCCCCCTTTTTCATAAAAAATTTATTTATTTTTATTATTTTTTTAATTAAAGAAAAAATCAAGAAAATTAGCAGAATATATTATAGTAACTTTTTTGATTTCCTATTAACTTAATTTGAAGCCCTGTATTACTCCCACTATCTTGTTTTGACTGATTTTACTCTGTTCTGTTCTGTTTGACAGTATCAAGTTTGAGGGTATAGGCAACTACTTTGAAGGCAGTAAGATTCACCATGATGCCCATTCCAGTTTGACTATTACCTTCATTTGAAGTCCTGTAATGTTTCCAAAGTTTAGGTTTTAATGGTCTTGTTCTGTACTGTTTTGTTCCATTTTATTATACCTAATGATATAGGCAATTCTTTTTAAGGAAGCAAGAGGCATTATGGTAACCATTGTTGATAACCTTGTATTCTGTTTTTACATCATGTGTTATGTCTATCCTTTGTTTTGACTGACTGCTTTGTTTTGTCATATTTGGTTTTATTCTCTTCCAAAAAAAAAGCAATAAGAACTATGGGAGTAATAAAACCCAAAATGTATAAATGTTGTTGTAAAAAAGAGAGGGAAAAAAAGTGCTCTAAAGGATACAACTGCAAATGTGTTTAGGTGTGTTAAGATAGAAGACCATAGTACTAAGTATTTTGTTGTATCATTGAATACAACTGTTTGCAGTCTCACTGTTTGAATGTCCACTTTGTATGCTACACTTTGTATGCAAGTTACAGGATTACCTGTAACTTGAACAACTATTTCTAAGATGACAATATGTAATCTATTAACTATTGATTTCTTACCATTTTTTTAATTCTGTATTACTTGTATCCTTATACTGTTTTGTTTTTTTTTTCCTTTAACTAAATTAAAAAAAGAATGACATGTTCATCCCCAACTTGACATTTCACCGTGTCAGTGCCCATCTCCCAAATATGAGTGAAAACTCCTCACCCAACCCACACCCTAAACTTGGAGTCTTCACCAACAACAAAAGAGTTTTAGATAAAAGTTTAAAAACACTTCAAGCTTAACCCAGGAGCTTTCCAAAAGGAATGAAGTATTTACAGGACAAAGGTAGGAAAGGACTTTGGTAGCATAGTAAAAATTAAACAGACATTCCCATGGAGCTTACAAATATTTGTCCAGTGAACAAATTACCTACATCACAGATCCACAAATAATTACTTAGGTAACCAATTTGAATGAGGAAGTATGTTCAGAAGAGTTGTTTTGTTTTTTTATTTGTTTCTTTGTTTTTTCCTAACCACAAAGTAGAGGCTCTAAATAAGCATTACTTGATCAGTTGGTAAAATATCAGTATGACCATAATTTTATGTGGTGGTAATGTAGTTAGAATAAACCTTGCTAAATGCCTGGCAGGTGCTTTCTCAGCCTCCAGATCCCTTCTCAATCTTATTAAAGTGTTTCTCTGTTCATTTTTTCTACCACAGTCCCTCTCTAAGTTTTTCAGAGAATTTCTGTTGGCATGAAAGTATTAATTATTGATGCATTCTACCACCAGGATAAGATGTTCCTGGGGGAAAAAGTTGGAAAATGCCTTATAGCATAAGCAATCTGAATGCCACAGCTAATTGACATAAATGGTCATTTTAGAATGTGTAAAACGGAAATGTGTTTGCAAAATGATTAACTGAAGACCGAATAACTCTCTATTGTTTATTAATTGAAGAGGATCATGAATGACTTCATACCATGAGCAGATCAGTTTCATATGTATTCACAGTTATTTTAGTCAGTGTTGGATTTGTCTTTCTACATTTACTCAGTAATTTCTCAACCCTCTTTGGTAACGCTCCTTTCCTCTGCTGCCTGATTGCCCGTATAATAGAATAGCCACAAGACAGATGAGTAAGACAGCAAAGTCAGAATGCTTTGTGGCAGGATGTTTTCTCAATACTGTTTCCTCTCTTGCTATTGAAGACTTAGTTTAAATTTCACCCTTTCCCATATGCCAGACCCTGCCATTCTTTGAACAATTCCTTTGCCTTTCAAGCGCCATAAGCAATTAAATTCTGTACCCACAAAATAAATTCCTTGCATTTCTTCTTTGCTCCCTAAGTAGTAAATAGATGATTCCATTTTCTTCTTAATTTTATTATTAAACCCCCTGAGGATAGACTCATGTTCTTATATCTATTTCCACCAACCATAAAACTGTTGAGGGAGCCTGTATAGCAATAGGATTCTGTAAGTGCCGGTTGATTGGAGAAGACCTCAAAGGTTCATGTGTATCATTTCTGAGTCCTTAGTTGCTGTGACTATCAATGTACACAACTATTGAATGCTCTTCTGAAAAACTAGACTTTTGAAAGTTTTGTATTATAAATCAAGAGATGAAACTAGGGTACAGAAAGAAAGAGAATACTACACCATCCATCACATTACCAGAAAGAAGGTTGGCTGAGGTTAAAGCTTGGGGTGCATTCTGGTCTCCTTCATCTTGCTCTCTGAGAAAAGAACCTGTCAGAGAATCTTAAACTCAATTTGGAAGGTCAGAGTTAAAATCACTGGAGAGGTCAGTAATTAGAGGCAGGGTTATAAACCATCAAAGAGGGCTGTAACCTTCACATGACTAATAAATCACTCAGAAGACTTGGCTGGTAAATATTGAAATTAACAAATACACAAGTGATTTCTACTTAATACTGTCACTTACATCATTCTTTCAATTCTGTTGTTAGCCATTATGATCTTCACTGTACATAGAGTAAAATAAGGGCTGGGCATGATGGTGTATGTCTGTAATCTCAGGGCTCATAAGGCTGAGGCACAAGGATTAACATGCATTATGGGCCAGCCTGGATGAGTTCAAGGCCAACCTGAACCACATAACAAGACCTTGTCAAAACAAACAAACAAACAAAGCCAGGTAGCAAAAGGAAACATAATACAAATTACCCAAGGTCTCAGGTAAGAGATGAGAGACAAACCTCACTCTGATGTTTTGCCTTTTCCTCAATACTCTGTTGTCTCCCTAAATTTCCAGAAATTGAATAGTGAGTAAAATAATTCCTTAAGATTGTAAAATTCCTTTTGATACCATTTTATAGGCTTATTACAGTACATACTCAAGAAACATCAGGAAAACTCCAAACACAGAAGACAAAATACAGTTTAGTTGGAATTGTATGTATCCAATAGATTCAATTAGTAGTGGATACTAATAAGTTTGTTTTCCTTCATTTACTTATAGAAAAACATTCTTTCACGAAGACTGAGGATGACCGCTTCAGCTGCAGCTCTGTGCTTCTAATTCCTAAATTAGTACGAGAGTGAGAGACCTTAGTTTCCTAGAAACACCTAGGCAGACCCACCTCCACCATGGGGGCTATGATTCAGCTATTGCTGGGAATCTTCCTAGCTTTTCTTGTGCTCCCTTCAGAAGGTGGGGTTCTCAAGAAAACCATCAGGCACAAGCGACAGAGTGGGTTGAATGTCACCTTCCCAGAGGAGAATCAGCCAGTAGTGTTTAACCACGTCTACAATATCAAGCTGCCTGTGGGATCACAATGTTCTGTGGATCTGGAATCAGCCAGTGGAGAGAAAGATCTGGCTCTTCCATTGGAGCCCAGTGAAAGCATCCAGGAACACACAGTGAATGGGGAAAACCAAATTGTCTTCACGCACCGGATCAACATCCCTCGCCGGGCCTGTGGTTGTGCCGCTGCTCCGGATGTCAAAGAGCTCCTGAGCAGGCTGGAAGAGCTGGAGCTCGTGGTGTCCTCCCTGCGGGAGCAGTGCAGCATGGGGACAGGCTGCTGTCTCCAATCTGCTGAAGGTAGGAGCTCATGGCAGGCTGGCCCCTCCCTACACAGAAGGGACAAACGATGGGTACAGCAGGGTCCATTAGTGGTTTCCAAAGTGGGTATCTAGGTGGTCACTTAAAAATCTCTTACAGTCAAATGAATGTGAAGAACATAGCCATCTCCTTTCTGTTTTCAGTTAAATCATGATGGCAAAAGTTTCTGAGAAATTCCTAGGCCCCTGAAAAATGTGCTTTTGAAAACCCTATTAAATTTCAATGATGTTTCTAAAACTGAGTTAACCTGAAATCTATCATCCTTCACCACAAAATTCGTGAAAGCATTATGAAATTCCTGCCCTCAAGGGATACTCTGTGTAAGATACTGCTCCATCATCTCATTGTACAATTAGAGAAACTGAGGCTTAGAGTGTAAGAATCTCAAGATCTTATAGTGAGGATCTGAGTTAGATCTTAAAACATGGAAGGCCATGCACCAGATTTCTTAGCAATGTATGGTGATGACTGTGATGGTGCGGGATCTATAGGAATTGGAAAACAATTTCCCATGCAATTGAGCCTAATGTGATGATCACAGAGACATAAGCCACCTCCATTCCAACTGCTCTGTATGAGATGCTGTCACTATTACCCCAGTGGATCCTCCAATTACCTTTAAAGACAAAACTTAATCCCCCATCTGTAGGTCTAAGAATTTAAACTTGAAGAAGTTAATCACATGTTACAAGATGACACAAAGAACAAAGAGGAATGGGGCTCCCCTCTGTGTCTTCAGAGCTCATACCTTTTGTTGACACCGTGTATCCACATGCATCCCATTTTAAAGAATTTTGTTCCTTTGGAATTATGTCTTTATCTCCATTCCTTGAATTCAGTAAGACTATGGAATTTTCATCAGTTTCAAATCAGAAACAAAAATCTTTATATCTGCCACTAAAGAAAAAGTATCAGGAAGTACTTGGATAATCATTTCAAGGTTAGACCTCTCCACCATGAGTAAAACATACTGTAGGTACCCAAGATTTCTAATGCAGTTTTTAAAATTTTTGTTTTGTTTTTTCATTGTTGTTTGTTTGTTTGTTGGTACTGGAAATAGAACTCAGGGACTCACACTTGCTAGGCAGTGTCCCAGCCTCTAAGGTAGTATTTTTATATGGTTTCTCTAGGCATAATTGTCCTACCCATCTGTCAACTCCCTGGCAAAATGCAAATGAAAATACTAAGGTTTAATGCTAAAAATTAGGCTGTAATAATTGTTTGTGAGTGCTGTCCAGTAAAAATTTGATGTAGCCACAAGTGTAATCTTAAACATTTCAGTAGTTATAGTAAAGAAAGAGAGTATGAGAATTTTGGTGTTTTTTTTTTTTACTTGAATTTCATGAAGATCATAGCAGTAACTTCTGCAAGTTAAATCAAAACACTTAAGATTCAAAAAGCTGGCAATTTGTCAGCCCTGAATTTCTTTCCTGTTTTGTTTTGTTTTGTTTTGGTCAGCCCTGAATTTCACCAGAACTGTAAGCTTCTAAAAAATAGGATGGGCAAAAGCCAGAGGTGCATGAGTTTTCTAGGACAGAGTCATGTTGAAAGGTGCCCTAATAGTAGTTGAAAGACACTTTTTAGCTGCGTCATTTCATTTATGGAAAATTAAAAAGCTTGCATGATGTAGGTTCACATACCAACTTAGGCCAATCACAGAAACGTTTCAGAAAGGCAAACAGAAAATCACAGGAGTAAGCACTTCGCATTCTCATCTGACCTCCACGTGTGCCTGTGAAGTAGGGTATCAGATCCACCTGACCTAGAAGGAAACTGAGCTCCAGATGCTCAACTCATGCACACAGCTGGCAAACCTAAAGACAATCAGAATTCAGTTCAGTTGAACTATTTTTTTTTAGCTATCTCTTATGTGCCTATCCTTTACTAGGAACCAAAGAAATAGTGACATAGCTCCAAATAACGAAATCCACAAGCCAGTGACTCATAATCACAAGAGACATGGGACCCCTTGAAAATATGAAAACTATAGATACACACACACTGAGAGAGAGACACAAACACACATGATATATCTTATCTTTATATGCAAGTCTATAATTTGGGTGAATTCAGGCTTAGAATTCCTGTGCGTTGGATGTGAACTCTGACTGCACACACTAAGCAATTTGGAACCTAGTGGAACCTAAGAGTGCGCCCTTCCTCTGACCCTAGAGCTGGGCTAAGCTTGAATCTGAGTTTTACAGGGAAATCTTGAGAAACGCCTGCCTAGTCTCTGCTGTCTTCCTGGTAGGTCGTCTGGACACCAGGCCCTTCTGCAGTGGCCGAGGTAACTTCAGCACCGAAGGATGTGGCTGCGTTTGTGAACCTGGCTGGAAAGGCCCCAACTGTTCTGAGCCCGAGTGTCCAGGCAACTGTAACCTGCGAGGCCAGTGTCTCGAAGGACAGTGCATCTGTGATGAGGGCTTCACGGGTGAGGACTGCAGCCAGCTGGCCTGTCCCAGTGACTGCAATGACCAGGGAAAGTGTGTGGATGGGGTATGCATCTGCTTTGAAGGTTATGCAGGAGCTGACTGCAGCCAGGAAGTCTGCCCGGTGCCCTGCAGTGAGGAGCACGGGAGGTGCATCGACGGCCGGTGTGTGTGCCAGGAAGGCTTTGCGGGCGATGACTGCAAGGAACCCCTGTGTCTCAACAACTGCTATAACCGCGGACGCTGCGTGGAGAACGAGTGCGTGTGCGAGGAAGGCTTCACAGGCGAGGACTGCAGTGAGCTCGTCTGCCCCAATGACTGCTTTGACCGTGGCCGCTGCCTCAACGGCACCTGCTACTGTGAAGAGGGCTTCACGGGCGAGGACTGTGGCACACTCACCTGCCCCAATGACTGCCACCAGCAGGGCCGGTGTGAGGAAGGACAGTGCGTGTGTGACGAAGGTTTTGCTGGTGCCGACTGCAGCGAAAAGAGGTGTCCTGCCGACTGCCACAACCGCGGACGCTGCCTTAATGGGCAGTGTGAGTGTGACGACGGATTCACGGGAGCTGACTGTGGGGAGCTCAAGTGCCCCAATGATTGTAGTGGCCATGGCCACTGCGTCAACGGCCAGTGTGTATGTGACGAGGGCTACACAGGGGACGACTGCAGCCAGCTGCGGTGCCCCAATGACTGCCACAGCCGGGGCCGCTGCATAGAGGGAAAGTGTGTGTGCGAGCCCGGCTTCGAGGGCTACGACTGCAGTGACATGAGCTGCCCCAATGACTGCCACCAGCATGGCCGCTGCGTGAATGGCATGTGTGTCTGTGATGACAACTACATAGGCGAAGACTGCAGGGACCGCCGCTGTCCCCGGGACTGCAGTAACCGGGGTCGTTGTGTAGACGGGCAGTGCCTGTGTGAGGACGGCTTCACCGGCCTCGACTGTGCAGAGCTGTCCTGTCCCAGTGACTGCCATGGCCAGGGCCGCTGCGTGAACGGGCAGTGCGTGTGCCACGAAGGCTTCATGGGCCAAGACTGCAAAGAGCGAAGGTGTCCTGGCGACTGCCACGGCCAGGGCCGCTGTGAGGATGGCCAATGCGTGTGCCACGAAGGCTTCACGGGCATAGACTGTGGGCAGCGCTCCTGTCCCAATGACTGCAGCAACTTGGGACAGTGCATTTCCGGTCGCTGCATCTGCAACGCGGGCTACACCGGAGACGACTGCTCACAGGGTGAGTTCAGGCATGCAAAAGGGCATGATGCCAGCTGCATTAACGTCCATACTTGGCATGGGTCAGAAGACTGTATGCTTATCAACACACACTGAGACTCATTCCATACGTTAATGTGCTTCTCCTAAACACACGTGCAGGCACTTCTTTCTGAGGCAGCTGTGGTCATTCACTTGGTACAGAGCTACCTGGCTGAGGACTCAAAAGGGAGTCTTATTTGTGCCTCCCTCAAACACCCAGATTATAAGCATGACAGAGATCCCTGTCATTGGCAGCCAGATCTCAGTGTCTAATATGACAGAATCAGGGTCAGAAAGAACACCACACTGGTGGGGAGGGAATGGGAGTCCCACATTTGCTGAGATGAGCAAGCTTGGACAGACTCAGGCCTTGCCTTCCCACACCGACTCTGAACTAGGACCCGGGAGTGGAGAAGTAGGAGGGGCTAGGTTATGAAGAGCCCTGCATACCACACCCCTGCCCAGTAACATCAAGTGCATGTGGTAGAAGAGACTAATGAATTTTCGGGCCAGAACCTATATTTTAGAGATGACGGAAGCTTGATTTCAGTGGGAGAGCCTCAGAGATCTGCAGCTGACAACAGAAGAGACAGAGGTTCAGAGAAGCAAACCCGGGGGGATTTTACATGGCATGTTACTGACCTCATCCTTTCTGATTTCTGCCAGTATCTCCTCCCAAAGACCTCATTGTGACAGAAGTGACAGAAGAGACCGTAAACCTGGCATGGGACAATGAGATGAGAGTCACAGAGTACCTTGTAGTGTACACACCCACCCATGCCAATGGCCTGGAAATGCAGTTCCGGGTGCCTGGGGACCAGACATCCACCATCATCCGGGAGCTAGAGCCTGGCGTGGAGTACTTTATCCGCGTGTTTGCCATCCTGGAGAACAAGAAGAGCATCCCCGTCAGTGCCAGGGTTGCCACTTGTGAGTGAGCCCACCCTGTAGATCCCCCCCGAGTGGCCTCTCCCTCCTGCTTTAGCAGCCCCTGCCCAGTTGTCGTTTCAGGATTATAGTAAGTGAGAGCCCAGATCCCAGTGGAGGCTGTTAAGTATTTTTTTAAAGAAACTCCTCATTTTTAACCAGCTCTTCCTCCTTGCTCTCCCATTCTTTCCTGTAAGTTGTTCCTTTAAATGTCTGGCATCAGCAGAATTACCTTTATACCTGGAAAGCTAGCTGCATCTAGAGATTGGCTCTTTCTTGCTTAGTAATATTAACACAGGCTACTACTTCCTGAACTTGTACTACAGGTCAGGAAGCAGACCCAGCAGTCCATGTGAACTTTATCACTAAATTCCCAATGTATTCCTAATGGCAGTCAGTGTCACCTCCTTCTCCCAGGAAGAGGAACAGGCTCAAGCCATTTTGTGCAACTTACCCAAAGTCAAATGTTTATAATAATGGAGTTTAGATTCTAGCCCATCTGTCTGATCTGAAAGCCTGTCCTTCATTAATGATATGAACTGGCAATTATCCAACCACAGAATTAGACCTATTATTAATTTTCACCCTGTCCCATAATAAATAGTACTCCAGAAGAACCTTTGAAAAATCATCTTTAATTATCCATCTCAGAATGATGGTCTGTTATGGTCTTAGGGATTCATAACTGGGTGGCCCCTACTGCACATCTGTCTGTCCTTATATCCTACCGGTGCTCTTCCTTTACAGACTTGCCTGCACCCGAGGGCCTAAAATTCAAGTCCATCAAGGAGACATCTGTGGAAGTGGAGTGGGATCCTCTAGACATTGCGTTTGAAACATGGGAGATCATCTTCCGTAATATGGTAAGTAAGAACAGATGTATTTGACCTCAAGGACGTGGAAAATGGCCAAAGCACCTTGCAGACTTTTACCTCACTCCATTTCCTTAACTCTGGAGGACAGATAAGGCTCGAACTAGCACTTTCCAGATTTGCGTATCTATTTTAAGTGATTTTAAGTCATTTCCCCTTTATTTTAATCAGTCAAAAAATACAGAATTTCAGCCTGAAAGCCTTGACAAACAGAGATTAAATCCATTTCTAGATTTTGTTTTGCAAATCTCTACTCAGAGGCAAAGAAAAGAAGAATCAGTTTCTCTTTAAAAACCCTTCTAGGCAGATCTCAGATTTGGGCAGCCCCTCTCTCCATCCCCAAAAGCACAAGTGAGGCAGGAAACTTTACTTCTGAAATGAACCCAGTCTCTGATATGACATACACGTGGCTAAGGGTCAATCACACAACTTCTCTGATCCTCTGTCAAAGGAGGGGTTGAGTTTAGAGTTTCATAATTTCTTTGGCTCTCATGTTCTGTCATGTGACTTTCTTGTCAAATGGCTAGTGGAGAGATTCATGAAAAGACAAAATGAACTAGTGAAATGTCTATCACCTTCGAGCTGTCATCATCTGACATATAACTCTGATGCAGGGGAGGTGCCTGACTGATAGAAGACAAAGAAAGAGGAATAAATGAATGAAGAAGAAATGAACCATGTAAATGATGAGGTTGTCACCTCCTCTGAGGCTCATCAAGGTCTCCTGTCTTTCAGAATAAAGAAGATGAAGGAGAGATCACCAAAAGCCTGAGGAGGCCGGAGACCTCTTACCAGCAAACCGGCCTGGCCCCTGGGCAAGAATATGAGATCTCTCTGCACATCGTGAAAAATAACACTCGGGGTCCTGGCCTGAAAAGGGTGACCACCACCCGTGAGTATTCCCCGTGACCCATAAGAGAGCTGCTAGGGCCTCGTGGCACCTTTGGGTGCTAAAATGCCATCTCATCATATCAAGACACAGTTTGCCAATTAACAAAAAGCTCAATTATTGTGGCTTAAATTTTTCTGCAAATTCATGATTTGATGTTAGGCTCAGCTGAGCAGTCCACCTGTGCTCCACTTGCTCATGCATCTGTGTGGTCTGGGGGCTGATGGCTCTGGTATGGCCTCTACCAGATGGTGACATCATGCACCACATGGTCTCTTACCCTCAGGAGGCTGTGATAGAGGGGTATTCATGTGTCTGTGGAGCAGGCTCACATCTATACTTCTGTAAAAGAAATTCCCAAAGCCAGTCAGGTTTAGGTATAGGGAAACAGATCTATGTCTAGATGAGAGGAGCTTCAAAGTCACAATCTAAGGGTCATCACTGCAAGAAGGTAAGCAACTGAGGTCATTGCAATCTATCTACCACAACATCAATGTTCATTCTCATGACCAAGACAACATTCATGATTTTTTTTTAGTCTGAAAATTTTTTTTAGTCTGAAACTTTTTCAATTTTATTTTTATTAGCAGATGTTTGCAGTATGTAACGGTTACATAGCTTGTGGGGGTTTTTAAAATGTACGTAACACATACTAATTCTTTTTTCATCCACTTATTTCCTTCCCACTCCCTCCATCTCTTGGTACCATCCCCTTTGAAAAAAATGTATCTCCTCTTTAATGAAGAACAAAATAAAAGATAGCAGGGGAAAAGGAGATATACTATCTTTATTTATATTCTGGGTTTCTCATGAGAGAGAAACTGTAATATCTACCTTGTGTCTGATTTATTTCACTTAACATTGTGGTCTCAACATACATCCATTTTCATACAAATGACTCAAACTTATGCTGCTTTGGGGCAGAAGAGTGTTCCATTATACATAAATACCATACTTTATTCTTTCATCTGTTGAAAGACATATAGGCCATTTCCAATATTTAGCTATTATGAGTTGTGCTGCTATAAATAAACATGGGCATGCATGTATCACTGTAATATAATGTCTTTAACTCATGTTACTGTATTTTAAGATGATAAACTGAGGCCTGGAGAAGCTGAATCACTTTAGCTAATACCACTTAGGCCAGACCGTTAGACCACAGCTTTCAGCAATGATTAGTTTCAGAACTTTACTCCAAGCTTTCAACAAGCTCTGGTTTTTGCAGAATATTGATTCCATGCTTTCAACAATGACAACAGAGGTGGGGATATAGCTTAGTGGCACAGTACCTACCAGGCAAGCTTGAGGTTATGAGTTCAATCCCTGGTACAAAAGAAAGAGACAGAACAATAAGAAAATTTTACTCAATACTAATGTCATCAAAATTTCTGAGAGTGGAAAAGAACAAAGAAAGATGCAAGAAAATAATCTTGAATTGCCATTTAGGAAGATCTCTTTACTTTCCAAAGTAACATATGTACCACCTCTTGAAGGAGTAGACTTTTTGGCAAGAGGTCGTTGGAAAAGTTATAACTGTTGACTAATGGCAAGGAAAAAAAAAACATCTTGTATTTAAACATTTGCGCATTTTGCCTAGCTCGGGGCTAATTCATAGGAGTCTCCTTCATAAGCAAGTGTTTTCCATCCTCAGACAACAGCTCTCTGTGGCACGCAAAAGGCAGGTAGCAACAGGAAAAAACCATTAGATCACCAGAAGGCACAGAAAAGATTAAGCAAATGCCAACTCACTGTAGAGAAAGCACACTGAGAACACAAAAGACGTTTCTTTCACTCAGCCTTTTCTTTTTCATTTCAATTTGATAATTAATTGCTTTTTTATTGAATAACAAACACGCCAAGAAGTGAAGTTCCAGAATTATGTAAATATCAACATTGAAAACCGGATATTGCCTTTTGCTGACCTTTCTGAAGTTTTTCCTGGTTTAGAGGGCTATAAGCTTTAAATGAAAAAGGAGTTTGCTTCCCTCTCCCTGGCAGCTAGATGGAGGATGTATTGTAACTATTTTGACTGTTTTGATGGTGAACGATTTTGAAAGGCACTGCAATATAAAGGGGAAAGAGCATAGGTTTGGGGTCCAGTCGGTTATGAGTTTAAATTTCATCCTCACCATCATTTTGGAAAAGGCCATTTCTTTCAGCCTCAGATTCAACATTTGCAAAATGAGTGTATCCAGGCTTCTCCTTGTGAGACCATGACAGCAGCAATGTCATAAATGGCAAAGCATCCTGCTTCAGATGAGACTAGTAGGGATCCTGGTCCTCTAATGCAGGGAGTGTCAATGTCCTTGATGAAATCCTCCCTTCCATCCTGAAAAGAGTAGGAAGGAGTGTGGGGCTATGTTTGAGCACATGTTAAGGACTGTAAGGAGCCAACACAAACTGCATCACCGATTTGTAGCATCATTTTCATGGTGCTTTTTTGTGGGTTCATCATCTTCCAGGTGAAACTAACTTTTTAAAACTTAGAGTTCAAAAATAGACTGCAGGATTTTTACAGCTACCCCTGTGATTCAGTCCCCCTTCTCGCAGCCTGCAGAAAGCCTAGTCCCTTCTATTTGATACTATCAATTTAACTAAGGCTGAAAATGCAGACTTTACTACTTCAAAAAGTAGAAAGAAATGTCCACTGCGTGTCTTTCTGTCTCTATGCTGGGGATCCAGAAAGGCCAAAAACTCTCTGAACACATGAATGACCCCATCTAAATTGATCCAAAGTGTGGGGAAATCTGCTAGAGAAAAATTGTTTTAGAAAACCTTTCAAGGCAATAGTGTTTGCTTATAGCAGGATTAAAAGAGGTTTCTGTTTAGGATGTGATATGTGACATTTTAAAAGGTGAGCAGGAGATTTGGGGAAGGCAGATAGTGACCTTATGGAGAAGCATCATAGACAGACACCAAGACCAAACAACAGGAGTCAGCCCCAGAGGTCTGAACAGTGTGTTACTGTCAGATCAAGAAATATAGGGGTGGGTGGGCAGGAAGAAGTTTAACTGGACACCAGAAATACCAAAGACTGGCATATATATGGTATAGTGCCTAAATTCTAAAAACAACTTGCAGACATCATCAAGGCAGTCAAATTCCTACCCTATAATTCTAAATGGAAAAGTTACCTACCATGTAGGAAAATTTTGCCTAATTAAAATAAATTAGAAAAACTACATGATAATTTTTTAAAGGAAGTACCCCTTATGCATGTTTCCTTAACGTATGAAAACCACAATAATAATAACAATACCATAAAGGAAGAACCATTTATCAGATCTGTGGGCAGGGCTCTGAGCTAGTTGCTTTGCAAGCTTTGTCTCCTTCACTATTTGAAAAAAAAAAAAATCTCCTAGAGGTAGATATTATAATCCCCATTTATAGCTTAGCAAACCGGAAGCAGGCTCTCAAAGGTAAAATAAAGTCAAGTAATCAGTAGGAATCTAAACATTCACCCACGGGTCCAGATGATGTCAAAGCCTTCCTTTCTGCTCCAATCTGGTACTGACCCTTATCTCTGAAGTTGCCCTCTCTTCTGCCTGTGACAGGCTTGGATGCTCCCAGCCAAATGGAGGTGAAAGATGTCACAGACACCACAGCTCTCGTCACCTGGTTCAAACCCCTGGCTGAGATTGATGGCATTGAGCTCTCCTATGGCCTCAAAGATGTGCCAGGCGACCGCACCACCATCGATCTCACACACGATGAGAATCAGTACTCCATCGGAAACCTGAAGCCCGACACCCAGTATGAGGTGTCCCTCATCTCCCGCAGGGGCGACATGTCCAGCAACCCAGCCAAGGAAAGCTTCACAACAGGTAACAGCCCCCACCCCGGACCAGGAGAGAAATAGAGGGTGACAGAGTCTCTTTCCTTTTCCTTTTTCCATCTGCTCAGTAGTGAGCATTGAACGAAGCACTTTCACACTAGGTTATATCTCCAGCCCTTTCTCAGCTGTTGAAACAAGGACTCACTTGAATCACTAAGTTAGCCAGGCTGGGCTCTGTGACCCTTCTGCCTCAGCCTCCCACAGTACTGGGAGTACAGACATGCACCGCTACCCTAGACTGGATGGCAGGTTTCTATCCCATTCCACGTGGGAGTGTCTTCCAGACTCATGTACAGTAAAGGAAAGTGGAAAATGTATTGCCATCCTTTTATGTTTTTTGAAATACTGTAGCAGTTAATATTTCAAAGACAAAATACAAAAAACCTTGCACAGCACTTTTTTATTGTTGTTTTGTACATAGGTGTTGGTCTGGTATTCTCAAAGAAAGGTTCTGGTTAAAGTAAAATTCATGAAACTTACATGAACATGTTTAAAATAAAACACAGCATTTAGGAGACCTGAATGACAAAGAAGCCCTTAAGCGCTTAGCCTACAGCATTATCTTTAAAGAACCAACATCTCAATTGTTTATTCAATAAATACTTTTAGTAAGCACTGTATAAGTTACCAGAACTAAAATAAAGAAACACAGCAGACCAGTCCCAACACTCATGATCTTTTTCATTTTTGTGTTGTTTTTTAAACACAAAGTCTGAAAAAAACATGGAGGATTAAAATGTCACACAAGTCAGAAACAGGAGAAGATGTCAGACCTGCAGGATTTGTTTAGATTCACGTATCAGCCATGGAGACAGGGTTGTGTAGGTGTTGGGTAGGGAAAACTCATCAGTTCTTTCCAGTGTCTGGTGCCTGCTGTATCTCAGCTTGAACTGTCAAAGACCCCTGCTCCCCTGGCGCCTGGCGTTTTCAAGGCAAAGGCTCCCTCTTTTCCTCAACAGGCCTGGATGCGCCTAGGAATCTCCGACGCGTCTCCCAGACAGACAGCAGCATCACTTTGGAATGGCGAAATGTCAAGGCAGCCATCGACAGCTACAGAATCAAGTATGCACCCATCTCTGGAGGCGACCATGCCGAGGTCGATGTTCCCAAGAGTCAACAAACAACGACCAAAACTACACTCACAGGTGGGTGTCCCCAGTCTAGCAGGACAGGTACCGTTTCCCATGTCTCTCACTTTGCAACCCTCCGAAGGAAGAAGTGAGCCCCGTTCCTAGAAATTTCTATCCACAAGAACTTCAACAGATGAGGTCCCAGCAACTTAGAAACCAGAATATCTAGGAACAGGATCAGAGCCACTTTACTGTACCTTTGAAACCCTGCCCAGTGCCAGCTTGAGCCTCAACTGGTACCTTCTCTCCTAGGTCTGAGGCCAGGAACCGAGTATGGGATTGGAGTCTCTGCTGTGAAGGAGGACAGGGAGAGTGACCCAGCAACCATCAATGCTGCAACAGGTAGGCACACGGGACCCCCTCCATCCCAAAGCTGGAGCTGAGCAGATAACACAGGGCTGATGAGGCAGAAGCCTACTAAGGAGAAAAAGGAAACACTGGAGCAGATAGAGTGCTCTAGTGTCATCTAGCAGAGGGCCAGCGTTCAAAAGTCACACAGACAAGCATGGTGGCACACACCTAAAATCCCAGATCCTTGGGAAGCTGAGGTAGGAGGATTATAACATCAAATGCAGCCTGGGCAGTTTAGTAACTTAGCAAGACCATGTCTGAACATTGGAAAAAAACAAACAAACAAACAAAACAAAACAAGAAAGGCTGGGTCAAAGACCTCAGGTTCAGTCCTTAGGAGCACGAAATAACAATCATCATCACCACCACCATCACAATCATCGTTGTCATCCAAGCTCACCCAGCTAAACAGTCAGTAGTGTTTTCCATATAGGAAAGGGATGGGGGGCTTTTAAAGGCAAGTTGCAGCTAGATTTTATAAGGAACCTAGGTATTTAAAGTGACTGCCAATTCTGTTTTTTTAGCCATTTTCTTCTTAAAACATATTTAGAGGTTTCTCAACACTTTAAAAAACTCCTTCACAAGCAGATTATAAACAGAAGGATGAGAGTTAAACCCAGGTCCTGCTTTTCTTTGTTTTTGTTTCTGTTTTTGCTCTTTGTTGTTTTTGGAGACAGGTTCTCACTATGTACCCCAGGCTGACATTGAACTCACAACAGTCCTCCTTTTTGGACCTCCAAATATCGGGATTATAGACAGATGCCACCACACCTGGCTCCCAGGCCCTGCTTTACCCACTACATCCCATAGCTTCAGCCTCTGGGGAACTCCAGGTGGAGATACAGAGTTTGAGGCCGTTGGTTCTTTCTTTAGGATTTCTGTTTTTATTTTTGGAAAATGTGTGTATCCAGAAAAGGATTCCTCCCTCTGCCTTTCCACAAGTTTCTACCTTACCTCTCCCCAAGTATTAGGAGGAAAGGGAGGCTGGCATATAGATTATACTTTCTTACACATTTTCACAGGATTCAAGACCCAACACTGGGCATTTATATATATATATATATATATATATATATATATATATATATGCACATACATTTCTCCAGAAAGAAATAAACCCAGACCCTAGCAAGGTATGTCACTTGAATACTAGCAAAGGAATCTGCAACACATCTCAGACATGTGTGTCCATGACTAGGTCAGGTCATTTTTATAATTTTCTGAAATATACATTTTGTATAACTATATATGATATTATATATAAATATATATATCCAAAATCAGAAGATATATATATATTCAATATGCAATATATTATTGTAGATTCACATGCAATTGTAAGAAATCCTGCAGATATCCCCATGCCCTTCACCCAGTTACCTCAAGGTAGCATCTTGCATATTTATAGAATATTATTAGAACTAGGAAATTAATAATGATATACTCTCTCCACTTTATTCAGTTCTTTATAGCATCACATATACACATGTGTGCACGTACATATGTGTGGCTATTTCTAGGTTATTCTATTGCAGGTGTAGATTTGCAAACCCACCACTAAAGTTTATCCCAAGTACCCGCCGTGCTACCCACTGGAGTCACAGCTACTACATCTCTTCCCCCTTTGCCTCACACTGTCTGTGCAGTAATCTGTTCCTCAGTTCTGCCATTTAACCAAATTTACATAAATGGAATCCTATGAGTGTTAGTCTATTTGGGCCACCATAACAAAAACATCTTAGACAAGGTAGCTCATAAGGCGAAGAGTTTATTTCTTATAGTCTAGTGTCTGAAAAGTACAACAGTCTAGTGAAGAGCCTTTAGCTAGTTCATATGAGTGTCTTTTGGTTGTATCCTCACTTGACAGATAGGGTGAGGAATCTCTGGAACCTCTTTTATAAAGCCACTAATCCCATTCATGAATTTCCCAAAGGCCCCCACTTCCAGTACCATCACATCAGGGTTTAGGTTTCAGCACATGAATTTGGTACTTTCCACACAGTTTATAGCCCATATCAAAATATTATGTAGTCTTTCGAAACTGGCTTGTTTTTTTTTTCCCTTCACATAGTTCCTCTGAGATTCATCAAGATTATTTTTGTATCAGGACTCCAAACTTTTATTTTCTTTAGTACATTTGTAGTACAGAATGTTAACAATCTTTGTGAGGAATTGATACATGCACATAATATATCTTAATTCCTTTTAAATACATTCGAGTGGCACTTCAAGATACAGATACACCACTATCTTGTTTTTGATCTTCCAAACATCCAGTAAAGTGATGCCATAAGTGAATCTGTCTTATTAAAGTAGACATTGAGAGTCTGAAAGATGACTCTCCTACAACCATGGAGCCCCTGAGGCAGACCCAAGGTGCCAGCCCATTTGGGTGCCTTCAGCCCCAGAAATAGTTGTTTCTTGCAATCTAAAGAGCTATCTCTGTTTTTCTCCCAGAAATTGATGCACCCAAGGACCTGCAAGCTTCTGAAACCACAGAGAACAGCCTGACCCTTCAGTGGAAGACACCACTGGCAAAGTTTGACCGATACCGCCTCAACTACAGCCTCCCCACGGGTCAGTCCATGGAGGAGCAGCTGCCCAGAGATACCACCTCACATGTGCTTCGAGGCCTGGAGCCTGGCCAGGAGTACACCGTCCTGCTCACAGCTGAGAAGGGTAGACACAAAAGCAAGCCAGTCCGCGTGAAGGCCACCACTGGTGAGTGACCCCACATACCTCTAAGCTCTGTGATCACTCTGAGGGCTGCAGGCCCCTTTGGCTGGGTTGGCCTCATGTGACAAATCCAGGTGGGAAAATGTGCTGCTTTATCTACATACCAAGCCTCTACAGCTCTTTGTAGGGGCCACCCATTGCCTTCTCAGTGATCCTGCTGAGTTGATCCTGCTGTCAACGAGCCACCTAAGTTCCCTAGCTGGGCAATAGGGGTTTTAAAATATTTCTTTCCAGGAGAATGTATAGCTTCTCGATTGGTGCTTGCTGTGTTCTTTGTTTGCTTTTTTGTTTGTTTGTTTTCCATTAAAACTTTGATATTTTAAAGTGCTTATTTTCCTTCTTTAATCTAATGATTAACTTACTTTTCATTTTTTTAAAGGTGACTTCAATATTGGTGATAACTGTTTGGTTGTTTTCTATGCAATATTTTTATTTCAGGTCTTTTGCCTTCCTTTTGGTCTGCTCCTGAAGAATAGGACAAGGTCCTTGGCCTTCCTGGTGTCACTAGGTTTTCTCTTTTCTCTTTTCTCTTAGTCATTAAGAGGTTAATCCTGCCAGCAGGGTCTGATCGCACACACCTGTAACCCCCACACTTGGGAGGCTGAGGCAGGAAGGTTGCTACAAATTTGAGGCCAGCCTTGGTTGCAAAGTGAGTTTAAGGCCAGCCTGAACTGCATAGCCAAACTTTATCTAAACAAAACAAAACAAAACAAAACAAAACAAAAAACAACAGTTTAATCCTGTCTAGCCAAGTTAACAGCTTAATCCTGACCTCTAGGGTTCTAGGGTCACTTATAGCCCATTCATCCTGCTCGCTGAGCCACAGCCACATTTCATCGGTGGGTAAGATGAGGAAATAATCAGAAGAATAAATGATTTATTCAGGATTACAAATAGCTCTTTCAATTTTGACTACTAAATATTGAAGATGTAAGTGAAAATGTTATTCCTTCAGAATTTTGCAAGTAACTTTGTTAACTTTTAATTTAATCAGTAAGCATCTTGTTGCATACATTTTACTGTGCTGGTATTTGAAGAGAAGTAGTTGACACAGACATCACTGTTATGCTGACCGTGTGCTTCTGCTCAGTCCTTGGGGAAGACCATGTATTCAGAATATTAGGCAGTGCTCAAACAAGGAAAGGCAGTTGTATTATTTTTTTCCACTGCTGTGACCAAATACCTGAAACCTACAATTTAAAAGATGGTTTATTTGGCTCATGGTTTCAGGGCATTCAGTCTTTCATTGCCTGCCTCCAAGGCAGAAGCAGCATGGCAGAAAGACATGGTATATAACAAAGTAGCTTTGTTCATGGCCGCAGAGAAACAGAAAGAGAATGGCACCAGAGAGACAGAGGGAGGGACCAGAGAAAGACTCAAGGCCATTTTTCCAGAATCTGCCAAAACATTCCCAGAAGTGCATTTGACTAATCCCCTAGGCTGCTCCCATGCCAGCTGAATTGGCAGTTAAAATTAATGATCGTAGGAGTGATTGAGAGATGCAAGGGCAGCAGTTGTCATGGTAGAGATGAAAGTGTTATGATAGATGTTGTCCTACTGAGTCTTAATAATCATTGGAAAGATTACAATAGAAATATTTAGAAATGCCTTGAAGTGTCTTTGTCACTTTAAATATCTCCAGCCAAATCCAACAGAACTCTTAAGTAACAGCCACTTAATTAAGATTATAGCCTATTTGTTCTCACTAAAAGAATTTGGAGCTAGGGAGTTCAGGGGTACCGCGGTAGTTTTCAAATTGTCAGTGATCTAAGCTCTTCTCTCTGTTCCACCTCTCTTAGTCAGCGGCTCCCATTCTCAAAAGCCACCTCAGGGTCACAATGTAGCTGTGCAGTGCACTCATCACATCTGTATTCAGGGCAACATGATGGAGAGAGAACTCAGACTCCAAAACAAGGCTGCCTCCTAGAAGAGTCTCTCTGGAAACCTCATCAAGTTGCCATTTACCATTCTTAACTGTCAGTGAGCCTGAGAGGGTTAGACATCTGGCTGAACATGTTTTCATACCCATAAAATTGTGCTTGTTTTTAAGGAAAAGAAAGAAATTCGGTAGGCAAAGGGCAACCTCTGCCAGTGAGTATAAAGTAAGCCCAGGTAGTCAGTTCTGTTGGCTCAGAGCACAGACTGCAGAGATGATTGTTAAGGATGCTCAGAAGGGATAGTTTGGCCTTCTCTTCCCTCCTCTCCTTTTCTCTCCTCTCTTTTCCTTTCTTCTCCTTTCTTTCCTCTCTCAGCTTTCCTATGAGTCTGACAAACAGTATATCAAAGAGATTCCTCTTCTCACAGTGTTATACCACCTTGGCACCTCTCTCCCGTGGTGCATCCCCAGATCTGAGCAGCTTGAGGAGATAATACTTGCAGTGAGCCACAGTCTGGAGCTTCTCTACCTCTGACAAACCCAGTATTGGACCCCAAAGCTTCATCATGCCTACTAAGGCTCTTTCAGAGAAAGCACATTTTATATTCAAAGGCATTCCTTATTACAGGAAAGTTTCTTTTCACTGATGCTTCTCCATTGTCTGCAGAACATTGCTCCCATGGCCTCCCCTACAGAATGATAATTAAAAGTGAAGTAGAAGAGGTTGGAGGCACAGCTGAGAGGTAGAACATGTCTTTGTCTAGTATACATTAGGTCCTGGATGTAGTTATCAGCACCGAACAAAAAGGTGGAGTGGACATTTCTTTCAACATCTTCTGCATTAACTAAGTGAATAAAATGCTATAGCCATGCTCTGTGCTAAGTGGTAGGGCTGCAGAAGACGGACATGTGCTTCCCTGGAGTTCAGGGTCTGGTGAAGAGACAGATGCCAACAGGAGCATTCAGCCCATGATGGTTGGACTGGCAAGGGTTCCATGGGGTGGAGGACACATGAGTTCTACAGGGAGATCTGGGAAAAGCTTAGCAGAAGCTTGCAGACAGAAGCTCGAGAGGCAGACAGAGTGGTACCGTGAAATATGGAAATAAATAGGTCAGGATCTGGCCAGGTAAAGAGAGGATGGAGAAAAAAAAAAGGAAAAGTGAGAGCCTCTGGGTGAAGCACCCATATGGCTGAGTCCTGAAATGTCAGAAGGAACTCTCAGCAGTGAAGCACTAGAATCACAAAGCAGATATCTGCAAGCCACCATTCATTGTTGGTTCTATGGAAAAGATAGGAAATGGATGGCCTGCGAGCATCTTCCCTAGGGAATTCTAAGGCACTGGCCTTAGTTTGGGGTTAGAGCATAAGTCTTTTGCATGATATGGTATTGTATTAAGTATAGGTAACCTAGCTATCCACCATGCCTGAAATAGGCTCAAAGACCCTCCCAAGGGTTACATGGCCCTCCTGTCTCTCTGACCATGCTGCCACCACTCATGATCTTGTCCATCCCACCAAGATGATTCCTTCTCACAACTCTTTATGCATGAGTCTGCACCACACCCAAGCTGTTGCAAGTGTTCCCCCTGCTTCTTGGATATCCCAATTTCCCCAGTTCTCCACACGATGCCATCATTTGTTTCAATCAGCACAAGTGTCATCCAAAACAGACACATTTCTGCCACTCCTTTTTTGATGTACTCCCTCATGCTGTCCTAGAGTGCCTTGGTATGCTCATCCACCATGGCAGTAGACAGAGGTCTGCCTGCCATCTGTGGCACGTCTCCCACCACTGACTAGAATAAAGAATTGCTCCTTCATTGATTGCTGTGCACCAAGTTCCTTAAACACAAGTTAGCATGTGATGTGTACATCATGAACATTTGGAGACCTAGCTACTTGAGAGTCAAAATTGCTGCTAAATCCTCTGATACATATTTTTTTGCCATCTCTACATTCACAGACAGTTATCTCCTGTAAGTGTGAAGGAGAAGGGAAGTCATTGCCTTTGAAAGTCTTTAATTCAGATAAATCTAGACAGGAAAGGAAAGGAAAGGAAAGGAAAGGAAGGAAAGGAAAGGAAAGGAAAGGAAAGGAAAGGAAAGGAAAGGAAAGGAAAGGAAAGGAAAGGAAGGAAAGGAAGGAAAGGAAGGAAGAAAGGATGGAAGGAAGGAAGGAAAGAGAGAAAGAAAGAAAGAAAGAAAGAAAGAAAGAAAGAAAGAAAGAAGACAAGGAAGAAAAAAAGGCGAAGGAAGGAAAAGGCAACTACCATCACTGTTCATGCTGAAGAAAATCAATGTATGTAGGCTATTTCTCTCCCTCCTGCTGTCCCTGTCACTGTCTCTCTCCCTCTCTCTCCTTCGCTTTCCTCCTCCTTTTCTTCATCTGTATTCTGATAAACTCAAGTAAACCCTGCTGAAGGTCAGGCTGTGCATTTGCTCTGAGCAATGCAGGGCATAAAGCAGAAACAATAGGTGGAAACACAAAGACAATGCAGTGTCTTTCCATAGCAACCTAACATTCCACAGTGACACCCCAGTAATTCATATAAAGTTTGGAAGCAGAAAGTGGAATTTTGTTTTTAACCACAGCTACAGGTTTTAGAGAACATTCTGCTCTGCTTTGCCCTTTGGACTGTATCGTGGAGCAAACTGAAATGTATTCCAATATTTATCCTTCCAACAAATATTTATTTCATATCTACTCTGAACCAGGCAGTGCTGGTATATGAAACAGAACGATAGGCCCTCCCTGAAGAAGCCTTTCACACTACAGTGAGAGAGACAGATAATCAACAACCAACTGTAAGAATGTAATTCACCTGTTTCAGACTAGGGACACATGAAGGTCACAAAGAATAAAGTCAGGTTCCCATCACTCACATGGCCAAAAGCATGAAGATTTCAGAGAAAGTTTGGAAGAGATGGTTCTTGACTGATCCTCACAAAGGGAACACAGTCAGGCAGGTGGAGAAGGGTGAATGGCATTTCCAAAAGGAAGACCAGCACCTGAGGAGAAACCCCATATTCATGAAGCACAGGCTGTGCCATCATGCCCCCTGGTAGAGTAGGAGGAGAGAAGAGAGCCTGCTAAAGCTACCATCAGGGACATGTGCAAAACATAAGATGTCACAGTCAGGTGCTTGAGCTTCCTCCTCCCCCCCCAAACATATGTGTGCATGTTAGTTTTATAAAATATTGGCTTTTGTTGCATCATCTTCATACATGCATGTAAGGTGCTTTGAGAGATTTCATTCTTGATAGTTACAAAGAGTGACAAGGAGGGTAAACACAGCCAAAACCTTCCATATCAATTACGTTGTCTTGGCAAGATGAGACTGGAGTCATTTAATCTGCTTTTTGGGGTCCCCAGGATTGGATTGACCATTGTCCTGCTGTAGGAGACACTCTCCTGCATAAGTGCTAAGAGTGGGCTTCTTGTCAAGCCAGCGCTTGATAATTTCTACCATCCATGAGATGGTAGGAATCTATAAAGATTTCAAGTTGACAGTGCCAGGAATTCCTCCCAGCCTTCTCAACCCACCATGAGCACAGACATGGGATTTCAAAATTCTGATTTCCCAGGCCCACTAACATTGTTTGGAGGGTAGATTCTGATGCACAGCTGTAAGCAAACGACAATGGCCTTTTCATAAAGAAATGCCAAGAAAGTCAGTGTGGAAATATAGCATGGAAACATTGGCTTCTGGGGCAGTGACTCACAGTGTCATTGCTATGGAAATGTAGAGTCAGCACTTATGTTAAGCTTCTTGGTCCACACCTCAACTATATTTTTATTCTTTACTGATCCCGCTTTCCCATTCATAATTCTCATTCCTCTCCCATTCATCTGTAGATCGTGTTGTGGGACTTGCACCTCTCACTGATCTGGCAAGCATTACTTGACTGGAGGGGTTTTAGAGGACACTCATGTATGTCACTCACTGCAGAGATGACTGCAGCCCCCTCTCAAATACCAAACAGTGCTCTTTCCTGATTTGCCTATCAAAAACTTGGAATAGTCAACAATCTGGATGGAAGATTGTCATGATGACTATTACTATATACTGATCCCCTTGGAATTATAAGAAAAGGACTCTTTCAGCTATAAGAACACATAAAGCAAGATGTGAGGGTCATTGTGTAAAAATACCAGTGACGTATGCAAGACCTGATCCAAAGAGATGAGATAATTCTTATCAGGAAGAGATGTTTTCCAACATGCTTCTTCTCTCTTTCTGAAAGTCTTTTCTGGAATGGCTTAACAAGTGATCTGTAGGCAGCTCCTCCCCCTCCTCAATTTAGGGAACTCTCCTCACATCATTTATAACCTGGCTCTCAAGTTTCTTCCATGGAACAAAGATATGTTAGGTCATAAATAGAAATAAGGCTTAAAATACAGTTACCTGGAAAAGTGAGACAGTGCCTTACTTCACATGAAGTTGTAAATTACTAGTGCCAAAATTCTCACCAGTAGTTCTATACATCAGGAAAAACAAAAAGAAAGTGAGCCAAGAAGGGGAGTGTAAGAGGTATAAAACTTGTGATTTTATTTTATTTACTTTTATTTTTGATTTATTTATTTATCATTTAGATTTCTTTTTGTTCTAGATCTCTACATATGAGGACCACTACAAAATTTGAGAAAGCCGTGCTCCTAAGTTTAGTTGTACTTAAATTCCAAAGTCAAGGGTATAATTGTTGTATCTGGAGGCACATGTTCTGGCTCTGGCCATAGGTTTAAGGGGGTTTATAGCTGACTTTCCTATCTGTCCCCAAATCAGATACATCAGTGTTAGTTTGAGGACCCTTCCTTCTCCTAGAGAGTGTGTGTAAGTGGTTATAAACTGCTACAAAGTTCTGGGTCTGCTCTCTAAGACATAAATTCAGTTAAAGGAAGAATCCATAAACTGTAGCTTTGGAGTAGGTATCACAAGCGTTTGCTGTTCAGGGCCAGATGGTAAATATTTCAGACTTTGCAGGCCATGCAGTTTCTGTCACAGTTATTCAACTGCAGCACAAAGGCAGCCACCAGCCACAAGCATGGCTAAGTTCCAGTAACAGTTTATGACACTGAAAATTGAATTTCATTTGATTTTCATGAATCATGAAATAGCATTCTTCTATGGGATTTTAAAACTAGTGACTTAAATGTAAAAACTGATGTCAGTTTGCTAATTACCAAGGTAGGCAGCAAGCCAAATGCCTCAAGAAACAGTTTCTGTATCTATGTTCTAGAGCAAAAATAAATTTTAAAAAAGAAAAGAGAAAGTTTAAAGATGTAAGCTTTATCAATATCAAACAAGTGAAGAAGAATATGCCCCCAGAATTGGGTAAAGTTTAAATATATTAGTGCATTAAATATCTTCTAGAAAATAAATGATTTCCCTCTGAAAGCATATTTTCAGATTTGCAGGATGATGTTTCCAAGTGAGGAGGTTGTTCTTAGGGGCACATAGGGCTCATTTGAAATTAGCGGCAATATGAGCCAGAAGTAGAAAAACAACTGTCCCTTTAAATGAGCAAAGGCAATTCCAACTCTCTTGTTTAAAGAATCCATTTCCAGAGATCTTTTATTCCTAGGTCATGCAGAGTCCACATAACCTCAGTCCCAGGCAAAAGATCGCCCTTCAAACAAATGCATATAAGTGATTTTTGGCAGATGTTCTGTGTTCTGGTGATACCTAAAGATGGAGCATTCATTTTTAATTGAGATTAATAGGTTCTGCTTCTCCCAGAGTCTCTGTTTTTCTATGCAGTAAGGGGCACATTTTGAAAGGCTCATCACCTTTGTCAGGCCAGTCTTACTCGTACTGTGTTAATTTACTTCTTATCTTTACTGCAGTGTTTGATGCAAACAGGTCCAAAGCCCAGAAAATGACAAAATCCTGATACAAACTGCAATACACTTTCCAGGAGAGACTGAAACTGCATGGAAACAAAGGGAATCTATAGGTTGCTAAGTGTCTCAAAATACAGAAGCCTGGACCCAGATCCCAATGCATTGCGGAAGGCCATGGCCCTAGAAAGCGAGATGCCTTCCAAAGTTGGAAAGTAAACCACTGGAGTATCACCAACGTAGATGTATAAAGTTTTCTAAATTTAAGAGACACTGGTCACCAAGAAAACATACTTCCAAAAGACAAACTCCAAGGAGAAGGCAAAATAAGTTATTGTAGGGATTTTCTCCCATTGGTGTTTTGAAGAAGACAGCCACTTGAGGGAGCACAGTGGACCAAGCATTACGCTTGGGCCCCAAATGCCTTTCAGTGCTGGCAGAGGTTTGCCATCTATGGGCTCTCAGAAAGAAAGCATTTTGAGTGATAGTTTTACTGACCCCAATTTTGTCATTATTCAGAACATGTCCCTGAACTGGAAAATCTCACCGTGACTGAGGTTGGCTGGGATGGCCTCAAACTCAACTGGACTGCAGCTGACCAGGCCTATGAGCACTTTGTCATTCAGGTGCAGGAAGCCAACAAGGTGGAGGCCACTCACAACCTCACAGTGCCTGGCAGCATGCGGGCCGTGGACCTTCCGGGTCTCAAGGCCGGCACCCCTTACAGGGTCTCCATCTATGGGGTGATCCGGGGTTATAGAACACCAGTCCTCTCTGCTGAGGCCTCCACAGGTACTTCCTACTTTTATATTTAAAGTTTCTATCTCTCCCTAAAGGAAACTGCTCAAGGACAGACATATCTGGTTTTGGGAGGAGACTATCCCTGACACACATGCCATGAAAGAGGAGAGGTTTATTTTGGTTCCCAGTTTAAGAGGTTTCAGTACAAGGTCAAGTGTCCAAGGCAGGGACGTGATGACCAAAGGGTGTGGCACAGAAAAATTGCACACCTTATGGTAAGCAAGAAACGGGGAGCAAGGAAGAGCCCAAGAAAGAAGGGGTTGGGGACAGAATGTAGCCCTCCATGTCACATTCCCAGTAACCTCTTCCTCCAGTCAGGCCCAGGATCCGATTAGAGCATTCAAACATCAGTGGGTTAATCCACTGATGAGCACGAGTGCCCTCATGATCTAATCATCTTCCATAATCTTCACCTCTGAACTTTTGAGCCTTTCAGGAAAAATCTTTAATCTAAATCTTAATAAAGGGACTTGTCCTGCCACAAGCCCAATAGTGCCCTGGTATCTGATAATGGACAGCCAGGCTAGCAGGCTACACAGCTCCATAGGCCAGCATAACATTTCATTCCCTGGGAAAACTCCCTGGAGCTATATAGAGGCCATTCTGTGGGACAGTCTGACTAGGCTGGGGAGGGGACATGACTCCAACAAACAAGCTCCCTCCTGTTACAAGTGTTTGAATCAAACACTATGTAAAAAAAAAAAAGAAAAAGTCACTAAATCCCTTCATCTACCAATACTTAAGGCAGCTCTCTCATAAGGTAAGAGAACAAATGTTTCCCCATACCTCTCCCTTTGCTCTACTTCTAAAATTAGAAAGCTGCATGCTACACATTTATCTAAAGAGAGTCACATGTTTAAGTGATATCAAGCCTTGGGTTCAAGATTTCCTGGATCTTGGTATGTGATGTAAACTAACTTTTTGTCCTTCTCCAGGGGAAACTCCCAATTTGGGAGAGATCACGGTGACCGAGGTGGGCTGGGATGCCCTCAAACTCAACTGGACTGCTCCAGAAGGGGCCTATGAGCACTTTCTCATTCAGGTGCAGGAGGCTGACACAGTCACAGTGGTCCAAAACCTCACAGTTCCAGGAGGACTGAGGTCCGTGGACCTTCCAGGGCTCAAAGCAGCCACTCACTATAGAGTCACCATCCGTGGGGTCGCTCAGGACTTCAGTACAACTCCTCTCTCTGTTGAAATCTGGACAGGTACTCTAGATGAATTCACTCATCTGCTCTGTCTCTCTTGTCTCTGTTTAGGAAAAATCAAAGCTCCAAATTGAGTTACGTACCCTACCGTGTTGGAGAAATACCAGTGACTCATTCTTGCTTCTTCCAAATGCCACATCCCTTATTTGGCCAAGCTCTAGTCATGGCCCAGTAGACAGTTCCATGGAAAATTCCACCTTCTCTTCCTTTGCAAAAGTGAGAGTTGACTTCTCTTGCAAAGAAAGTTCTAGTCATAATGTCTAAGAAGTTGGAAAGCGTAACTTGCTACTAAAAAAGAAATAGCTCTGAGCTCATTTTAAGAACACTAAAGGACTCCCCAAAGTCCAATTTGTACGTCAAGAATGGAAGCTGTGAACAATTACTAAAACCATCTTTCATTCCCAAAGGCTGAATAGAAAAGCCCTGGCTTCAGTGCCAACAATGAGAGTGTGTTCAACATGACTATAAATCATGCATCCGGAGTCAACACTAACCAGACAACTAATCCCAACCTTAGCCAAAATGCCATCTCACCTGAATCCCAGCATGCAATTGCCTTTTTTAGTAACTCAATGGCTCTGTGTCCTTATGCAGAGGAGGTTCCAAGTTTGGGAAACCTTACAGTGACTGACGTTAGCTGGGATGCCTTCAAACTGGACTGGACTACACCAGATGAGATCTATGACCAGTTTGTCATTGAGGTCCAAGAGGCTGACCAGGTAGAAAGGACTCACAATCTCACTGTTCCTGGCAGCCTACGCTCTGTGAAAATCCCAGGCCTCACAGCTGGTACTGCTTATAGGATCACCCTGCACGGCGAGGCCAGGGGCCGCAGAACTCGACCCCTTGCTGCAGAGATCTTCACAGGTATACAACCCTCCTTCCAGACCAGAGATGTGATAAGAGCCAGGCTGTCACTGGATTAGAAATCCCCTATGTAGCAGAGCATCCAGACTCAATGCAGTTGACAAGCAGATGAATTTAAGAAAGGCCTTGGCTAGAATTCCACCTCACTGGCTGAATATTCTTGGGTATAGCACTTTACATCTTTGGGCCTTCTTTTCTCATTTTCAAATCAGAGGTGATATCTTCAATTCAGAAAGCTGCCATAAGCAGTAAATTAATTCATGAATAAAAGTACTTAACAAGTACTCTAGGCATCCATAGTCAGCATTGAATAGCAAAGAGTGGAATATATAAAGCAACCACAGTCATAATGGAAAACAGCACATTCAGTAAGGCTATGGCACAATGATACAATCAGAATTTTCTAGAAGAACCCTATCATTCCTGATCTCAGAGTCATTAACTCACACCAAACTCCTATTCTGGTCTCTACAGAATAACATTTGGCAATGATGCAGTCATCTTTTGCTGAAATTTTCACATCTCTTTCTTAACAGCTTCTCAAGGCAAGAGCGTTTCCACCAAAGGATGTCACACTAGAGTTCAGTGTTTTTCATTAAACTTGCAGAGAAAAAAAAAAAATAACAAGTCATCAAAATTTGTCCCCTGAAAATATTCTGCTTCATCTACCATAGAAAACTCTAGGCTCCTCATGAGCTTTCTAGAAGTAGCTTTAAAGAGACCTATGGTCATATGGGTATAGCTAAGTCTACCAAGTTGCCATCGCCCTGTGTTTCTTGGACTAGCTTCTAAATGGAGAAGAGCAAAATGGACCGTGGAGACATGTGTGATCTGGGTACAGGACACTAGTAGTCCACAATTGTTGTTCTGAAAAAAAAGGTTTTTTTTAAACAGCAAACTTCTTTAACAAGTGAAATCTTCCAAGGACCACATCAAATGACAGATAAGCAACTGTTCTTGGTGAGCTAGAAAAGGAAAGTCGAGCAAGCCTACATCTGTCCCCAAAATAATCCTTCCAGAAGGTTCCAGGTGTGTGTGAAACACAAGTTTGAGAACAGCCCCAACAGGCAGAACTTGCTTATACTCACAGTGCACCTGAGGACATGATCCCCTAGCCTGCTTGCTTGCTTGCTTTTTCTTTTTCTTTCTTTCTTTCTTTCTTTCTTTCTTTCTTTCTTTCTTTCTTTCTTTCTTTCTTTCTTTTGCTTTCTGTCTTTTGTCTTTTCTTTCTTTCTTTCTTTCTTTCTTTCTTTCTTTCTTTCTTTCTTTCTTTCTTTCTTTTATAATATCCCTACAGATATTTTCCTCCTTAACTTCAAATCTGTGGCCACTTCTGTCTTAAGAGAGGTGAGAGATTGCATGTAACCCCGAGCAGCATCTCACAAATGCAGTGGAGTCTTCTATGACCTCATTTCAAACTTTTTTAATAAGCAATAAAAACTACACTAAATTTCCTTCCTACATTGTAAAAGAAATTAATGGTGGATTGTGCTCTGCACCATTTACTGAAGGATGTCGTCACTTTTAGTTAAAAGCAGGCACATTAGTTTCACATTGCTTGTGACACAGCTTTTCTTCACTCAAAGTGCTAGCAGACTCAAGTAGGAGGGAAGAACATGCCAAGCATCTAGAGCACGACCTCTGATCCCTGAAAGTCAAGAAAAGTCTAGAGATAAAACACGCTTGTCTAAACTTGAGACAGCATATGCTTTGTAAACCCAGGCAGAAAATGTGACCAAAATGAAATGATCTCTAATTTCAAGCAAAGAAATGAAACAGACGAGTCTTTCCCATATGACTAAAGAAGCTCCAAGGGGAAAAATCTAGCAATGATGTTCTCTGTGTCAGCCAGTATGGTATGAAGAGGCGATGAAAGTTATCATTTAATAATCACACAATCCAATCAGACGGTCCTGTCAGCTCCATTTAAATATGAAGGGAAAAGGGCTCCGAGAGAAGCAGTGATATATCTAAGATGACACAGCCAGTGAATGTTATATTGGGATTTTAACCAAGGTCTAGCTTCTGATGATGAGAAGATTTCAAAGTCTGTACTTCTCACCATGCCCAATCCCCAGGCCCTGGCTCTCAATCCTCCCTTTCCCTGAACCCTTTAACTGTTGCGTGCCCAGGGACTTCCAACTGGGTGGTACAATGGTGTTCCTTGATATCTCAGGGATTAACAGTACAGATGTTCCCCATATTTGACCATCTTCAACTTCTGAAGAAAGCTATAGAATACTAAGTCCAACCTACACCTGCCCAATGACTAGGAATTACCAAAAAGCATATTCTCTCTCTCTCTCTCTCTCTCTCTCTCTCTCTCTCTCTCTCTCTCTCCTCTCTCTCTCTTTTTACACTACTTCTTTTCCTTGGATATGGGTTGTGGGACTTCATTTTTTCATGTTTGATTTGCAGCACTGACAAATACCTTTCTGTTCTTTAGAGAAACTCCCCCAGCTGGGAGACTTAGCTGTGACTGAGGTTGGCTGGGATGGCCTCAAACTCAACTGGACTGCAGCTGACCAGACCTATGAGCACTTTGTCATTCAGGTGCAGGAAGCCAACAAGGTGGAAGCCACTCACAACCTCACAGTGCCTGGCAGCATGCGGGCTGTGGACCTTCCGGGTCTCAAGGCCGGCACCCCTTACAGGGTCTCCATCTATGGGGTGATCCGGGGTTATAGAACACCAGTGCTCTCTGCTGAGGCTTCCACAGGTATCTTCTCCTCCTCTGTCCATGCTTTCTCCCCAAGGTTTTCTGCTTCCTCTTCAAGAGCTGGAATGGGCAGCCTGATTCTCTCCACAACTGAATCCTTTCGACACTCCCTTCAGCTGCTGGCCATGCATGCTAGAAACTTCCCTGTATGCTGTGCTCCTGACCAGATCCTTTGGCATGGCAATGATGAGCAGTAGAGACATTGCGCTTTCTGCCCTCCAGCCTCCCATACTTTGCCTGGCCAATCCTATATCAATGTCTCCTGTCTCCGTCTCATGAGGTTATGTTTCTGGATTCAACCTGATGGTTTTTAATCCTTTTCTCTAATTGTTGCTATGTAACTAAAAGCCCACCTCTCCAAGTGTAAGTTCCTATAGAACACAGTTTATTTACTTTAGAAAGTCTTTTGTCACTTGGAAATGATAGTTTACTATTTCTAATCACTGAAAGTCGTGGAGCCTGTGGTTCTTGCATTTAAGAAATATTTCTTTACAATCCACTGAATAGAATAAGAGAACTGAATTACCCTCCTCTGGGCAGTTCTCTCAGATACTGAGTCATTGTTAGAACATCAAATTAGCAAATTGCTAGACCAAAAAGAAAAAAGAAAATCACACAATTATGAGTGGAAACTGTACCAAAGAGAAAGCCATTCATTAGCAGAAGGACATTCAGCAGCATTTGAAGTAAAGAATGTTGCAGGCTATGAATGTGAAAAGAGCTGATAGCCTTTTTGCTATTTGAATCAGAATTTTTCTCCCTGGAGTACTGGACTTGAGGTGACAAACTCACAATCCCACACCCAGGGGGCTGAGTTAGGGTTTACTCGCCACTCTTTTCCCAGCTTCAAGGCATTGAGGCTGTCCCCAGGAGCCTGCTAAAGTGACCATTCCCCCTCCAGCACTGCTCCTCTGCCTCTCTTTACAACCTGCCCCAGATGGTTTGAAAGCTCAGTAGATGCTGTGCTGTTTTCCAGTGTGTCTGGCTGCCTCCCTCTTCACATAATTATTGGAACTCAACTTTCAAGTCAGAGTGTCTTCCATCACTGTTGACTAAAACACATAGCTCTGCGATTCAGCCTCAATCAGTTCATTGTCTGTCCCTGAGACAGACATAAAGCACAAGCAAGTGCTCCCTGGAGAGTGACCCTAAAATGCCCAGAAATGGCAGCTGAGGCGTCCCTGAATATGCCCCGGGGTACTTTTATCTTACACCCACAAACCATTTCTTCCCAGAAGGCAGAGAAATCACTCACCACTTCTGATCATTGTTGTAGATCCTGTGGTTTAGATGCCACTCACATTTTTATTTGTATGTGTGCTTCTCAGTTTAGTGGCAGCAACATTCTTGCCTCTGATGAGTTGGCCTCAGGATGGGCCACAGTCCCATTGCATCTCTCAACAAATAGGTTGAGGTGGTCTCAGAGACGAGAAGTTGTCTGCTTTGCAAAAGAGACAGTACAAATTTTTCAAACCCTGGCCTTGCCTGCCTTCTGCATCATTTATTCCTATTGCTCAAAGAAGCATTAGCAGGACCATCTCCAACACAAAAGGGTATTTGTTGGCTAAAAGGCTGTTTAAACTGCTTTGTTGGCTTAACTCTCTTGGTTGGCAATTCGGTGCTAGTCTTCTTGGCCCACAAAGATGCAATTACAAGGAGACATGCTTTTTTTTTTTTTTAACAGAGTGTGAGAGCAGCTGGCTGGCCCTTATCTGAAGTTAGAAACAGCACAAGAATGACACCGAGAAAATTTATGCAGTCCCTCAAGTCAAATAGTCAGATACCTCAAAGTAGCACCTTGGGAGGGCAATAGTGTCAGAAAGATTTGGCCGTCATTTGAACAGACTCAAGGGCTTTCAAAGCAAAAGGTGCCTGAAGGACTTGTTCAAGGAACCTGGGGCACATGGATACAGCTCAAAAGATGGAAACTGCCAGCACTCATGTCTTCAGTCCATTGCCAGACACTCTGAGGGAGGGCTCCTGGAGACAGGTGCAACTGAGATAATGCTGCTCAGCATGACATCTCCCCTGACTGCTCCCCCTGACATCATCCAGCCAGTCTTCACCCTCAAAGGACCTCATCAAGGCTTGAGCATGAGTGGCGAGTGCAGAGTAGGGAAAGCTAATTGCAGTACTTTACTTTCTAAATGTTTCTCCTAACAAAACCCCTTTTTCTTCTCTCATTAGCACTAACCAGTAAAATGGCTTCATTTTGCGATAACCCTGAACTATTGGGTCTTTCTTCCCAGCAATGGCTCTATTAACTTTAGTCTTAAAACACAGCCAAGTGAATAACTCAAATGCATTTGTTTTTTCTCTCTCACCCCCCCCTTTTTGCAGCCAAAGAACCTGAAATTGGAAACTTAAGTGTTTCTGACATAACATCTGAGAGCTTCAATCTCTCCTGGACAGCTACCCATGGGATCTTCGAGACCTTTACCATTGAAATTATTGATTCCAATAGGTTGCTGCAGATGGTGGAATATAACATATCTGGTGCTGAACGAACTGCCCAAATCTCAGGGCTCCCCCCTAATACTGATTTCATTATCTACCTCTCTGGACTTGCTCCTAGCATCCGGACCAAAACCATCAGTGCCACAGCCACCACAGGTACATGTGCTTCCTCCCATTTCCAATGCCTCTTTCCACAGTTTTGTTCTCAGGATGAAGCCATGCTCCTCCTCATCCCCTGGAGTGCAAACCATAGTGCGCCAACTCTTCTGTGATGCTGGACTGGAGCGTAATTTAACTCAACTCTTTCCCAACAGCTGTCCCAGTGGTGAATTCCACACAGCTATACACCTAGTTTATCACTGGGCAGAACATTTGCAGTGGGAAATGTAGTTTAACATTACCATGTGGAACCTGAAGAAAACAATTGTCCCCTTTGGTAACTTAAAAGCTATAATGACAGTTTCCCCTGCTAGAACAACATCCACTTTAGTCAAAGAGGTTTTAAAGATGACGGGTTTTGAGCGTTATCCTAGTATCTTTCTCTTTCGAGAGCCTTGCATCTCTTCATACTTGAATATCCCAATAGTTTAGGAAAATCACTTATAGTTTTCTGTTTGCTTCAAAAGGGAAATGAAAAGGAAGAACAGATGAGTTCAGGAGGTAGTCAGACCATCGGGATTACTTCACATTGCTGCCAGGAGAAAGATCTGACACTGCTGATTCATCCCAAGAGCAGTGAATGGTTCCTAGCAAAAACAAAACCAGAAATGATCATGTAGGAACAGGGAGCTTATGTAGAAAAGGGTCTCATTTTGAATTTGTGATTTCTGTAGTGTGTGTGTGTGTGTGTGTGTGTGTGTGATGCAGAATATGTACACAACATGCTCTCTCTTTATATATATATAGTGTGTGTAGAATATATATATACATACATGCAATATTATATGTGTGTGTGTGTGTGTGTATTTTGTCATGTAGTAAAAGAGAACCCTGTGTGAATGTAGAAGGGAGACCTTCATCCATTCAAAATAGCATTTTTAGCTCGTTTTACACAATTCCTTCTCTTAACAGGTACACTAAAAGATCCCACACTGAAAAAAAAAAAAGATACTGTGGAACAAACACAGAGCAATTTTTTCTTACAGTTCACAGAAGGGGCCCCACTTGCTGGGGAGTCCATGAATAGAGCTGACATCATAGCACCAAAATTGTCTGTCACTTAGGTTGCCTGTGGTGAGGGCGAACCTGTCTTTATTCTACATGAGGCTGCACAGCATTACCAGGGCGGTCCTCAGAACAGGGATGATGCCAGCATTATTTAGCTTCCAGCTCAGCTGACACAAGTATAGCAAAATCTAAGGGAGAAAAATAATTGACCATATTTATTTGGTTCAGATTACTTTTCAAGAAAGGTTAATTTCTTTTCATTAGAAGTTAAAGCTGAAAATGTTATGGATTTAGTCTCACGTGGATTTTTTACTACAATGGGTTAAATTAACATTTTTTCTTCGCACTCTTTTACCTAAACCCCTTCTTAGCCACCTCAGTGTCTGAGATGTGACCTGGGGAAGTGTGGCTCTCTCCTGAAAAGTCTGAGAGGCTACCTTCAATAGCTTTCTTGTACACGTTAGTAATTTTGACTACCCCTAGGAGACAGTGTTACTCTCCCTGCTTGATGTGTCCCACAGCTCTGTCATCACCAACCTCACAGCTTCTAATAACACTGTCTCCATGGGCTACCTGGAGAGCAGCGTGCCCGGACGCTGATGGCCCAGGCGATCACGGGCATCTCCCGTTATGGTTCCTCTCTCTCCACGAACTTCATCTCCCAAGTTTTCCTCCCTCAACTCACCAGATCCTTCTCAAGTTTGATAGAGCCAACCAAGCCAAAGCTTGAAAACTTTAAAATATCCTTCACCCCAAATTAAGGAATGTTAGTGTCAACTTCTGTTTCCTAAATATCCAATCCCATCTGGAGCTGCTCTATTTGTATAGAATTAATGTGACTTCATTTGGTTGAATTTCTAAACCATCTTTCATCTGGTCTTGAATAATCCTTTGTAATACCTTCCATGATCTTCTGGCTGTGTCTTTCTAATCAAAGTTTGCCTGTATCATATTCATAGAAATATGTGCCTGCCATTTTTACTTCCTTGGTTAAAACAATCTGAAGTGTCATTTTTGTGTACCAGGATTTTACATAATGGTTCTCCCAGCAGAATGACAATGCTTCAAAGAGATGCTAGGTCATAACCTAAGAACTGCATGACAGAACTCAGCATTGTCATCTTATACTTGATATTTTCATTTGTCTGGATTCGTTGCAAACAAACTGGTCTCCTTTGACATTTACTAAGTGAAGTACGTGTTGTCATCCAATGCTATCTGTTCCAAAGTGTTAGAATCTCTTTCTTTTCACCATCTATACAAATCTTGGTGCATGTGACACTACTCAGAGTATGAAAATTTTGAACATGTCTGTCTTTCTGGAAAGCAGACTGCATGTCTAAGAATTGTTTCTTTGGGTTAGAAGAGTCAGAAATGATAGGAGAAAAATATTCCTTCTTGCAGGAAACATTAAACACATGTTAACTAGCATTCTCTCTCTTAGTTTTTTTTTTTTTTTTTTTTTTTCATTATTTGTACGTCACATTTCAACCTAGTTGTATCCTCTGGGAGTTAGATAAAGGTAAAACTGATCTTAAGTACCAAGGTCTTATTCTACATGGTGAATGTGTTCACAATGCCAGTCCTTATCTAGTAGCATTAAAAGAACCCCAGCATACATCCTTTTTTAAACAAAATATAGAGAAAGAACAGAATTCCACTGGGAAAATTTTATAACTCATGTGGTTGAAGAAATTTATTCTCACGGTAGCTGAAGCTACAGCATTATCAGCTTTGCAAACTAATTAATAAGTATAAAATTCCACATATCATACATAGCTGTGTTCTATTTCTGAGACAGGTCCTATTTGACCTCAGAGACTTTAGAACATCAAGTTATACAGTGCAGATGTGCACTTAAAGTTTATTCAAAAGACTCGCCTCTTGCCTCCAAATACTATAACTGAAATAGAGCAACTCCCAAGTTACAGAGGAAAAAAGACTGCCTCTTACCAATCCTAAATCCTTTCCAAATGTCTCAGTCCTCCAACACTGTTGCCTCTCTCAAAAATACAGTCTTGGTATTAGTATGAAAGGATAAATGAGCCTTTAGAAGACCTTAGATATACTCCAGTTGAAAAAGGCATAATGCTCCTTACATTGAATGAGTTGCCTAGACTTTAAGAACCAAGAGACAGCTTTCCCAATCTTCCCAAATTGAGAAGTAAATTTTCTAACCAAAAATTTTTTTTTTAATTCAGAAGATTTCCTCTTGCTTCTGCACCTATCCAGATTTTTTAAATAGAAGCTGTCTTCATCTTTATAGTATTTTGAATGAGATACACATTTCTCCATGACACATATATTTGTATTTCTAAGTACCATTGGAGAATTTCTCATACAGAGATGTTGTCTTTAAGTTGTACAATCCAAATATATCAAAGAAAACTAAGAAAATGTCAAAGAGTATTTTCTAAAACATATACAATGGAATACTAGCTCTTGAAGATGTTCAAAGAATATTCTGAGTCAGAGGTCATTGATCAGTAAGTTGATGAAATGTTGAGCTAAACAAAATTAAATAAATTTATCCACAGAAGCAGCTCATCAGAGCCTTTAAATGTGAACAAGCTCTGAGAATCTCTACAATGAGGAAACTCTTGGGATTATCTTATAGGCCTAGTTCTCCATTACAAACTTCAGAAAATGTAATCCTAGCTACCACTCTAATGATACATTCATTTTTCTTCATAAGGAGTTAGCATACAGTCATATCTATCTCTTAAAACCATACAAATTTATACTTGCATGAAAAGCAATGTATTCTGTTGTAATCAATGCTGGTGTTGACATGGTCTAATATACTATCTTTTCTTCAAATATTTGGAAATACTGATGTATTCATATTCTATGGCAATATTCTGAAGAAATCTGCTTCTTTTAATCTCTGTCTCTGTCTCTCTCTCTCACTGTCTGTCTCTGTCTCTGTCTCTCTGTGTCTCTGTCTCTCTGTGTCTCTGTCTCTCTGTGTCTCTGTCTCTCTGTCTCTCTCTCTCTCTCTCTCTCTCTCTCTCTCTCTCTCTCTCTCTATGTTCCTTCCCCTCCCCACCCCTCAGAGCCAGAGCCAGAGCTGGCCACACTAATCATTAGCAATGTTATTGCTAACAGCTTCAATGTGTTATGGACCACTTGAGTTGGGCTCTTTGCAAAGATTGTGATCAGCGAGGGCGATGCTCACTCACTGCATGAGTCCCAGCAATTCATAGTCCCAGGAGACACACAGCACACTCACATCACAAGCGTGGTGGCCAATACTGGCTATGACAGTGTGGCAGGGACCACCTGGGCTGGTGCTCCCACCAGACCTCTCACTGCCCTTGTCATCACAGGTATTCCAAGGTTCTCACTTGTTGCTTCAGAATCCTACCCAGTGAGAGGGGAAAGGAGTTAGGCATTCTGCAGGAAGATTCAATCCGATATGTAATCTTCACCTCAGCTGTAAACTTCCCTACTTTCATTTTTAACTGAAAAATACAGTTGTCTGTATTTATGAGGCACAAAGTGACATTTTCATATATGTATACTCAATTTACATGAGCTCAACTTCTTAGATTCCCCATATCAGTGAGATCAGGGAGTGTTTTTTATTTCTGTGCCCAGTTTATTTCACTTAGCGTACTGTCCTCCAGTTTCATTTGGATAGTCACTGATGACAGAATTTCTCTCTTCTAATGCTGTCTGGTACCCCTCCAGGCATATTTACTATCATTTCTTTATCCGTTCATCCACCAAAGGACATATAATTTGCAATGTAGCATTATTCAAAATATTCGTACTACAACATCTGAGCTTCGGAGGAAAAGAGTGGCTACTCCTGGAGAAAACAAGTCCCCAGGAGCCAATTTAAGAAATAGATGTGATGTTTCCAACAGGTGCAGAAAACTTTCAGAGATTTTTTTGGGGGGGCACAGTTTTATAAACTTCCTTATTCACAGCTTTGAGGTTTAGGCTAATGAGTGAATTCTAAATTAGGAAAGGCTTGGATCAGGAATTTTGTCCACCAGTCATGCTGTGTAAAAGCAGTTCATAAGCTACCTACCCCCAAAATATAATAACCTTTTTCCTTAAAAAAAATCTTATTACTCAATTTCAAAGTATAAGAGACAGAGATTGATAAAGGTTCAACTGAGGATGGCAAATAGGTTCCAAGATTAATTAAATCTGACCCATTCATAGAACTTGACTTTTAAGATCCCCTTGAATTACATAATGATACAGTTGCCTACCCAAGTCAGTCACACAGGCTGCAGGTGATGTCAACTTACCAAAATCTGCAGCTTGAAAAACAGTCAAAAGTATTTAGAACCCTATTGTTCTCCACCCATGGTAATTTCCAGGAGGCAGACTTTGCCATCTGACTTTCACACTGTTAAGTCTCTTCCAGTGTCTAAATTGCTGTAAGAGATATCAGTAAATAGGATTCAATATTTATGTGGGAGCAGGATGGTGTTTAGAAGAGTGAGGATTCTGAGATCGAGTCTCTCCACATCTTAGCCAAGTAACCTTGGCAAATTTCCCCTTTTATGATCACCATTTCCCTTGCCTATGGAGTGTGGACACCTACAGCTGTGTCTGGCATCTCATCTCAGAGGTTAACATGCACCTTCCTGGTGTTGAGTGAGCATTTTACAGATGCTTGAGAGTTTCTGTTATCTGCAAGCACTATGGAGACAGTGGTCCTGATAAAAGTAACCAACAAGTCTGGCAGTGTTGTTCTGTGATGCCTAGCATGCAAAAGGCCTTGGGTTCTATCCCCAGTTCTGCAAATAAGCAAATAACAAGCCTAGATACAAAAAGCAGAGGTATGCAACTACAACTTCCCTGTTATTTGTAAGAGAACATAGGACAATCTTAACATAAGTTGAAAAAGTGCTTATTTTTTCCTGCCTCATTATTTGATGAGTGAACTCATTCAGATCAGCCTCCATTGTACTTTCTGAGGGCGGCTGGGAGGAGTAGCTATGAGATGAATGCTCTTTTGCCTTCAAGGAGAGGCTTGACCACAAACTCCATCAGGCCCTTACTTGTAGCCTCCTGCACGACTCCTACTGAACAGACAGAAGAAAGGGAGGCTGAGGTCTCGGGAATCTGAGATCAGTTACAGTATTGTCTCTGCTAATCCATGATATGAAAAGACTGTGCTTTAAAAGAAGCATACGGAAGAAGAAGAAAAAAAAAATAATGAGCAGGAGGAACTTGAAAAAACAAGTCCTTCATTGACTCACTAGCCTGAATGCCCTCCTTTTGGTTGGAATTAGCTGTTTTGATAGCACACACAGAGGTACAAAGAGGCCAGTTATCAAAGAGAGACCCACTTATTTAAAATAAAACCAAGCAACAGAATGTGAGACCCATGTCTGGCACACCAAGAAGGCTTTTACTAAGTGTATGGGATTTCATTTCTGCCTTTAACAGAGTAATGATTCTTGGAAATTCTGAAAAAAAATGCCTGAAAATAAATATCAAGCGCTTCAAAATAACTACAGGAAATCCAAGCCACAGCAAAATTTAAGTTTCTGCCTAGGGGATAAGGGTATCTGTCCACTTATTCATGCAATCACCAAATCCTTCTTTTAAACATTTTTCTTTACATACCATGGATCAGTCCATGGGAATTAGTGCGGGGTCATTTATACTTTGAAAGTTTCCATAGCTCCATTAGAAAAGGAAGCTCTAAACTAGATGCCACTGATTGAGCCTTGGCCTTTGAACTCCCATCCCCTTGCCCTGCCAGTAAAAAATAGATACTATCAGCCTCTTTTAGTGCTATTTTACCACAGAGGAGGTGCTGGACCCTCTCCACTAGTCCTGCCTGTGTCTCTGGACTCGCCAGCACTGAGGGAGTTTATGAATTAGACTTTGGTTTGGGATATGGAAAGAATATGCAACTCACAATCATAATACCCCGATGGATCTTAGTGTTGCCACCTGGTAGATGTGTGATCTTTGACAAATCATGGTCTTTCTGTTTTCTTAAAGGTTATAGAGGTCAGGGACCAGACAAGTAGCAATACCAATACCTTACAGTGTCATTGTGACTATCAAGTAGGATAATGAATGTGAGCCCTCCTCAACTGAGAAGACGGAGACTGAGCTGACATGAGCGTATTCCTTTCGAGACTCTTAGTGTGTGAAAAGACCCCTGGGCATCTGGGAAGTCAGAATGCTTGGGATACAGATGTTTGATGAATGAATGGATACAGGATGACAGCAGACATCCTTGCTCTCTAACTTTATCCAGAAAATTAAGATGCAAAAAATGAGCAAATCTTGAAATTGGGCCATAAACATAGTCAATTTTGATAAGTTAAAAAAAAACTTACTGTGTTCTCTTATCTTTGCTAATGAAGATGCATTACTAATTAGTCCAAGGGACTTGATTCATAATGTGAAGTAGAAGTGAGTTAGAAAGTTTTACCAAAAAGAAAGTATGCTTGCAAAACACAAAGAGACAATAAAAGGCAATTTCCTTCCAAACCCAAAGTAGATAGAGGTGTCCAAGCCCAACACAAGGCATTCTTTTTGTATAGAGAGAAATAATGTAGACTCTGAAGTCAGACTCAGCTAAACACTTTTAATCCTTCACACACTGGCTTGGGAATCTGGCCAAGTGAACAACTTTTTTGGAACTCGGTTTTCTGACTTAAACGGAAATAACACCTATCCCCTAGGCTTGCTAAGAGAATTACACTAGGTAACAGTATCTGGCATCAAATAAACTCTTATTAAATGCTCATTTTCTGAATATATAGCACATGAGGTGATTTGTTGGGAATCCATCAGTGTTCTTGAGACTTGTGCTGTCCTAGCAAGGCCAGTGGTGCTAACCTGAGTTATTCTCACCCTCCCTTCTTTCAGAGGCCTTGCCCTTCCTGGAAAACATAACCATTTCCGACATTAATCCCTACGGGTTCACAGTTTCCTGGATGGCATCGGAGAATGCCTTTGACAGCTTTCTAGTAACAGTGGTGGATTCTGGGAAGCTGCTGGACCCCCAGGAATTCACACTTTCAGGAATCCAGAGGAAGCTGGAGCTTAGAGGGCTCATAACCGGCATTGGCTATGAGGTTATAGTCTCTGGCTTCACCCAAGGGCACCAAACCAAGCCCTTGAGGGCTGAGGTTATTACAGGTATTGCAATTCAAGTGAGCCATTCCCCCTTTTCCTGACCCCCATCTACGTTGTCTGTCTCCAGGGTCTTCATGATCTTAACATTGTTGTCCACCTTCCCTGCTTTCTCCATAGAAGTGACCTGTTCTTTCATATTCTCCCCACCATCCCCTGGTCTTAACGTATCTGTTGAGCACTCCCCACTCCCATCCCAGAAATGAGAAGGTCAAAATGTTTCCTCTTGGTGCCCCCAATTGTTTAGTCATGTCTCACCCATAGTTCCTGTGTACTTACTCCACATCACGTTCCCTTGTGTTCATTCTAGCTGATCCTAGCTATATTTCAGCCTTCTCAGAAGAAATATACCAATGAGTATATTTTGAAAATGTATTTAAATCTTTTACCATCTCAGAGTCTCAACTGTGATCTTAACAAACTTACTCAGTGGGCTTGTTCTCAGGACTTTTTAAATAATAGCAGAGAGATTCTGCATCACAGACTAAATCCATCATTTTCTCAAGACTAATAATTTCCAGATAAATACAAAATTAACCACTTTACTAGCCAAAAATCTGTGTTTCCCAAAGGCTTTCTGGAGATCACTAGCATATGGCTAAAGATCCCACTTGGTGAAGACGTTCCATGTTCAAGTAAGTTTGGAAGTCTTGAGTTAAACAGGATTCTTGACTACAGGGCTTTTTACAATATCTTATTTGCATTGTGTATTTCCAAGAGGGCATTATTTTCTAAACTTACTTGACAATGAATAGCATTTAATGAAGATATCTTCCTTTACTTTGAGTGTACTATGGGAAACTCAGCTCCAGATTTACCTTCACTTTGAGTTTTGTCTAGTTAAGGCAATGCAAGGTGAACCTCTGGGTCCAAAATCTGTGCCTCAAGAGGTTCCAAGCCTCAGTTATACTATCTGAACCCATATCTAATGATTAAAATAGCACAGAAAGAAAGTCAAATGGAAAGAAAATCAAGAGTAGGGGTCTTCTTCGTTAAATCAGCTCCAAGAACAAAGTAAAAGAACTATAACATTTTAAAAGCCATTTTCCTGGGGCTCCAAGGAAGTATAATCAGCAGAATCATCATGGGCAATTCTACAGATCATTAATGCTGGTTTATTTGTCTTTATAAAAAGAAAAGTAAAAGGTCCCACAGCAGATGGGCACTCAGCCACTGGAAGACAGAGAGCTAATGTAAACAAGTTACTGGCTTTGAACTTGTTTAATAATACATGGGAGGGGCCAGTGTTAATTCCAGATGTGGATTTATAGAATTGCTTTTAGACAAAACTCACAGATACAAGCATAATGCTTGGCTTGTATTGAATGTATCAACTCCAACTTTCCCCACTCCTATTCCTACTTGTTAATGCTGAATGATTTTATTTCTGTATCTCAGGATGCATCCATCTGTGAAATCCAGGGTATCACTGAGTACTGATACCCTTACAGGAGAGAAGATTGCATGGGCTGCTAAGTGATGTTCTCTTTCCTCCTTCTTCTACCATTTTCTCTCCTTCTAGAAGCTGAACCAGAAGTTGACAACCTTCTGGTTTCAGATGCCACCCCAGATGGTTTCCGTCTGTCCTGGACAGCTGATGAAGGGATGTTTGACAGTTTTGTTCTCAAAATCAGAGATTCCAAAAAGCAGTCTGAACCTCAGGAAATAATCCTTCCTTCCCCTGAACGTACCAGAGACATAACAAATCTCAGAGAGGCCACTGAGTACGAAATTGAACTCTATGGAGTACGCAATGGAAGGCGATCCCAGCCAGTCAGCGCCAAAGCAACAACAGGTACTGTAAACACACAGGAGAGAACACAGCAGTGTGCTGACTTGGGGCGCTTCCTACAGGATGGGGGAGTCACAGGTGCTTTAGACAGATATAAGCCTGCATTCAGATCACAGACCATGTTACCTTGGACAGTGTGTTAAGACTTGGCACAAAAAAGTGTGATGCTGTTTACATAATAAGACTGCCAGGGTTCACCAAGATGACACTTGCAAAGGCACTGGCAGGTGAGAGCCATCACATGCAGTCTACTGCATCATCCTCATAAGTGTCCCATTTTTAAAAAAATTCCAATGACTCTTCTTACCTGTTACCTGATGGGGTTTTGTCCAGTGATAACAGTTTCTGAGTTCTTTGACCAAAACTTCGGGTCACCTACATCAAGGACAATGGGAGAAGTTGCACTTGTACCTATAAAGATTAATATTTATAAGATGTCCATGTGAATAAATAATACTGTGATCAGCAAGGAAGGAAAAGTGAGCTGGCCAAGCTGACAGGCTACTCATGAACTCTTTTGGAGATTTGTGATCACCCTAAAGGCATTTACTGTGGGAAATAAATCTTTCCCATATGAGCTAACACAAGAGGGGAAGAAAAGATGGTTAATAACATAATTCTTAATACTAGGTCTAATGTGACTCTTCAGAGAGAAAAAAAGAAAGACCCACAAGAGATGGGTAAATACTTTAAGGAAAAAGAGAGATACAGAAACAGCACTCACAGAGACACTGCTTCAAAGAAAAATCAGAGTGGAACAATCACAGAGGGGAAACTAGAGAAATTCTGTAGGTCAGCCTTTTCTGTGTGTGCCTGAAGAATCTGGTGCCCAGAAAGGTGATATACCTTGCTCAAGACCACACAGATAGATTTTGTGTAGAATCTAAATAAGCACATATTTTAGCCCTAATTAATATAAGCAAAAAGACGAATGACCAATGTCTGTATACATGTGCCATCTTGGACAGACATAAAACCAGACACTAGCAAAAACTCCAAAATATTTGTGTGAAGATGCATTTTTATTATCTTAAGTTTCAGGACTTAATAAGCCCCACAGAACACCCCACAGAAATTGTAATCACCCTCTGTGGAGGTGGAGAAAATTCTGCAATCCAAGCAGCAACCTAGTGAAAGGAAAAACTGCTCCTTATGCACGGCCCCCCACCATTCCAGCCTGCAAATGTGAGGCTCCTCCTCCTGTGGCTGCCCATAAAACAGCTCCAGATCAGAGACAAGAGTCTGATTTTGACCTCAGTTTATAAACACTGGTCTTTAAAGTTTACTTCTGATCCCTAATTTTGTTTCGCTGATTTTTTTTTCTCTAGAAGCCCTCTAGTTCTAAAGCAAGAAAAGGAGACTGAATAATCATGAGCTGCTTGCTTTATTTTGCTTTTTCAGAACAAAAGAAAAAGCACAGTCTGCTTTTTGGCAAGGCCCTCTCTTAGTTTCCCCTCTCTGGGTCCTTTGAGTTCACAGCCAAAGGAAAGAGAATGTGTGTGCACACGCACACATATGTATGTATGTGCACATGGATGAGTGTGCAGCCATGTATGTGTATGTTTGTACCTATCTTTATAGGTACAAGTGCAAAATCTATCTGTGTGGTCTTGAGCATCTGCATTCCTGTGATCCTGGACTGGGAAAAGGCAGGAAAAAATGCTATGACACCGCAGACATCTAGCACATACCCTCACCTCATCAGCTCTGTACTTTCCTTTGTGTTTGTTCATCCTTTCACTCTCCTCTCCCATTTCTCTCACACCATTGTTAATCCCCTATGTGATGCTCTGTCTTCCTTCTGATAACGAGCTGTTGCAACTCCTTCTTAAAAAGCATTTCTCCCAAGCACACGCTCCCCACATTGGATTCCCAGAGCAACAGGGAGAAGAAATACCCTAGCGGTTGGTTAAGCAGTGGTCTCTGGACAAACTGTTGGCATTGAATATGGCACTATCCCTCTGAGCAGCTGTTAAGCAATTCTCTTTTTCTCTCTGGACCTAAATTCTCCCTCTGGAAAACAGAATTCAACTCAAGATCAGCCATGAGGTTGAAATAAGATCATGCATGTCAAATGTCTAATAGAATGTTTCTGTCCATAGCAACAAGAGTAACTATTATTAGGTTTGTGGTATTAATGTAATTTTGTTTTTAATGGGCTACATGACCAATACTCAGCAGTTAAAAAGGATATACACTGGAGTCTCTATTCAGCTGTGTTGCAGTACCCAGTGTCTCTAACTAGAAACAATTAACAGTGCCACTTCTTGTCCCTTCAGAAATAGATAAAACTCAACCTAAGATTATTTGTTTTTAACTCTTTTTTGAAGAATGCAACGTTCAGTGCATTCTTTTTTTTTTTTTAATCAGTATTGGGGATCGAACTCAGGACCGCCTGCTAGCAAGGCTTAGGCTGCTAAGCCCCATTTAGTGCATTCTTATTCTTTCATCCTTTTCTCTCTGTGTGTGTACATGTGTATGTGTGTGTTCTACTTATGAATAGCACTTGGAGAAAATCCCATATACATTATTTATTTAGCCAGTTTCCTATTGACGGGCACTCAGACTATTACTGTCATTTGTCCATGGTCAGCTTGTGTGCTTGCAATGACTTCTGTGGTTGGACCCACTTTTTTGTAATAGTCTTGGTCTCTCTTGAGGAGATGCCTCTTTCCCCTTCATGAACTGAAATGCCAGCCTATCTGTAGGTACTATCTTCAGGGTACCAGAATCTGCAGAAAATAAGAAAGAAATCCCAGCAAATGGGTAAGATGACTTTGCCATTCTCTTCTGGAGCCCTCACTTCTGGGCTTCTCTTGTAAAGCTCTCTTTTCAATCACAGAGGGTGCTCCAAGTGAGGACCGCAAAATGCTCGTCTAACCTGTCCTCATGCCCACCCCACACAGTTCTTATCCTGGAACTCTCTTCCATCCTTTAAGACAGTAGGGTTGTCAGTACCTCTTCCTCCACTTCCCAGAACATGCCTGCTCTCTTACCCTGCCCACTCTCTCAGTTCTCAGTTCCAGCTCAGTTCAGGTGGACCTGAAACCACCCATGAGTCACATTTACATTGTCTTGAGCCTGGGACAGGGACTCCGAAGAAACAGCTTCTTGGCCATCGTTCCTTGCACCCAGGCTCTTAGTGCTCAACACAGCCAAGTCATACTCATACCTTCCTCCAGATACCTTAAAGATGCTCCCACCAACCATAGAGCACATACTTTGTACCACATGCAGCCAGCGACCTCCTTGAATTTCCAAAACACAGGCAGACAAAGGGGAAGAGTACCACATTAAACCTATTTAACAGATGTGAAAACCGAGGCCCAGGGCTGAAGCATTTGTAAATAGTAATGCCAGAATAGAAATCACACCCAGATTATTAGTTCAACCTCAAAATTCCTGCTTTAAGTCCTACTGCATATAGCAGTCCTCCCCTTCATTCAACACAGGAACTAATGTATATTAAATGCTCAATAAAATTATGTCAAAAGGGGACTTTTTAAAAAAATTGTTAACTGCCTTCTAATGAGAAACATTTGCTATTGATTTGGGGCAGAAAATTTATGCAGGGAGAAAATAGAAGCCCTTTTTAGTCTTCTTGCAAGGTTTTAGTAATTCCATATATTTCCCTAGTGGAAGATTAAAATAACAGAATCCTTTGGAAAGAAACAAGAAGCATTGCCTTGGTCTCCCCAGCTTTTCAATATGCATGATTCAGTTCTTTCCACTGCGATCTGCGGTAAGGCAGTAAGCTTATGGGCCCCATATACGGCAAACAGAAACAGGCTAAAGTCACCTGGGAAGCTCTGTGGCCCCAAAACATGGTGCCTGTTGTTGCTGGATCTCCACCACAGCTACGCTGCTGCTTTAGGTTACAGAGCCATTCTCCTCCTCCCACTGTTACCATGCAAATCCCTGAAATGGGTGATGGATGGAGCCCTTAGTTCCTATAGTATGGAAGACAGGGCAGCTATTATGGCCATCTTATCAGAAAATTGGAGACTGGAGAAGAAAGACGCAACTTCTAAATTGTGCCTAATCCTACTCCAGCAAGACTTTCAGTCAGAGCAAAAATCGGAGTGACCCAGTCAGGCAGAGGAGGATCCTGTATACCTGAGTTTATGGACTCCGTGGGGTTTTTGCTCAGCTGGAGTCAACTAGATCTTTCCAAAGTAGACCTTAAAATCCAGAGGGGCCCACAGAAGGAAGGGCTACGTGGGAAAGAAAACAAAGAAAAAGAACATTTGCATTTACTGAATTCTTACTGTGTGCCAGATGTCATGCTAGGGGTTTTACTTCCATTATCTCTGCTAATCCTCAAAACATTCCTGTGGGTGCCCACTGCTGTCCCAATGGACAGACAGAGCAAATGAAGTTCACAGAAGTGAAGAGACTTGTCCTGGGACGTCCAGTCACCCAGCAGTGTCTTGCACCATCAAGATCTTGCAAGCTCCTGAGACCTTGTGGTTTCCAGATCTTTCTATACACAAGAGGAAGAAAAAAAAAAACAGGCAGTCACAGAGTATGGGAGTGGTTCACAGGTCACAGAAGAAAGCTGCAGGAGGAGATAGATGTTTTGGATGATCAAAAAAGGCAGACATTGGTCTTGATGACTGATGTGGGTTGAAGAAAGGAAAAGATGAGGAAATGAGCTCTCCTAGAGTCTGAAAATAGTTTCCTGAATTCCCGTCTAAACATGGTTGGCTGAAGTGGATAAAAATCTGAGCCAAAAAATACACAGAAAAGTCTTAGAGGAAATTGGCTTGGGGTAGGGAACATCAAGAGCAGAAAGTTCCCACTGGATACATGAGTTTCCTCACGGATAGATCCAGTGTCCAGTGGTGGTTAACTTTGGTGATGGCCTTTGGTTGCTCCCTGGCTGTGGCCCTCCTTTCAGTTCCACCAGTGGGCTGTCAAGATACGTGTCGTCTATGTGCACATTATCTCCAAGAGCCCCGTATGTATGTGGTCCAGCGATTCAGTCCTGTGAAATAGAAAGGTCACATCACAAGAATGTTGGTTGAAGAAAAGAGTCTCACCTATGCCTTCTATTCAAGGGCTACAAACACATTTTCTTCCAAGGAGATTCCACGTGAGGATTATACCTTCTACATTGCATATTAACTATATACTTGTCATGTCTTTGCATTATTTAATAAACTAGAATTCAAAGATTTGAAAAAGTGTTCAAAGCAAAATAAAAAATGAAAAGGGAATACATTCAGATTTGTGAAACCACTCTCTCTCGCTTCCTTGAAAACCAACCAAGATGCTAACACTCCCCTTAGTGGAAATGAATGACTGCACAATAACACCCATGGGCTGGTACTTAGAACAAAAGGATGATTGTCTCTAGCAAATCACACCTTGGTCACGGGTCACACCTTTTTCATTCTAAAGGCTTGGCTCAGACATCCACTCTAGGTGCTAAATTTTCTTGAATGAAGGATTGATCCAGGAAAAACCATTCATGGAAAACACAGTTAACCATATCTGGATTTCTCTTGTGTTTTCTCCTTGACAGCCATGGGATCTCCAAAGGAACTCATTTTCTCAGACATCACTGAGAATGCAGCCACTGTCAGCTGGAAGGCACCCACTGCCCAGGTGGAGAGCTTCCGAGTTACCTATGTGCCCATCAGCGGAGGTAGGAGACTCAAAGTTGGTAGAGTGGAGGAAGGGACCATGGAGGGTTTGATCACAGAGTGAAAGAGACCATGATTATCTCCAAACACATGGCTAAAGGAAAGCTACTTGCTTCATTTTTGAGACCAGTTGAAGAGATCCTATTTGTAAAGTCCTATAAGATCCTTGAAAGCATCATCTTTGGGAAGGGACATTTTATGAAGATCCTTTCTAGCCTTGAAATCCTAAAATTCTATGAGAAATTCATCCCTAGTTTTTGGAGTGTTTTTTTAAACAAAATTACAGAAAATTCTCTGTACAGTGTCCTTTTCTTCCTGAGCACACAGATCTTAAAAGTTGCTCTTGGTTGTGTATGAGATTTTTGTCTCAGACACCAAAATCTGTCTGTCTCATTACACAGTGGGGAGTTGGGACCTTAGCAGAGTTGTTGAATTGTAGTTCAGAACACAGGGCTGTGATAGAGGTCTCGGTGAAATCCATCTAACCACATTCCAGCAGGGAGTAAGCTCTATGTCGCTTGAGGTGTGTAGAGAGGACAGCTGGTGACAGGAATGCTGATGCATCTGTATGGAGAGTTTGGCTCTTCACCACCCACGAAATTCTAAGATGTGTAAATTCTGAATTTGCTGAAAAATATAAAGGCAACATCCTTGACTATGATCGTCTTTTTACTAGAAGTAGCATTTCTGCTAGTAACAAACTCTGTATAACCCTAAACCAAGATAATGGATAAGAAGTTGAGATGTACGTTCCATAGTGAGCTTTCCATATACTTTACAGGGAAAAAATAATAAAGAAAATAAAATTGGCACAACATGCCAGCCCTCTGCTGAACGGAGACTTGCCATTTTTAGTACGTTGTGATTTCATCTTTTTCCTCTCCTGGCTTGGTTTTTGGCATCCGCACCAGCGGAAAAAGCATTATACAAAAAGTAAGGCCTTTTCCCTCATGCCAGAGGGTGGGATAAAATGAGAAAAAGTCAAAGGAATGGTAGCAGAGAAAGACGTAATTTCATCTCGAAGTGGGACACACCCATCCTTGCGGCCCCCTAAACAAGCACTGATGGGATTTGCCACTGTTTACTGTGCCTCCTTTGTGTTCCAGGGATGCCCTCCATGGTTACAGTAGATGGGACCACAACGGAAGCCAGGCTGGTGCAGCTCATCCCTGGGGTGGAGTACCTCGTCAGCGTCATCGCCATGAAGGGCTTCGAGGAAAGTGAACCAGTGTCAGGGTCACTCACCACAGGTGCGTTGAGTTGGGGCCTGGTTTTTCAGAGATCCCTTGTTTGCTGTCATCAGCAGCAGGGAGAAAAGTTTATTTATGAAATCTAGTGGAAAGTGAATTGCATTTCAGGTGCCAAAATTCTTTACTGGAGCCTATCCCTGGACTCAGATGAGCTGTGAGGCCTTGACCTTCTTAACTTTCTAAGACCTCTACTTCCTGCACTACTGTGAGAACCAAATAACTTTGAATGAGTCTCATACTTCGAATGACCTGGGTTGAAATCTCAGCTGTGGAACCCACTAGGTTTTTAAGCCATCTGATAATTCCTCCACCCTCTGCGTTCAGTTTCATTCTCTACAAAATGAGTGTAATTCTCCCTCCCTCATAAAGATCTATAAATATGAATGGTTGTGTGAGTTCACCTGCCACCTCCTTGCTTCCTCCAGTACCTAGAACCACTGTGAGGACCTTTTCAAGTAGGTGTTTCATGCAGACCTACCATGCTGACAGTTATTCAGTGACTACTCTCTATTTGGAAGCTTCTGTATTCCAGACCCTGCTGTGACACTCTACGTTTAATCCCTATAACGACTATGATTCCCATTTGACAGAGAAAACAATTGAGATTTGGGGAAATTACTAAGCTACATGATTAGTATTTGCATAATGCTGGAACCAGATATGAGCACAGGTCATTCTGCCTGCAACCCCTATGTTCTTCTAAAATAGTCATTTCCCTATTGAAACCTGACTTGTCCGATAGGCTGTTAAGGAAGGAAATAATGAATCTCATTTAAGGGGGAATAAAGTGGAAAAGTTCTCTTCAGACAGCTATGTCTCTAAACAATTTATCCTTTGAGATATGAGCAATTATCCAGTCCAATCTATTAAAGGTCCAGAGAATGGAAATGTTAAAAATACCCTAATTGCCTAATACAGTTAATAATACAAAATTAAAACATCTCATCTGAACGCAGAGTCCTGTTCTCCCTACCACACAGGCCTTTATTCTTCTAAAGAAGTCCCAAGGCAGCGTTGCCATCCCCAATTAAAGTGGACTCTGGGCATATGTGGTGAAACAGGAAGGAACCCATGGGCACTCCCAAAATGTTCTGGTCCACCCTGGCTCTCAAGCCAGTTATTTCATCTCTTGAGGCTCAGATCCCTCGACTATGACATGAGCTGCCGACAGCTGCCCTCAACCTACAGGGCAGCTCTGCAAGGCTCCACTGTCTGTATAAGTTTCTTTCACAGAAAAATGGGGTTTGAGCTCTGGTGATATGTTTTCTCACATGTTCAGAACTTTTCACTGTATGCAGCATGTTTCCATTCGTCATATGTGAAAACCAAAATAACACTGAGAAAAATGCAGGCAGAATCATCATCCCCATTTTAGATGTGAGGAAATAGAGGCCCAAAGGAACGCAGTCAACAAGCTAAGGTGTCATGACTCAAAGCCATGTTTGGGACTCAGGACTGACCTCGACACCTGACAGTGTGAACTAACATCAGGAGTGTAGATGGTCAAGCAGCTCCGGTCTGATGTCCTTCCCCATCTTGACCAGTCCCTCTCCCACCATCTTTCTTTGCAGCTCTGGACGGCCCATCCAGCCTGGTGATAGCCAACATCACTGACTCTGAAGCCTTGGCCATGTGGCAGCCAGCCATAGCCCTTGTGGACAATTACATCATCTCCTACACAGGGGAGAGAGGTAAGATCTAGCCCAACACTCCTCACTCCAGAGGGTGTGGGTCTCACTGTTGACTTTTTCCATTCTCCCTTGTCCATGCTGTGTTTAGATACAGGATGACAAAAATGCATGGGTAGGTAGAAAGGCCAGCAATGTTCCTATGATTCTCACTTGCAACCTTAACAGAGTCCAGTAGGCTATGAAAAAAACAAGAGGCATATATGTCAGCTCTGCATATTTTCCTAGCCTTCCCTCCTGGCCTGCTAGTCTATCTGGCAGCATGAAACTCCCTTGCTAGGAAGCAATTCTTATAAAGGAGTTCAGAATCTAAAATCTTAAATAACATCAAGTGGAACTGAGTCCTGGCTCCTTGGAAGCCACAAGAGAGACCAATGGAAGCAAATTGCATTGAAAAACTCTGAAAGTATTTTTCTTTGTTTTTGCAACTGCCTGTGCTCATTTACCCAGTTGGCAGATTAAACACTTGCTTCGAGCACCTGCCAGCTATGGGCACAGGAAAGTAAGACCCGATACAAACAAGAGAGAGGAGAAAAAGAGTCCTTTTCAATGAACTGATCCATAATTTTGTAATGAGCAACCATGGAAAGAATTTTGCTGTTTTAATTTCCAAGAATATATATAGGTCGTGTGTTTTATGGATCCATCTTGTTTTTGTTTCAGTGATAATATGAGATGACATCATAATCTTTGCCCGGGGCCTCTGAAAATTTTAACTGAGCCTTGATACAGACCTGAGAAAGTTCTTTGTAAGGACACAGTCAAGATGGGGTCAGGATAGGAAAATTCTGATTTATTCTTTTTACACTTTAATTCTCATCCCTACGAGGAAACTTTTCTGAGACAGGAAAGGCAATGTTACCTAAAGTAAACCAGGGTACAGTCCATGATTATCATGGAAATTGTGGAGTCAAGACTAAAGAAAGGCTTGGGCCAGAAAGGAGGAAGGGAGCTTGCAGTTGATGAGATAAGGTAATCAACTATGTCAGTCAACTTTCCACTGCTGTGACAAAATACCTGAAGATCAAATTAAATAGAGGAAAATTTTATTTTGTCTCTAAACTTTCCATCTATGGTCACCTGGTCCCATTGCTTTTAGTTTTTGGCAATGAAGAACATCATGATGAGGAGCACATGGTGAGGCAGAGCTGCTCACCTGCTGGTGGCCAGGAGGCAGAGAGTAAGAGAGAGAGACTGGAGCCTGCATCCTAATATACAAGGACATACCCCAGTCACTAGCCTTGATTACTTCTTCTAGCTAGGCTGCACTTTATTGTTTCCATCCCTCCCAGAAGTGCCAGTAGCTGGGTACCAAGCCTTCTACACACAGCTTTGAGGGGAACATTTAAGATCCAAAGCATCACACCCACTTTTCCATGTTTCTAGAGACTTTTCCATTTTTAGTGCCAAAAGTTCTACGTGGGGGAAGCCATTCTGTCCTTGACAAACCAAAATCGTTCGTGCCCTGTGATTAGAAAGTAAACACATTCACCACAGCATGGTGGTTTGCTTTCTACCATTGGACACGACTGATCCTGGTGGGCCCAAGAAGCTATAACAGATTCTGGGGAACCTATCAATATTGTGACCCCTCAGCCTTAAGGATTTTGTGATCCTTTATTTGACAATATATGGTAATTTATAAAAAGATATGTACCTGGAAAGGAGGAGGAAAAAAATCATAAGACAAGTTAAATTTAGATAGGCTGAGACTTGGGAGTTACCTGCAACCCTCCTCTAGATCAGTGCCAGGACAAGTTCTGCCAGGACATCATATGGAAAAACTCCTGACCCAGGTCCTCTACCTTCTGATGGAGTGCCTGGAAAATCCAGTCCTATAGGATCAATCCTTTGTCTATGAGAAGAGCACTCGAGAGAGAAAACAGTCTGAGTTGTTTCAGAAATCAGACCTGCTTCTCTGCAAGGTCACTGAAAGTTTCTGTGTTAGGAGGAGGTGTATACATTGTTTGCCAAGCCTGCTGATGACTTGGACAGCAATAGGTAATGACCCTCGTATGTGTATTTCAGGTTTAGTGCCAGAAATTACACGCACCGTGTCTGGGAACACAGTGGAGTATTCTCTGACTGACCTTGAGCCTGCCACGGAATACACACTGAGAATATTTGCAGAGAAGGGACCCCAGAAGAGCTCCACCATGACTACCAGGTTCACAACAGGTACAAAGACAGATTGCGGAAAGCTGTCCCCTGAGACACCCACCCACAGCCTTCTTCCCAAAGGGCAGAAGGGGCAGCCCCTTGCAATGCAATGACATCAGCACCTGCTGAGTCACCAGTGGCTATTCAGTCAGAAGCCGAAGAAACACCATTTCCACTTCAACTGAAATGACCTTGTTCTCCCTGCAGATGAGGAAAAGATTTTAAGAGGAGAGATTTTTAAGTAGTAAAGCAGTCTTCCTTGGCCCTAAACCCAAAATTTAATGATCCATATTCCAGGAAGGGAACTATATTTGAAAAGGAAAGATTTTTCAGGCAGCTTTTCCTAGATGTCTAATGGAATTTTATGCATTGAGAGTTTTTTTTTTTTTTTTACAATCTTTAGCAATCAGAAACACAGGGAACATCTTCTCTGTGGGGGTAGACGATGATACTAGCACTCATCCTTCCTCTTATTTATAAGCAACGTGGTTTAGTGATCACCTTGGTAATGGTCATCACAGCTGTACCTTCTCCCTGAACTCCACCCAAAGCCAACCAGGACTGTATTGGACTCATGGGAATCAACCTTTAGGAAGAGATGAATCATGGAGAATCTGTCTTTAAAGATCCCATGTTCAATCTTTTCATCCATAAGCAGGGAAAGTTCTTGCACAAGTCACACCAGTTGGTGGAAGGGAAGGAACCTCAACCTACTCCCCTTAATCCTCCCCATCCTGTGTTTGCTGACTGATTTGATAATGTCTTCTCCAGACCTGGATGCTCCCAGAGATTTGACTGCTTCTGAGGTTCAATCAGAAACTGCTCTCCTCACCTGGCAGCCTCCCCGGGCATCAGTCACTGGTTACCTCCTGGTTTACGAATCCCTGGATGGTACACTCAAGGTATGTTGAAGTACATAAACAACCCCCCACTTCTGGTTGAAATGTGCATGAGACTGGTGCAGCAGAGTTTAAACAACAACAACAAATTAGTAGGGACTGGATGCGATGCTGAACCTTTTGAATCATACACTACAATCTCTCTCATTTTAACCAGCTCCCGGGTCTATAACAAACCAGTCTCAAGAACCACTACTTACAAGACTTGAGGATGTTTTAGGAGCTAGATTCCTTGTTCTTCAATGTTAAATTGAGCAAAGACCAAGAGCTTTCTGCACATTTGGCCTACATATGATCTCACAGACCTCACATCATTACATGACATTTATCACATATTTCACCAAGTCTTTACAACAGTGACTGCTAATACTCTTTATACTCTTTATGCCCATTGTTAATGCTACTTATTAGTCCCTCCCCCATGAACTTTCTTTTCTTTTACTTTTTAATTTGCAATAGCTTTAGACCTTCAGACAAATGAAAAAGATTTTTGAAAGCTTACCTTCCACACATGATACTGGATTTTTCATTTTTGTTATCTTACCTTGTATTCCTGAAGTCCTTTACTTATTCTCCGTACATTCGTCTTTTTCTAGCATCTTATTCATTTCCTATATCATCTTCTCTTTGCTCTAAAATATATTATTGGCATTTCATTCCAGAATGGCATTTTTTTTTCAGTTTCTTCATTTTATTGTTTTGGTTCAGCTTTTTTTTAGTATATTCTCCCTTTTCCAAATTAAAGTCTCCAACCAGCACCTATTAGTCCCAATTTATCCTTTTACACTTGGTCCAAGAACAAAACAGCTGATTGGGAGTTCCAACTGCCCCACGGGGATTATCAATTATGGGATTCACTATAGAAATATCTGGCAAGTACCTAGCAATTTTATTAGGGCATGCCAAATATCAGTACCATAAGTCTGGCTCTCACCATATGCAGAGTTTCTCTCCATTTTATGATTCCAGTGTAACACCCAGCTTGAGCATGGCGGTAGAATCTGGTGGATTTGAATTCCAAGCCCCCTCTCTATCTGAGCTTCTCCAGTGAATAAACTGGACCAGAGGTGTGTGGGGAGATCTGGAAATCTGTTTCTCACACAAAGCTTTCAAACATACCAAACCTTACTTAGTTCAGCCACACGCCACCTTGCCACCAAAGGCATCTTTGATTTTGTACACATCCATCATGAACTTATAGACATCAGCCAGACTGGGGTTGCTCTGCTCACTATAATTAGTAAGCCCCCAGCTCTTGTTATCAGCCCCTCAGGAGCTGCTCTATCACCCACTTTGCATCTACCAAGGTTCTATTGGCATGAAAAACCTGTCACTGTCGCAGTCCGCTCATCTTTGCATATTTACACCCTACAATTCTTTACTCTCACTTCAATTGACATCAGGAACAAGAAGAGGTAAACAGGCATATCCAATATCCAATAGGTCAAAGTTAAGCAGGAGTGGACACATGTCTCTAGTTACTGTCATGGCCATTCCTGAGTGGCTGTGCAACAGACTAACTTGGCGTAATCTGAAGCAGGTTCCTTGTCTTCTCAGGATCAATGCTCAGACATCCCACTTACACATGTCTATGATCCCCTCACAGTTAGGCATCCAGGACTTGTCTGCCTTAGTTGTGAGTCTTATTCCAAGCTGTCCTACTTGCCTAGAAGACAACTTTGCATAGCAACCTGGAAAACTGATAGGTAATTGTACCCCTGAGTACTACAGTAAGCCCAGCTTTGTATCTAACAGTTGATCTTTCCCTGGGGACCAGACCTGAGAGGAACGTGAAGGTCACTGGTATTCAGTAGGAACTCATCCTGGTTTACTTTTCTTGCATGTTCCATCCCCAGGTTTAGATTTCTCACTCAAGAGAATCAACTTAGTAGAGAAGACTCCCATATAAAGAGTTGAGAGACCAAGAGGCAAGATCGTCTTCTGCCACCAACAAATTATGGAATGGTAGCAAGTCTCTTAGCTTCTCTGGAACTCGGTTCCCCATTAGAAGTCAGGATAACACATGTGCTTCTCAGGCTGCAGGCAGCCTCCCAGGGGCCTTCACACTGACTCAGCACCTCCCAAACCCAGCCAGCCATGCTTGTGTGTGACAGAGGGCCGTGTTGTTTGGTTGAATTCCAATCTCCGATACCAAAGTCATCTGCTAAAAAGAATTGGAAACAAAGTGGATTTGAAAAAAAAGAGGATCACCTGGGAATGGAAACTAATCCCTTGCTCCAGACAGTAGTCCAGGGACCAGGCACACAGTTAGAGAGTCCCAGACCTGTCTCTCCTGATAGATCTGTTCTGGAAAATCATGCTGGGTTAGCCCAAAACTTCTCCATGCCCCACCCACTGAGGTACTGTTATCATCTCCTGACTCAAGAGGTTTCTAAGCTGACTCTGCATCAGAATCCTCTGGAAAGCTTCTTAAATACACACCCGGCCAGGCCTCTGCTTCTCTCCATGATGGCTCAGTTAGTCTGAGCAGGGGCCTCCACATCATGGTATTCTTAAAGCTTCCCAGGAGAGCTGTGAGAAAGAGCCAGACTTAGAGACCACTGACCAGACTGACCACAAAGTCCTCTGCACATTGTGCAATTCATCTTGCCACCAACTTGTTTCTTTTAAAGCAAAGTTGGGTTTATATTGTCGCCTGTTTGAGACCCTTTCAGATCTTCCCATTTCTTATAATGATAAGCTTCCAGTTTTGTAGTTTGATATTTAAGGCCCTTTATAATTTAGTCTTTCCTACCTTTTCCATTGCTCCTTCATCTGAAACCAAGTACACTTAGAGTATTGTTTCTTCACATTATTTTCACTTACTCTGCCCTCTTCCAGCCCCAGGGCCTTTGCTTATAATGTATTCTCCCTATTTCTGCTGGTCCAGTAATTCACATAGAGCCTGGATCAGAGGGAGTGCTCTGTGGCTTCTCACCGGATGAACAAATGAACACATCATCTACATATACCCAAGAATATCCACGGTCAAACTGCTATGCTTTTTTCTTCTCTTCTTAGGAAGTCATCTTGGGTCCGGATACCACCTCCTATAGCCTGATAGACTTGAGCCCATCCACCCACTACACAGCCAGGATCCAGGCACTGAGAGGCCCCCTGAGGAGCAAGCTGATCCCGACTGTCTTCACCACAAGTAAGGAGGCCAGGGAGCAGTGGAGAGTTGAGATCTATCTTTATGAAACTGAATCAACCCTCTGCTTCCTCTTTGACTCCTTAATAACATCTTCTAAATAAGTCTCTGAAAAGTACCAGTTCCCTGTTACTCTTTGGAACCCTGGGGACTGTGGGTGCATGAGGGTATGAGCATCTTAGTGAAAGGAATGGAAGACAGGGGTAGGGGACCCATCTGGATTCAGTCCCCATCTCTGAAGCTGACTGAGCAAAGTTCTCTAAGCCTCAGTTTCTCCATCTGTACAACTGGACTAAAAAGCATCCTTTTGTCATCAGACTCCATTAAGGGTTAATGAGATGTTGTATTTGAACTCCTGGGAGAGTGTTCAAAATAACAACTGTCCATCCTACCAAACTGGCACAGTGAACAATGATTATTATGCCTAATTTCCAAGTGATAAATGAAGGCTTCCAGAGACTAAATGCCTTGTTTAAAGCTAGCCTGAGTTAGAGTTGGCCTTGGGTGGTGCTGGCCGGGAGCCCCCTCTGCACCCATCACTGGGCATCTTCTGTGAGCAATCAATGGGTAGATTGTTCACTGCCTCCATAAGAAGCTGCATCTACTCATGAGTAAAGGCAGCACGGTCTGGGAGCTGCCTCCTGCCCTTCCACTTACCTCAACAAACATTCTGACATGACTGCCAAGGAGAGTGCCCTTTCCTCAGATCTTAGGGAGCATGAACTGCAAGTGGACCCTAAAGATGCTCTCAGGCTAGGGCTGTGACATAAGCAAGAAGACAGCTTGTGTAAGTAAAGTACAGTGAGGAGGTGGTGTCAGGTGACCAAAAAAGAACTGCGATGACTACCAGCTCACTGGACGTCTGTTAAGTATGGCCCTCAAACTACCCATTTTTATAAGGTTGTTAATTTTTGTGTCATTTGATTACACTTGAAAACTTCCCAGGGATTCTCATTTTAGCCAAGATTCTCAGGCTCAGAATAGTTAAATGGTTTCTCCAGTGTTATACACTAAGCAAGTGGCAGGTCCAGGATTTGGGCCCTTATTTCAGAATTCTCTGAAGAGCCTGAGATGGAGCCATACATGGGTTTGAAATGTATTTATCTGGGGGACTCAGAGCTTCAGACTTTTATCAAAGTCTCAGAGCCTCCTGTACCCCAGTAGAATCATCTGCACCACAGAAAGCCACCCACTGGATACTGGAAACAGCCACCACAGCCAGTACCTGGGTATGCCTGGCACTTTACCTTCACAGCAGCTCCAACTGGCTCCCATAGAGATAGCTTACAGTGTCCATCAGTATGGGGGACTGAGTGGGCCCTTCATGTCATGACTTCTAGGCCACATAGCAGCCCTACAAAGTGGGTTTCAACTTCATGCTGTCTGGGAAGCAACAGAGACTCAGAGAGTCACTTTGTTTGCCCAATAAACATCAAACCAATGAACAGTTGAACTGCAGTCTTGAAAGCTCCTACCCTGATCCTCCAGCTCTGAGATTTATTATTTCTCCTTTCCCTGCAGTTGGGCTCCTGTACCCGTTCCCCAAGGACTGCTCCCAAGCAATGCTGAATGGAGACACGACCTCTGGCCTCTATACCATTTATCTAAACAATAATAAGACCCAGGCTCTGGAGGTTTTCTGTGACATGAGTTCCGATGGAGGTGGCTGGATCGTGAGTATCATGACATATTCCAGAGTTCTCAGACCAGGAGGGTGGGCACACCAGGACAGGGAATGGAAATGACCTCCTCCTTGTGCATTGTGACACTGACATGCATGAGGCTTTGCAAGACAGGGCCTGTTGTGCCGAGGAACTTGGGAATGACCCCTTTCGACAAAGAAATGGAAAGAAATTGTGGGTTGGAAAATAACATGAGAAATAATTTTCTTCAAATGAATCTCATCTAATCCTTCTCAAACAACTTGTATAAATACAGTGATCATCAAACCCATTACTTCTTAGTAGTGGCTAAGCCCGTACTCCTTACCAGAAACTTTCTAAGAGTTTAATAAGAATTATTTAAACCCCATTACCATATTACTGGATAGTAATAAATTTTATTCTTAGAGAAATTTTAGGCTCACAGCAAAGTTAATAGGAAAGTAGGGTTCCCATATGTCTACTCCACCCACACAGTGTCCCTCATATCAGTATCCTACACCAGCATGATATATTTGTTAAAACTGAAGAGCCTACACTGAGACATCATTATCCCCCAAAGCTGGGTAATATTTTCAGTCCCCATTTCCCAGATGAGAACACCATGCATAGTTCAGGGTCACAAAAGGGAGGTGACCTGCCCAAAGTCACATGGAAAGTGAATGCTGGACCGAGCAAGGCTGGGTGCTCTTTCCCAGTCCGATGCTTCTTCCTGCCAGAAAGTAGCCCTTTCTTTCCTTCAGGCTCAAGTGCACCCAGATGCATTGCTTATGTTTGTAGGTGTTCCTGAGACGCAAAAATGGGCGTGAGGACTTCTATCGAAACTGGAAAGCCTATGCTGCTGGATTTGGGGACCGCAATGAAGAATTCTGGCTTGGTAACAAACCCCTGCATGCTTGTATCCAAAATGTCCCATTTCTGCCTGCTTTGGCATTTGGTGTAAACAAGGTGACCTAAAGGGAGAGAAATGGGTTAGAAGGAGAGAGGCTCTACTAGTAGGAGCTCTGGTAATATGGCAGACTATCTAAATCCCAATATGAGAGACTATTTAAAGGCTTTAGGTCCCTAAAAAATCCTGAGGGCCAACAACCAGCCTCATCAATTAATCTACCCTTAAGTCAGTGACTTAACCATTCACAGAATTGTTCCAATTGTACCCCCTGATAATGCTAAATGGGTCCCTCTCACTCTCCAGTTATGGAGATGGGTCCCTTATAACCATAACCTCTGACCTCCTGACCACTGCACAGTGCATTCACATGAGGAGGCAGATCCTTAGAGAGGCTGAGTGGCTTGCCCATGGTGATCTACCCAGTGAGCCACTGAGCTGCAATTTAAAATCACCCAAATCAACACCAACTTGCTGTCATTCATCCATCCATGCCACTCACACTAACAACCTGCCTGCACCAAGCCTGACCCTGAGAATATCCTTCCCAACACTGCCTGTCGCTTTATGTGAGTAAGGATTTTCAGAATTTAAAGGGTGCCTTCACCCTTATTGTCTCTGAGTTTCATAATGTGGTGGGAGGCTACAAAGGCACTGATGATAACCTGATTTTACCTGAGGCTCAGAAACATCATATATTTTACCTCCTGTGGTCCCAGTGGAACAAGCTTCCAGTGTATCTTGGTGACACATACTCTTTCCAGTGTACCCAGTTGATGCTTTGTACTGGGTGGAATAGAAGATTGATGGCGTCAGTCAATTGTGCTTCCTTTGCAACCATTGCCTGTCCTCTGCAGGGCTAGATAACCTGAGCAAAATCACAGCCCAAGGGCAATACGAGCTCCGTGTGGACCTGCAAGACCATGGAGAGACAGCCTATGCCGTTTACGACAGGTTCAGTGTGGGAGACGCCAAGACCCGATACAAGCTGAAGGTGGAAGGGTACAGCGGGACAGCAGGTATGGGACAATCACACCGGAAGCCGAAGGACCGCCTCGGTGTTTCCAGCTAACTTCTGCTTTCCTTCCTTCCCTTTCTTCCTTTGTTCCTTCTTTCTCTCCTTCCTTCCTTCTTCCATTTATTGAATCAATCAATACTTGAATATGTACTAGACAAAAATACTAATCCAGAAGAACTATACTTGAAAAAGGCTGGTTAAGTGTTTTAGTCACTAAAAGACAGCGAAGGTTGAGAATTGGGCCACCAGGATTGATTTATAAATCCTCATTCAAAAGATACACGGAGTGATCAAAAAATACGATGAATACTGAAAAATGTTTTTAAATTTATTACAGTAAAAGACACATTTCCAAGAAGGATAGGAAAGTGAGATGGAGTATGTAATATTTTGAAGAGGATTAGTAGTACTGTGCCTTTCATTGTAATAATTTTTAGTTGAAACATTCATGGTGTGTTTGATCATCCCACGTATATCTTTCTCACCCATTTTTAGCTAACAGCTCCAGACTTAAAGAAAAATGGTTACCCAAAGCTCTCAACCCTCATCTAACCCAGTGCTTTGTTAACCCGGTGCTTTGGGTAGAAGATACTGTTAGTGTGTAGATGCTGAAACAGAAAGTCCAAGTGGGGCTGAGAATGCCTTTCTTATAGGCTCCCTGGTGATAGCAACGGCATTGGTGTTGCTGGTCTATGGACTGCTGTTTGAGTAGCATCTGCTCTGTCACCAGCTGCTAACATGTCTTCTAAGACATCGCTGCTACCTGGCATCCAGCCTCATCCTTCATACCCACATGAACAGAAGCTCACTCCACTACCTCTCCAGTGACCTTTTTATTCTGTGCCGTTCATATTCCTAGTTCTAGTTTTGAAAACTGCTTTGATTTGATACAGCCTTTGTAGGATTTTTCTGGCTGCACATTGAGGAGAAATAAGAAAACAATATGTATTGTCTGTTGGGTGGCGTTGTCTTTTGTAAATGTATTAGTTGTATTATCCCCACTTAGTCCTCACAAAAATCAAGATGTGGGTATAAATATAAGGAAGCAGGCTCAAAGGAACTCAGTGACTTGCCCAAGGTGAAACAGCAGCTAGAAGGGGAGGAAAGTGGTTGCAGAGAAACAAGAAGCGTAGCCAGAGATTTTCTTGTTATCAAAAAGGAATTGGCTGAGCGAAGGGACTACCCCATGCAAGCCAAACCTGCTTTGGGTGGTGGCTCTTTTTGTGTGTATGAAAACAGAAAAGACAGATGCTATGGCACATTTCCAATCCTTCTGAGCCCTGAAAGGAAACATCCAGAAAGGAGAAAGTGTGCAGATAAAGGGATGTCAACAGCTCAGCTTTAGTCTAAGAGGCACAAAGCTGTTTCAAGATGGCAGTTTGGTGGTAATAAAGAGGAATAGCCAGGGGTGAAAATTGTTCTAGCTATGGAGAGCCTCAAAGAATTCTGACATCTTGTTACTTAAAAATAAATACCTCTGGTTTTGATGACTTCGGGCAAGAAGGATACTGTTACATGGCAGAGAGAAAGAGAGAGAGAGAGTGGCAGAAAGAGAGAGAGAGAGAGAAGAAAGAAAGAAAGAAAGAAAGAAAGAAAGAAAGAAAGAAAGAAAGAAACAAAGAAACAAAGAAATAAACAAAGAAAGAAAGAAATTCAAATTCACCAAGCAGCAAAAATGTGGCCCTTGTATGTCTCTGCATTTCCGAAGAGAAAATGTACCATATTTCCCTTTAGTATGACAACTTTGGTAAGACTGTATTTTCCCCTGCTTTGCTAGCAGCCAGGCCCCTACAGGGGAGCATCTGCTACATTCACACCTACCTGCCATCCTCATGCTCTGGGTAACATCATCGGTTACTAAGTCTTTCCACGACTTGCTCCAAATGGCAGCATACAATGTTTAGGCATCCTGAAATCTTTTTACACAACAAAAAGAAATGCCACTAAATTGCTTCCAAAGTTCAATGTATTAAATTACAAACTGCATTCCCCAATAAACTTTTATGAGTTGGGCTTCTTGTACAAGAATCAGAGAACACTAGTCAGATACAGATTTCAAAAAATAACTACATGACACAGGCTCTTTGACAACATCTAATACCTGAAGGGCTTAACTTTACTGCATGTGGAACAAGCACACATCATTGTTAAGCGAAAATTTCTCAGCTTACTCTCAGCTCTTTTTTGTAAAAAGAATGCAGGAAAATCATAAACACACTTATCATAAATACCTCCTGCTCTACCTGCTCAGAGCACACCTTCGTAGCCACTGCCACACAACACTGTGATGCAGAGGAATTGGGGTGCTGGTGCTATTTAGAGCACAGAGGGTGAGCAGAGGCTTGATTCACCCAAGGCCCCAGCTAGAGAGAGAGGTGGGCCCTGAGGCTAGAGCCTCTACAGTTACCAACAGCATTTTTCCTGCCTCTTAGGCTGCTGTCAGAAATGGGCCTTGGGAGGCACTCATGACCCAACAGCTCCACTTTCAGGCACAACTTTGAGTCTGCAGTTCAAGGCCCACTCACCCCAGAACCATACGGTTTAGCAACTGTTAAGAAGGTTCTCTGGCTCTTCCCTTCACAGCCCAGAAAGAAACTGCAGCTGAGATGTTAGGCCCTTATTTTTCTCTCCCTCTTCCTCTCAGGTGACTCCATGGCCTACCACAATGGCAGATCTTTCTCCACCTATGACAAGGACACAGACTCAGCCATCACCAACTGCGCCCTGTCTTACAAAGGAGCTTTCTGGTACAAGAACTGTCACCGTGTCAACCTGATGGGGAGATATGGGGACAACAACCACAGTCAGGTGAGTAGACTGTGCAGGCAGGCAGGGCTGGGGACGCTGGACGGGGTGAGGGGAAGACATCTTGGCTACTCATACAGGTGAACACTTAGAGGCAGCAACCACAGAGAGTGACAATATGTTTTTCCTTCAGCACAGCAAGAAATCTCAATGACAGCATAGAGAAGCTAAAATAAAATATCTCATGTTAACCTTTGAAGATCCCAAGGAGAAACATTGGCCAAATGGATTCTAGGCTTAGAAAACTTTTTTCAGATACAATTTCTGTGTGAACCTCAAAAGTAACCCAGATAAAAATGGAGATCATTTAGATGAAACAGGATTGAGAGCCCCAGAGTTTAGGAATAGCTTAGGATGAAGTCACACATTTTAAAACCCATAACTTTATGATAGGACCAAGGACCAGAGAAAGGTAACTTTTCTGAGGTCATGGAATGAAGTTGAGGTCAGACACAAACTTCCCCACTTTCAGGCCCCAGTGTTTTTCTTGCACCACACACAACTCTAGCACAAACTTTGCAATCACAGAGGTAGGTTTTTTAGATGCCCTTTAGAAATGGGGGAGCAAAGCCAACCCAGTAGTCTCCCTTACAATGGGCCCTTCCAGCATCAGTGTGTGCCTGGAGGGTGAATATTGCCAAGTGGGGCCAGCACATTACTCAAAAGCAGCTCCTATCCTGGCCCTGCTCAGAAGCTCACCCTGATCCCAGAGAGGAGGGACAATGTTCTCACAGAGCCTGCCCACACTGACCCCTGGACCTCCAAGAGCCTTGCCAGATCTTCTCACCAGAATCCTCAGGGCTTGGTAAAAGTGCAGTGGCCCAAGTCACACAGCACGACCCAAGGGTTTGTATTTGACAATCCCAGAAGCAGTGAAGCATCTCCACTTTTTGTTTATTGTACTTCTGTTGCTGTTGACTTGGGGAGATTTGTTTTCCAGGGGATCCTACAGGGAATTCCTGCCATGCAGTGGGCTTGGGCATTGCTACCCTGTATTGTTAGCAATTTTGGTACCTGTGGTTACACCTGGATTAACTACTAGCAATTCATACCTGTGACCTTAAATGTACATCTCCCCTTGACAAAGCTTTCCAAAGAACTCTCCCCTTCTCAGTCTCACCTACCTATCAGCTTTATCCTCTAGGGAATCAAGACCTGACTTTTCACCAAAAAAGCCACTAAGGAGACCCAAGAATCCATCTCCTGGGTTCTTTCCATCTTACTACATTGCCTCAGTAACATTTCCACCCTGTGCATTCTTCTATTCCATTTATTGTCCTATCTCCTAACACCAGTGCAAAGATTTTTCCAAAAACAAATCAAACAAAACAAGTCAAAAGTGAAACCTATTTTTCCACCCTTCCCTCCAATTTCAGAAGAAGAAAGAGATAACACAAAGAACTCACGAGAGCTCAGACCCAGCTCTGGCTCTGCTTAGGCTGCCATGTGATTTGGTAATGTCTCTTCCCCCTTTGAATTGAGTCTCCACCAAAATACAAAGAGATTTGGCTTCCAAACCTGATTATGAGAGGAAAGAGTGAGGGAAGGGGAAGGCAGTGTGTACAGCAGGTGGGCTGGACTGTCTCATGGGAGCTGAGTGATTATAAGCACATTTGCCCATGAAACAACCAGCTCTTCGTAAATCCCAGTTCCCTGGCAGACTCAGAGACCGGTGAATGCCAAAAGAACCAAAAAATGTGTCTCTATTTTCCCCTCATTTCAGTCTCTATTAACTTCTTTGTGGACTTGTTCCCTAGCCCTACAAAGAAGAGGAGTCTCTTCTGGGAAAGGGAGGGAGCACTGCTGGAAACTATAGGTACCCACCTCCTCTTGCCCTATCCTGGGTGAGGACCTTATGCCAGACCATGCCCTCTGTGGACCCCACTGAAGAGCTACTCATGGAACCAGGAAGCCCGTAGTCTTTTCTTGTAAAAATGCTTTGACCAAAATTTCAAGGATCTTTCTCCCTCTTTGAGATTAAAGAAGTAATATTTACTGAGCCCCCTACAAAAACCCAGCACTGTGATAGCATCTCTACTCATTTAATCCTCATAGTATCTCTCAAGGATGACATTATTGCATGTTGAGAAAGGAGAAAACGTAGTGAAACTGAGGCCCAAAATATTTTGATAACATTCAAAATCATTTATCACTCAAATAAACGCAATAATGTTACCCTCTTCTGTCACATTGCAACTCATGTTCCACCTCTGATTTTTTTGCTAATCCATACCAACATGCATACCCTGCACTTAGCTATTCACTTATGTAACCTCCAGTCAGAACTTTCTGCAGAAACTGTTATTAGAAAACCAAATTTATCGCCAACATTTTGTTTCAAGATGGCCGCCCAGAGCTCAGTGCAAACTCAGGTGACTTCTGACCAATGGTAAGACACCGAGTCAGATTCAGCTGGTGCCTTTGAAAGTTCCACAGCACAGACCAATGGACAAGAGAGGCAAGAGGCAGCTGCTGTGTTACACCACACAGACAAGTTGTGGCAAAGCTCTTTTGTTTGAACAAACTAAACAGTAAGGGTCAATGCACATCTTGCTTAGCGGAAACCAACTTTAGGGTCTCTTCTTTCTTACAGGGAGTTAACTGGTTCCACTGGAAGGGCCACGAATACTCAATCCAGTTTGCAGAGATGAAGCTAAGACCCAGCAACTTCAGAAATCTAGAAAGCAGGCGCAAACGGGCATAAACTCCAAGGACAACTGGGTGAGAGAAGAGGGCCCAGAGAAAGGAAAGGATTTTACCAAAGCATCAATATACCCAGTCTGATCATCTGGCCACACCTGGGCATTGGGCAAGAGTCAAGGCTGGCCCCAGGCCATGAGGCCACTGCATCACCCACTCTGCGGTCACTTCCTTCACACCAAAGACAGCGGGCTGCAGCAGGCTTCTGTTTTGTTGTTTGACTCAGCAAAATCCTTCCGGTGACGACAACACAATAGTTTTTACTTCTCTCAGTGGCTCTGGGAATGGGAGAGGGGGAGACAGTGGTAGTTTGTTTTAGAACCAGCTGTATTTTTAAAAAAGCTATATAATTAATTGTTATTATTTTTGTTAGTAAAGATAAAATGTGTGTCATTGGAATTTGCCCCCCTGTTTTTTACATTTCATACAACTGAAGTCAGAAAAGCAATACTGTTTCCCTTTCAAGGAGATGATTAATATTATTAATATAATAATGATGATGATGAAAACTAAGGATTTTTAAAGAGTTGTTCCTATCCCAAACACATCTTGATGGTACGTGACTGTATTTTTTTTAATAAAACCACAAGTACTTTAAGTTTGGCTGTTACACTGCTTTTCCTTATCTGTCCTGAATTCCACTAAAGCCAGTGTGTGTGAACGTGAGAGGAATGTTAGAAAAGACAGGTAAGGACAGATGAGGTGGGAAGAGTGAAAGAGATTCAAAGGCTGAGAGAGGGAACATGCTTTTTAGAACAAAGTTTAACAAAAATGGAAAACCCAGCAACTTAAGATTTAGCTTCTTGCTCCACCACCTTTCTGCTTTCCATAGCTGTTTATAATGTAAAAGCTCTCTTATTGTAACCTCTGAGTCCTATAAGGTAGATGAGGTGGGGATTATTACTATGCAAATGTAAAATCCCCCAAAGCAGCATCCTTGTGTTCCACTGTTGGGAGATCCCTAACTTTGGCCCAGGAATATAGCCCAGTGGCATAAGCACCTGCCTGAAAAGCACAAGGTCCCAAGTTCAATTCCCACAATACCCTCCTCCCAAAGAAAGAAAGAAAGAAAAAAATCCCTAACTTCTCCTGCCTCAGTTTCCTCACCTGTAAAGTGAGGACACTCATACTTCTTATTTTGCATCATTTCTGTGATGCGTAAATTATGTCATCCATATAAAACCTTAGCATGATACGTGACATATATAAATGCTGTTAAGTGTTATCTATCTGTGCCATTCCCTTATAAGGGATAAATTAATGCCTTATTTACTTTTTTGCTTGTTGTGGAACCAAATACCCAACACCCAAAGCTAGCTGAGCAAAGATTTATTGAACCTTGCAATTTGTAGTGCTGCCATTCCGTAATCAACTGGCTCCAAGCAGACTGGTATGGCGGAGGGGCATTGCAGGGGAGAAACAATTCATGGCAGGCCAAGGACAGAAAAACAGTGAAGTAGCAAGCAGCTGTCTAATTTACAGATAACACATCCTTGATCTCAGCATCACACATTTAATTCCAGTATCACACACTCTGGATACAGCTGCCTCTGAAAAACTCCTCCTATCAGCATCAAGTTTTGAGAGAACATCTAGACACAGCCACAACAACTAGAGTTTATGGACTTGACTGTTGCTACTACCAGTTAATGACAGAACTGACATTTAAACCCAGGCTGTCTGGCTCCAGTGTTGCTGCTGTCACCTCCCTGGCCCCTGATTAAAAATGATCTCTGCATCCATGGACCAGGGGATGCCCCGATGACAGAATGCTGGTTGCAAATTGGAGAAATGAAGGAATTTCAATTAGCTCCTTCATCAAGTTCTTATAGTCTTGGGTTCTTAGAACTAGAAAGAATATCTTGGTTCCCCCTTCTCCAACTACTCTTAAAATGAAGAGAACCCAGAGACCTTAGCCTCAGCCTGAACAGGTCTAGTGATGGGCACTTGTTGCCCAAACCAGCAGGTCTTTTCATACCGAGCAGTGCGGTGAGTCAGAACCACACAGCACAGGGCACTGCTCCCTTAAACAAGGGAGGGGGCCGAATCCCATCCATTCTCTCAGAGATCTTCAGCAAATTGGCTTATTTAATGAAAACGTTTGGACTCATAGGCCTCACTCAAATGGAATGCGATGGCTCAGATGCTAGGGGCAGAGGAATTTATGCCCCCAGCCAGATTCTTTGCTGTTGAGTTTATCTTGCTTTAATAAATGCTGTCATGTTGTATACACAATTGGATTTCCCAAATCATAAGACCTGTTGCCTGCAATTCAGCCATAGCAACACTCTGCTGGCTGCACAAATACAAACAAATAGGGTCCTCTAACAACCAGACCTCAAGTAGGAGGCTTAACTCTGCCCTGGCTGCTGACTCAGAAGTGTCAACCTCCAACCCATGTGCAGGACTGTGGTTGTAACTAAGCTGCTAAGGCATTTATCCAAAGCCCCACTAGAATCAAATCCTGACTGGTGAAGAAGTCATATCAAACAGGAGTACCTAATCATGGCCTTGGGAAGTTGCAGATGCCCCCAAAGAGGGATTGGGGAGCAGAAGGACCTGAGGCCACAACATTCAAAGCTCACCTTGTCTCAAAACATACTTCAATCTCTGACTATGTGGCTTTTTCAGGCAAATACCTTGCATAAGTCAGTTTCCTATCACTGGGACAAAATATCTGATATCCACAATTTAAGAAAGAAAGATTTATTTCAGCTCATGGTTTCAGAGGTTTCAGTCAATGGTAGCTGCCTCCAAGGCCAAAATGGCATGGTGGAAGGGCATAGCAGAGGACAACTGTTCACTGTTTGGAAGCCAGGAAACAGAGAGAAAAAAGGGAGGAACCAGAAACAAGAGCACATCCTTCCAGGTCACACCCAGTAATACACTCCCTTCAGCTAGGCCACTTCCTATCAGCACATTCAACTATGATGGATCATCAGTTGATTAATCCACTGGCAAGGTGAGCACACTTTGTACAGAAGGGCTTCCTCACTTAAAGAGAAAAGATGCAGCTCACATCCCAACAGGGAACCTTTGTGTATAAGCATATTAAAATGTAGTAAATGTCATGGGAAAACAGAACAACTGGCCTGTGATAAGAAGTGGGGCACCAGAACAGGGGGGCATATTGCAATATTGAATGGGGTAGCCAAGACCCATTTTATTGAAAAAGAGCCAAGAGGAGTATAGGATGCATTCAGTGAATATCTGTCACACTGTGTCCCTGATCATTCTGCCTCATTTTAAATGTGAAGAGGCAACATCTAGGCAAGGCTAGATATTGCCCCATGGCAAGGTAGCACTGGATTCTGATAGCAACCCTGCTCTGCAGTGTGGCAGTCACAAGACACTCCTCACTGAGCCACCCTGTCTGAATGCTGTCAAACATCACCCTATACAGCCAGTTCTTTGGGACAGTTATTCCCCTCCTGCCCTTTTCTGCCTTTCCCTGTTTTTATGGTTTGTATCTAGAAGTTCCCCCAAAGCCCTCGTGTGCTCATAGTTGTGACTTTTCAGGACTGACTGGATCTAGCATGTGTGATATCGAGACTAAGGATGTGTGATACTAAAGGTTGGTAGCCTGGATGGGACAAAAGGGAGATGAGCCTTGCTGCTTGCTGCTGCTGTCTCCTGCCTGCCCATGATCTGTTTCTGCTCTGTGAAATCTTTTCACAGCACCACCCTGCCTTTGAGACAGCTGACTACAGACTGACGTCTCCATATGTGAACCAAAATAACCCTTTCCTCCTTCAGCTTCGGGTACTGAGTGCAATGAGAAAAGTAACTAAGAAACCCACCTCCACTGTTCCCCTTCCAAACACACCAACCTCAGCAAAGTCAGGAGCTCCATGGGGGCTATGCTGATGGGACCTCTTGTCCCAAGACTATCACTTTGCTTTTTATTTAAAATTCGGTATTGTGTAACAACTTCCCTCATAACCCCCACACTAAATGAGCAAAATAAGCACTAGTGTCTACCTTCGTGCAGCCTCCATGTGTGAAAAACTGCTATCAAATCAGACTTGCAAACTGAGATCAATGCTTTGGAAGAACATGCAAAAAGCAAGTGGGGGAGGATGACATGTTTGAATACAGAGCCAAACAAGCAGGAGTGGACCAGGTGAAGGAACAGGGAAGGTGGACAGTAATGGACAGAGCATCTCCACAAGCCCACTGCCAGGCTGCACAGAAACAAGGCCAGTAGCAGACTCAAGGAAAGGACTAGAAAGATAAGGATGTCACGGGCAGTAGGAAGTCATCCTGTACATCTGTCTGGTCCAGGATGAGGATTCTGATCTGTCTGCTAAATGCAATAGAAGATTATTAAGGAATATGAAGTACTCTAAAGGAATATGAAACAGAGGAGTATAATAATAGTCTTGCCTGTTTGTCTAAAACCATCGTGTTACTTGATCCTGGCTGGGATGTGCAAACAGAAGGAGACCATGGCGAAGCTGTTGAAAGGGAGCAGAGAGTGCAGGGGAAGGGAGTGCAATCTGGCTAAGTCATGCAGGCGTAGTCTATGGTTCTGAGGGGTATTCAGAAGATAATGAGTGCTGCTGTCTAAAATGCTGTCTCCCTCACTAGAAATGCAGCTTCCCAATCCACTTGTGTCTTCCTGCTGGGGCGCTGGAGGCTCAGGATGGAGCTACCTGAGGATTTAACAGCTAGCAGAAGGCTCACTCCTTCTGCTCTAAATCCCCAAGGAGCCCCACCACCGGGGAATTAAATCTCTGGAAAAGAAGCAGGACGAGGCTGTCTTGAGAATCTTCATAATTCTACCAAGACCAGAAAAAAAGAATTGAGTTCAGCATTTCACAGGGAAAACATACACACGCACATGCACACATGCACACACACACACACACACTCACATATATCTGTGTCCCACATTTGTCCAGCACAAGTGGAACTATAGGTTGAGAAACTGTGTCTCAGGACAATGAATGACATCCCCTGACTTTCCCTCTTCTGGATGCCAGAGCTGGGACTCCAACCTGGATCTTCTTCCAGGAAGGCCTCAGCACCCTGGAGAATGTGGTTTACTCATTCTTCCATTCAGACACCTGAACACCTCCCACGCACCAATTTCCTCGTGGTACCGCAAGGTTTGCATAGCCAGTGAAGCCAGCATCACAGCAATTTCTGTAAACTACTCATCTTTGTAGTGAGAACCAAGCTCACATCCCAAGTTTTCTAATTACTGAGTTGTCTTGGATTAGTCACTTAATTTTTCTAGTTGCTCTTGAAATGAAAATGAAGAACACCTACCTTGATAAGAATTTTTTGTAATATAAGAAAATGGACAGTGCTTTGCCTGGAAATAATGCCGTTTACATATTGTTCTTTCCATAAAATTCAAAGATGAACAGCATTGGGATAACTATTCAATTCAACCAGTAGATGGCAGCATCCTCCCAACTTTAAGGAAGCAAAAACCAGGCACTCCTGAACATTGTAAATGTGGAAGGGATTGGAGCCTCCTGGGCTCCCAGGCTCCCTTCAGGTAAACAGCGCTCCATCTTCTCAAGCACCCTCTCTGGGGACCTTGGTCAAAAGTTAAGGAACACAACATATCCTTGCTTTTGTCCTTGA